TGAACCTCTAGTTTCTTTGCTGGTCTTAACTTGTACGTTTAAGTAGGGGCAATGCCAGGGATTGTGACCCCCATAAAAAAATTAAATTAGGCCTCACCTACCCTTCTCTACCACTTTACTACCTTAAATGTTCTAATGTTTTTCAGGGCCTAAAACAAAACAGTTTGGCAGTGTGTTGTTACACCTGCCAGCATTGGTTACATATAAAAAGGTTATCTACATGGAAACGCTCAAACGTTTGGTTATCTCTTTTCTTTCTTTTAGATGAGTTTCATAACCAGATTAAATTCCTCACATGAGGCTTTGAAGTCATCTGTGATAACATTTTTTCTGTTATTTGGTGCCATTAAAAGTAACTTTAAAGGGTTTGTAAGGAAAAAGTCACCAAGCTTTTTGCCCATCAGGAAACTCTGAACTTGTAACTTTCCATATGGCACAGCTGGAACAAATGAACAGCATCTAAAAGAGACAGGTAGGTATGCATCTCATATCAACTCCACAAGTATGAGGAAGACGTTGTGTGCAACTCTCAGGTTACATGCCCAGATCTAAGCAGCAAGAGAGAGAGAGCAAGAGAGAGAGAGAGCCCCCAGTGGAAAAAAAAGAAAGGCATGTTCTTCCCTTGTCACAGCTAGCATGAATGAGAAACAGCTCCAAGGAATGCTCCATTATCATCCTATCAACGGCACTGGGGGAGGAGAGCTGTGGCAGAGTGTGGAATCATGCATCTGAAGGAGGAAGGGAATGAAAGAGGGGGTTGACAGGCAAGGTTGGCATTGGCCTAAAGACCCTCAATTGGGTTGTGCATCCTCCTTCCCAACTCACCAGACCTTGCTCTTCCTCATTTGTCCAGGTCTTGCGTCCTTTTTGTCAGCAATTAATCTGCAGCACCGCCCTCCTATATTTATCCCTTTCACTCTCTGCCTGCTTCTCCTTCACCTCTCGTTCGGCTAGCCTTGGGTAGATTTACACTCGGTTTGATCACTCTCCTAGGCTATGCTTGGAACTAATAACGGATTGCCGAGGCCTTTTACCGTGCTACCCTTTTTTTTGCTAACATGATGAGTATCTTGTTGACCTTCACATTATTATGCATCTGCTGTGCAATGGTGCGCTCTCTCTCTGCTCCAAACTGACCTTTGAAGACCCCCCACTCACTTAACATGAATCCAGTGTGTTACAGCTTTAGATGGTAAATTAATTTCTCTCAGAGTGGGGACAAAACAACAATAACATTTATAATATGTGCAGCATGACAACAAGGCATAAAAGAGTATGTGTTTAGACTTATCTATGATCAGTGCTTCCTAGGGTCTCTTAAATTAGATGTGTTAAAGTATGCAAATCAAATGAATGCAGCTAATCCTGGATTTGCTGTGATGACAGGATCTACAATGCCTTTCAAAGCAATTATTCAAATCAATCTAATTAAACCTGTTGAAATTGGCTTTAATTGCCTCCCTGACTAAACAAACACTAAGTTCTGGCATGCAAATAATAGTGCAGCTCAAATTGCTTCTTCTAAGGAGGTGGAGGGGAAAATCGTGATCTACAGCCCCCCCTTGTGGGTAATGGCTTTCTTTTATTTTCATAATGACGTCAGCCCTGGACAGTACTGTGTTTACTGTCTGTTTGCCTGTGTCAGTGTTTGTATTAGTTCTGCTACCTTTGTCAGAAGTGACCCACTTTCCATGCTTTTCAGGCCAAGTGGGACTGTCATCAACAGTAACAGCCTCAGCAAACACCACAGATGAGAGTCATTGGTCTGTGGTTCTTTAGAGATCCACCTGCAGGTCACCATGCCTGTGGCCTGTGGATTAAAAGTTTTGTTGTAGCAAATAGATCAGATTGAACGGTCTCTTTCAGAATGGATCCTCTTGCAACTGAATTTGCTGTTGCTATCTCTGCCTCTGTAAATTTGTCTTATTTATACCCCAGGCTGCAAACAAACCTATGTCAAAGCTGTGATCTTGTACATAATTGTTGCATTTATATTACAGACCACTTGAAGATGCCATCCTCTGCTTCTTTTTCATTCTATTTTATTGCTTAAATAGATTTTTTACAATTTTTTAAGTATTTATAACCTCTTTAAGGAAACAGTTTGCTGGAGTAATTGATAATGAAAGTAGATGTAAATTAAAGCCCTAGAAGTTTTTAGTAACAAATAATTATCTTTCTAACTCCACCACAAAAATTAACACATTTTCATGTCTGCTGTTTGAAGGTAATCTTTGTTTAATCTTAATCTTTCTCTAGTGAAAATACAAACTATAAATAACAACAACATCTTTAAATGTTGTCATTGTTCGAAGAAATTATCTCTACAAAAGCTGCTTACCCCTTATTGATGTTGATTCTGCAGGATGAGCTGCTAAATTCAACGTGTTTTCTATGCCCGTGACTCTCAGAAAGAAAAAAAAATCACTTGCTGTTTGGCATTTGCTGGTCCTGGCTGGAAAGCATGTAAGTAGCTGTGAGCAAAGTTTCAGTTATTAATTTTGACTTGTATTTACAGTGTTTCCTTGGGGCAGTCGTTTTGTAAATGTCAGACTGCCACCATGCATATCAGATGCATATCAGATGCATCTCATGCCCCAGTTTAGTCCCAAACCATGGTGTGAATGAGATGTTTCACATATAAGAAAAATAATTAGAATTTAAACATGTTAAAAATATATCTATGAACTTACAGGTCACTCAGTTTGGTTGTCAATTGATTTAAATAAGATCTGAGTTTTTTTTTTTCCTTCAATATTTACATTATGAAAACTACATCATGCAAACTAAAATTAAGAGATACAGTATTAAAGGTCTTGTGAGGAACTTTCAGTCTGGGTCAGTTTTGGTGCACTCTGTGGACAATCACTTTGGACAATCATTGTGTCCTCTACATGCTTAAGTAGTGTCTTTTGAAATAAAATCTTATTTTGCTGACTTCTGACAGTCAAATCTATCTTATTTTGCAAATATATTATGTGGAAGTTGTAAAAACAGGGCTGTTTCTTTAGCTGCATGGCTGTCTACCCCCTGGAACAGGTTTCTGGTATTTAAAATAAGGTTATAAAAGTCTTCAATCTAGTTGCTGATCAGAATCAGATCAGAATCAGAAATACTTAAATAATCCCCAGGGGGAAATTGCCTTTGTCACAGGACTCCAGTGCAAATACAGTAACAAGAGGAGATGAATAATAGATAAAATAAGTAAAAATAAAGAGATAAATAGATAAATAAGTAAAATGAGTAAAAATAAAGAGATAATATACAAGTATGTACACTATATACAACACAAATAGAAAGATCTTATGCATGTAAAAGAGTGAGCAGAGTCCAGGTAAAGACTAATGACTAAGGGTGTCAGAGTCTCTGAGGGAGAAGTTAAAAAGATCTTGATGATCTTGTTTGCTTTTGAATATCATGAAAAGGCATTGACGTGAATTTCAGTCTATTTCATAGACCTCAAAAATCTCCTCATAGGAGCTTTAACACACATTTTTAAGTCTTGATGGCAAGCATATTCCTTTGTCCCCATTTGTTTAGATATATATATTTTTTTACTTTATCATCTTAATGGCTCCATGGCTATACACAACATACAGTATTGCTGAGTGTAATTTTCTCTAGGCAAAGTGCAGCATTTATCAGGACAAATGGTGAAGCATTCTATCTCAAAGTTAAGACATACATTTGCAAAATAAAATAAAAATAAATACGGGTATTGATCTTTACAAAAGCAATAAGGAAGTTTTAGGGTGAGACGTGTTTACATTACACATGGCCAAAGCCGGCCCAAGCCTCAATGGGGCTCTAAGCAAAATGTGATTTTGGGGCCCTCTATTTCTGCCAATAATATTGATTGTTGATCATTCACACACCTTCACAAATCTCTTTAATTAACATTCCATGACATGCAAACATACCTTTATCTTGGTGTTTTTTTCTCTTCTTCCTCTTTCTTTTCTCTGCTCCTGAAGGATATGTCCTTTTTTGCGACATTGTTTGGCCCCTAAACTCAGTGCACGTTGTCCTGTGTGGAAGCAAGAAGACTGACACAACAGCAGACTGACTGTTTTTCAGTTCTGATTAGATTCTAGTGTTGAGATGGCTGTCTGTCGTGATAGCATGTACTGAGTCAGGGCCAGTACCAGATAAGCACATTAAACTATAATCCATAAACATAAGGTAACAACCGAGACCTAATGGTGCTGTGACAGCAATGTGATTGAGTTTGAGACAGTGAAAATACACATGGTATGTTGTGTCTGAGCAGATTGTTTGCTTGTGAATACCATGAAAAGGTATTGACGTGAATTTCAGTCTATTTCATAGACCTCAAAAATCTCCCCATAGGAGCTTTAACACACATTTTTAAGTCTTGATGGCAAGCATATTCCTTTGTCCCCATTTGTTTAGATATAACATATTTTTTTCACTTTACAGAAGGTGAAGCATTGTATCTTAAAGTTAAATCATACATTTGCAAAGTAAAATCAAAATAAATCCAAGTAAAAAAAGAGGTTTTAGAGTGAGACATCTTTACATTATACACAGCATATTTCCCAGTCTGTGTGCAGTTGCATATTACACTTAATTCTAGACATCTAACAGTGAGACCTCAGTTCAGGAAAACACTCTTTAAACTCATGTGGCAGTTTTTTTAAAGTGAAAGCTTGCTCACTCTTTACCTAAAGTTTACTCATGTTACCACACTGTAAATGTAGTAAATGGAGAATATTCCTTAACATGAAAGTATTATGGCTTCAAACCGCATGGTGGCGCTAATTGTCTGAAGCTTTAAACTCTTTGCCAGCAGGCTTGGCTTTATTAGATCCATAAATGCATCTGTTCTCATCGGGGTACATTAGGTTAATAGATGAAACTGTACACACAGAGAAACGTGGATAAGCCATGTGCACAGAAACCTGAACATTAAGACAGTGAGGTGTTTTTAACCACTCCCTCCAGGTCAGTGTAAATCAGCTGACCCTCTGTGTGTGTATGTGTCAGCAGCAGTCAACACACACACACACAGACGCCATCGATCCTGTTGTGCTGCTGGAGCAAGAAAGACTCAAATCAAAGGTGAGGGTGTATACTGTCAGTGCTAGGACTTATCCTATTTGAATAATGCAGAGTTACCACCTCGCTACTGAAACTAGTTATCCACAAAGGTATAAATGTCCACGATTAATTTAGCTTAACAGAGCAGTTAATCTACCGTCAGGATTCACAACAGCAGTGCTCAAATGACAAGCTAACAGCCAGCTAGCTCAACGCTAACAGGGGCTCTGTACGCTGATGTTGGAGCAAACAGTCGGTAAACAGCAGCTGAGAAATACCTTTACTGCCTGTTAGAGACCATAAATGAGATTTTAAACATGTAACAATGCGTGGTTTTGTAGATGTTAAAGGTCGGACTTCCTTCCTGAACGTTGACGTTAGCTACAGGAACGTTAGTGTTAGCTAAAAGGGCAAGGCGAGGGTATTTATAAAGCTCTACATTAACCCACCAGCAATGACAATATGAACACCTGAGCAATCTAATGCAACCAAATACAACCCTTTACTATTACGAAGCTTCTACTTTTCCAGCTTTTGTTGGAATGATAACATAGGTGATTACTGTAATAGTGGTGGTGGTCTACTCGAGCGTCATACTGGGAAGCGTTCCTTATATTTTGGTCACTTCGTTAACAAACATAAGAGGATCATGATTAAGAAAAAACACATTTCAGATAACATACCCCAGCACACCCCCACCGCCCACCCACCAAGTCTTGACTAAGTAAATACAGGAAACGAGTCTGATCGTGGATTAGATTATCAAGGTGTTGCTAATATTGTGGCTGCTGCAGTTTAAGCAATTTAAAGAACATTAAAAGTAGGGCTGGGACGATATGCTTTTCTCCCGATTCGATTCTTCGATTTTTTTTTTGGATGCTAATTCGATTTAAATTGCAGTTCTACGATATCGTCGATATTCTCGATATTCAGTCTCGTTTTTAAAACCAGTGAAACAGTTGAATGATTATGATTGTCTACTGACTAATCCAGGAACCATATTTCCCCAAAAAATACACATCATATGTAAGTCAGTTTTTGAGATTTATTTTTAAATTTGAAAAAAAAAGTGATTTAAAAATTGCAAAACAAAAAATCTTGATACTTATGTGAATCAATTTTTATCCCACCTCTAATTAAAAGAAACGTGACCTTTAAGCTAACAGGACAATGGTACCTTGGTTGTGTGCTTTTCAGTATATACATATATCATATGTTAAATAAGCCTGTTATAAAGCATGAACAAGTTTTCTGTGGCTTGTTGAATCAGAATTTTTAACATCTTTTAAGTTGGTAACAGGCTGTTTTGTGATGCCTTACATTTGGCTTTTAAAGTAAAGGCGTGAGCTCATAAATCCACTGAGATTCCAGGCTGGATTAGTCAATTAGATGTCATGAAGTCAATTTGAACCTTTTCTCTTAATTGCCGAAGACAGTCACTGCAAGATGCTGGACCTTATTTACTGTCTGCTGAGTAGATTACTAATGAGCATTCAATTAACAGTGTTGCAGTTAATAATTAACCATTTATGGTTTCTGAAGACCAGTATGGTTAGTTACATATACAGTGATAAGTTGCCAGTGTTTGTGTAATATTATGCAACCTTATCAATAAAAAATGAATGTAATTATGCAACCAAAGCTACCCTCCAGAGCATCATAATGTTTGTCTTTAATTGGTTTGTTTAATAATGGTTGCGGATGCAGCTTTAGGATCAGTGCAGGGACTGTGATATGCTGCACTGCCTTTATTTACTGAATTTGGTGTAACAGCAGGACCAACTACAGCACTCCCAGAATAATAAAGATTATGTTACACCTTTGAAAAGTTATGTTGCAAAAGTGTTTGTTATGTAAACCACATCCATTTTATATTGTGTACCTTTATCATTCGTGCATAAGCATGCAATATATTTCCCAGTCACTTTCCCTTTCAACTAATTATTTTTATCTCTGAATCAACCACACCAACAAAGTTTTACACAGTGACCTGCAAAAGCTTTTGTGTATTTTCTATACTCAGTTGCCTCGTAAAGACATGCTTTCATTCGACAGTTGTGTTTTCTTGTGAGCAACAAGTACATTTTTCCTTTTGAGTGATTATTATTGTTGGTTGTGGCGTCAAGGATTTGGTTCTATGTTGTGCAAAGATTCTTGTTATGCAGCATTTTACTGCAGGTCATTTCAGTCTGACAGGCTGCTGGCCTGCTGAGCTATCCTTGACCACAGGTGCTGGAGCTAATGTCAGTGGATCTGTATCAGTACCAGAGGGTAACTCATACTGTACCGTCTTATGCCAGAAACCCAAGTCTCACGTGTGTTGGGCTCTGAGTTTTTACATCAGTAGCTCTGAGGGTTACTGAAATTTAAAAAATTTGATATTTAGATAGACTTGACTCACACTTTAAATTGAATTTGTTTAGAAAGCTTCATAAAAATGGTCGTAAGCACCTTGTTTACTGAAGTTGATTGGCCAGAGTGATTCTCCTGGTTTCATTTCCAGTGTCATGTTGATGTGACAGAGTTCAGAGTCCCAAAGATAGGCTCTGTGGCTTTGATATCAAGTCCAGGGAGCACCATGGTGGCAGAATTTACTGTTTACAGTCACACAGTCACATGCTCTCTTTCATCAAATCAAACATGCCCACACACCACCCCACCCCAAGTGTTGATGCCGCTCACTTGTCACATGGAGTCTTTACAAGCCTTGCGAGTAGTGCAAGGTGTAAACTTGATGCATTGGTGCAAAAGTACCTCTTTCTTCTTCCTGCCAGTGTATTTCACCTCTAATTTTGGGGTTTATTATCATATCACAACAGGTTTCTGCGATGGACTCCAGATCGCACAGACTTCCTTTTTGCCTGTCCAACTCAAGGCCTTCTTACACATCGAGTTCATCGGTCTCCTCTTCATCACTGGGCTCCACCAGGTTGTACAGCAGAGAGTCGATGCTAAATAATGACCGTTTTCCGAGGGCATCACCTTCTTACAAAACAGACCTGGACCAACAGGTAGGCTGACATTTGGATCTTTTAAACCATTAAAGATTTAGTCTCTCTCTTTACATTTACCCTCAGCATATATAATTCAGACATCTAGACCACTTTTTGTTTACTTTTTGGTCCTGCTTATGCTGCTGTTTAGTTAAAATTAAGATGCTTTATAAGTTCCTGGTGCCGGCCTTTATTTTCTGCTGTCATAGCACATCAGTTTTGTCTCATTTAGCCTTGCTTGCTAAGATGAGGCATGATGGAAATATCAGCTTCAAAAGTGCCTGTTTTCGTTGGATAAAACAGCCGAGTGCAATAATAACAAACATCTGCAACTTTAAGGCCTCTGTCCACCTCTTCATACTATCTTTGTTCCTCTACATTCAGTGTTTTGGCATCTTTTTTTTTTCCAGTGTATTCTGGCGAGAGAGCATCCAAGTTATCTCCTTTCTCACTGGTTCCCTTCTTAGTGTGTCACAGAAACTAACTGTTATCAGTGGTGCATCAGCAGACACTCTGGAGGTCTTTTTATAGGACAGCCTAGATTCCTTGGCACACGTGTGTATTTCAGTCCCGCTGCTCTTTGGGGCCCGTCGAAAAAGATAATGTTACTGTTGGCCTGGGCCCTGCCTGGTTGTTCCTGTTCTTTCCAGAAGAGTCCATGTTCGGTGAAAAGAAGATCCTACAAAGCACTTGCTGCTCCATGATTTAGTGTAGTACTAAGATGAGCTCCAATTTAAGCAATCCTCTTAAAATAGCAGCAGTATTAGTTTTTCTTCCAAGTTCACTCACATGAATATTTACTAAGGACTCTCACATTGAAAAACCTGTTGCATGTTCATGTTCAGCTGGACTGCAGCCCTCTTTTTTCCCCACTCTTTTGTGTGTGTTATAAGTTTTCTGGCTTTGAAAGAAAATGTAAAACTTTTCACATATGTTTACTTTTACTGGTGCATGTAGAGCACAAAATGAAAACTAAATCATGGAAACAAGCTAAAACTTAAAAAGCTGAAAATTAGTGACATATTGTCAGTTATTATCCAACACTATCCAGTGAGTTATGCCGTACAAAGTTCAATAGTTTTATTATATATTTACTCAGATAGGAGTGCTAACTAAAAATGCATTTCTTTCTTTCTGAAGAATTCTCGTCTCCTGAGGTCGCCCAGAGACTACAGCAGCTCTGATAGTCACTCCACCAGCTGGAAGTTGCCCTCTTCTCTGACATCCTCCAGCAGATCCTACGATCGACCATGGGCTGAATCCTCTCTCAGCAGCAGCAGCGGCAGGAACAAACCGGTACTAGAGCTCTTGCAAAATACAGCCGAGTCAAACTCATTTTTTAAAGACTGTAACAGAGGTTAGAGGAATGCCTCTGAACAGTATAAGTGACGTATAAATATCTGAGTCAATGTTTGTCTTCATTTTCACAGAACGATTCTGAAGGGAGGTTGGGGATGCGTTCGGTTCTGCTAAACCCCAGTGATGATGGTGATTCTAAAAGGGCCAAATTGTCGTACAGCAACAGAGGACTGTACTCAAGAACAGCAGGAACCTCGGCCTCTGGATCCACATACTCTAGTAATGGGCTAAGCAGTGGCAGAGGTACAAAAAAGCACTTTGTTTTGAACATGTGACTTCTTGGTTTGCTGCAAAGAGAGCATGTGAGGATGTAGCATGTTATCAGTATTGCATAAGATTTCAAACTGTATGGAGTTTACTCCCAGGAGCTAAACCACCCTGCTTAAGTTACAATATGCATTTCCTTTAGAGATGAGTTGTCCCCAAAGAACAGTTACTTTTTAACTGTCTTAACAATTTTGCAGCTTGCTGGTATAGGTAATGACAAAGACAGCTGACGTAGACTTACATAGAGAGTGTAAAATATCAAAAATCAACTTCTATAGATTTCCTGTGACTATTTCAAAGTACTCAAACAGAAAATACTGGATATTATCAATATGGCATGATTTAGAAAGATTTAACCATCATATATAAAAATAGAATGTAAGTATGAGCTTTGAATGTAGGTAAGAAATCTCTGCATTGACAGTTCGTCTCAAGAAAGCCAAACATTATGACAAACCTAAACAATGTTTTGTAAATCTCGACTAACCGTATATGTTTTAACAAATATTTACACAAACACATTGAAGACTTATAATTCAGATGTAGTTTTATTCCTGCAGTTAAAAAAACTTAATGAAATATACTATAATGGTATTCTAACTTGGGTAGTTGGTTCAATACTGAGATCACATTTTGTTTCTGACATATATTGTTTTGATTTTTGTGAATATAATTTTACACATAAATTGAATTAGAACAATCCCTGTCTCTCACTTTCATAATAGAGTCATTTGGTAGGTTCACAGGTTAACAGCAGTTCCTAGGTGCTAATACTGTTTATTATTTTAACTGACATTAATTCGTGAGTGTTGTTGAGGTATCAAGATAATTTCTCTCATAATTAAACAGATTTTAAAATGGACTACCGTGGACTTATTTCCGTATTTTTCTGGTCTTTCTGTGCAGGTACAAGTGAAACATCAAGTGACACATTAGATTCATCATGGAGTTCATACCGTTTACTCTCACGGCCTTCATCTTCTTCCCACAATCCACTGTTGTCCAGGAGAGAGCTTGAGACAAAGACTGAGCCTGGACTCTCAGGTTTGAGTGAGAGAAGAAACAGAACTGCTGGATTGACTTCGTCATTGTGTAAGGATGTTTGTAAACACTCTGTTTAACATCTGTGTAAATGTGTTGTAGCACACGAGGTGACCTGACATGAACTGCTTTTCTCTTCCCTCGTTTCAGATCAGACAGACAGGGTGACCTCCACATATGCACAAGGAGCTCGGCCAAAGGAGACTGCCTACTCCACCTCTTCCTTCTCCTCCTCCTCCTCCTCCTCCCCCTACACAGCCAGAGAAAGCTCTCTTAATCGCCACATCTCCTCTTCCTCCCCTCACCGCTCATCTCCTCTGCTGCGCGACATCAGCAACAACAGGACCTCAGCACGTTCCTCAAACACCTCATCTACTCTCCACTCATCTCAGGAACAACAAACGGGAAACCCAGAATCCCCCTCAAACATGTCCTCCTCTTACTCCTCCTGGTACACAGCTCCCTCCTCCCGGCCAGAGGCCATGCTCCCTCCGAGGCCAGCCCCTGAAGGCGTGGAGTCAGAGGGCCGTAGCTCCACTCGGCGCCTTCTGTCCCGTCTCTTTTCACGCCGCTCCAGCCAAGACTCCTCTAGTGGCTCCTCCAGTGTTCGCTCCCTGGATGATGACACTCCATCGACCGGGGGAGAGTCTGTGGACAGTGATGAAGGAGCACGGACGTCTGCTGTTGACCATGACGCTGCAGGGTCGGAGGCAAACTTTGGTAGCCTCAGGAATCGTAGAGCAGATCTCACTCCTATCCAAGAAAACAACAACACTGCTTATCAAAATGGCCCGCCTCGGCCCAGAATGGCCTCATGGAGAGAGCCTGGTGTTGGTAGTAGTAACAGCACCAGCAGTGGAGGAGGCAGCAGCTACTCCTGGCTCTCCTCCTCCCTCCGCGGCCGCTGCCCTCCCCTCCTCGCTCGCCTCAGGAGACACGCCAGAGACGACAGCACACATTCTGCAGCAGGCTCACAAGGATACAGTCATCCACCACATTTACTGAGAAGATGGGATGACCTAGAGCATAAAACATCACAAGATGATGATGAAGACGACGATGATGAGGAGGACGAGGAAGAGGAAGAAGAGGAGGAGGAAGAAGAAGAAGAAGGGGCAGTTGGTTTGGAGGCATTTGGTGCCAGTCGTCCCTGCAGACTTGAGGATGAAGTGCTACCTGAACTTGAAGACACTTCAGTTGAATTTTCACCCCGCCGCAGAGCTGGAGTGTATGAAAACATCTCAGTACCTCGGGGTTCTTTGGGGGCTGTGGACAGCCAGCTGGATGGGCAGAAGGAGAAACCACTTTCCAGCGGGGATCAAGAAAAGCTGCGCAGGATCAAGGAGAGGTACAGGATAGAAATTCACCACACAGTGCCTGTCTGTCGTTTCTTCTCATTTTTGTGGTCTGTGACTGATATTGGGTGCAAGTAAACTGTACATGAGTTAACCAACAGTCACAAACAAAAGATTAGATATGCAGTTTTCATGTAAATACATTTATTTTTAGTTTGTTTGAACATAACCTTCAGCTCATGTTGCAGACAGATCGGTTTAAGCTTTTTTTTTACTGCTTCATCAAGTAAAACAAAAGAACGGTTGATGTACTTATCCTTATACCAGATAACTATTTAGCCTGAGAGGACTAATGCAGGACTTACTGGTCGCCGATACTGAAGGTGTTAAAGCGGGAGGTGTTTGAAAGACTTAGCTGTTTAGTAATTTAGCAGGCGATAGAGTAAACGTGTTTATATATGAAACAGAAGACGGCAAGCATGCATTCTTTATTAACAGTGCACCTGAAGCTCCTCCTGTCTTGTTTTAGGCTGCTGCTGGAAGATTCTGATGAGGAAGAAGGCGACCTGTGCCGAATCTGTCAGATGGGGGAGGAATCTGCCTCCAATCCACTGATTCAGCCGTGTCGCTGTACAGGAAGTCTGCAGTACGTCCACCAGGAGTGCATCAAGAGGTGGCTTCGCTCCAAAATTGGCTCGGGTCAGTACGTAAATAAGTCTTTATTAGTGACAGATCCCTTTATTACCATATGATTTCACTGATTTCCTACTTGTGATACTTTACTTTTAGGCACAAACCTCGAGGCCATCACGACATGCGAGCTGTGCAAACAGAAACTGCGCTTGAATATAGACAACTTTGACATTCAGGAGTTATACAGGACACATGTGCAAGTGAGTCCCAACATTTAAGTCATGAAAATATATTTAAAAAAAATCGTATTTTACTAAAAAGGTAACTTCTTTAGAATCAAGAATGTTAATGACAGATCTTTGATTCTTGCTTCACAGTCGGAATACGATGAGTTCATCAGCAGTGGTCTGTATCTGGTTGTGCTGCTGCATTTCTGCGAGCAGAGGTTCTCTGATGTCCTGGGAGCGGTCGATGCAGCTGGGGTGAGAACACACATTTACAGAAACACACTCAAACACACACATTTGAAAGTCGATTTACTCATACTCTCATCCAGCAATACCTTTAATCTTATGACGCTATTGGCTGAAAAAGACGTGTATTTTATTGCTGCAAGACTTCAGTCAGTACTGATTAAAGACGCCTCGAAAATGAGTCAATGTTGAATTGTGGTGTGCAGAAAATTCAAACCTTGAAAAGAGAAACTTCTTCCCTTTCTCACCCAGTTATTCAACCTGGTGAGAATCCTTCATGAACACATGGACAATCTTCAAAGTATGTCGCTCAATCCTCTCTCTCTCTCCTCTGCCAATGTTTGTGTTTACTGTGTTGATGTTTTGCAAGTAAGCGATCATGTGACACGTTTAATGCTTCATCAGCTTTTTGTTTGTCAGTTTCGGTAACCTTGTAATTTGATTGATAATGAAAACGAAAACGAGCAGTTTGTATGCTCATTATAATCATTTATGATAAGGTTACAAGGCTACCAGACAAAGAGATGATGTTTTTGTAGCTGGTGTTTATTTTTCACGTTGTTTAAAATGTAACTTAAATGTTTGTCAGTCTAACCTCAGCTCCTGGAGAAAATAACAGTACACTGACCACCTTGAATAACCCAGAAATCTTGCTGCTGTCCAGTTCTTGCTCAAGCTGTAACATCCGACTGTTTATCTGTTTGCTCTCCTTATTTTTCATATAGTAAAGAAATACTTGCCATCACTGAAAAACAGAATTATGAGGCAATTTCTCCAAATGTTTGCCAGTCGCTGCCTGAAAGCTTTTACACCCCCACCCCCTACCCCCTGTTGTGTTTTTTGTTAAATATTTTATATGTGGCTGCAGAATTTAATCTGAAATCTCTCAATTGCAGTTCCTCATGGAGAAAGCGACGAAGAGATCCGAGACAACAGACCATCTATTGAGTTCTCTGACCTGGATGATGATCTCGAAGATGAGTACTAATTACGTTAGAATGGTGGATTGGGGGTAAAAGGAAAAAAAAAAAGTGGGTCAGGGGATCTGTTGTTTTAGGGGGGCTGCTCCATGCCATATGGTTGCTCACCCAGTTTTTCATCCATGCTTTGAGGTCATCAAAATCAACTGAAATGCAGGGGCAGAGTACGTTGGATGAGTCCGGACTTTGTGGCTTTTGCAGGTATGCAAACTTGAACTGTCATGTGAAATAATTTTGTGGACACCATCACATTTCTTTTTTTTCAATGAGAGTGCACTTTATTCAGTCATACTAAACAAGAATGCAAGTCTTTTTAACTGTTAAACCACAAGTGCTTTAATGTTAGAATAAGAAAGCAGAGAGGGAATTGACTGAGGAAAAGGAAAACGGATTTGGAATTAAGATGATGAGATGAATGCTTTTGGGACAAGATACAAAAAAAAGTAGTGATTATTCCTTTAATGTGTTTTTGTCCTCTTTATTTTCCCAATGAGAACATGTTGAACTTACCCTGTCATGAACTTCCTTCTGTATTTCAATGTTTTTGGGAGGCTTAATGTCTGTAAAAATCTGGTTTCTCGCCTTCAGTTTTAAGAATAAAGATTGAATGCAAACTGCCATTGAAGTGTGCTTATTTCATTTTGGACTCTCAAGTCTAAGGTAAAGTTTACCCTGAGGTTATTCTTTTGGATTCATGTGGAGAGGATTCTAAGCTAGAATTTTTCTGACTGGGCTCCATGACGATTATGGTGGAGTGTTACATCGATCCTTTTTATATCAACCAAGCGGTGACTTGACAGAAAATAAACTTATTCAGGGAAGCTGGATTTTTGCATGCCTCATTTATGGTAGAGCATACCCACTGAACAACAGACAGCTATTGGACGTCTAGTTATTTTTTTAGACCTAATTTCAAATGTCTAGATTCTGTACATTTTTAGATGGAATTTAGATGTTGCACTTTAACCCATTATTCAATAACTATTTATTTAAAAAAGCAACTGTGAGTTGCATAACTGATCTCCAAGTACTTATCCAAAATAATAATGATAGTCGTTGAGCAAAATACAGTGTAGTAAAGATATAGCCCAGATATAGACTTGGTCCAAACTTGGTCTAAATTTAGACATCATTTTTAGACCTGTGTTTGCCTGATTTTAGACCAGCCATCTAGGCTACATTTAGGCATCTATTAGACCTCTTTTAGACCAAAAAAATGCGCAGAGGGTAGTTTTACTCCATGGCTGTTTAAAACTCTGATACAACAACGTGACAATGACAAGTCTTTGAAGACAGGAAGTTTTATTGAAAGGCTTCTGTACCTGATTTGAGCTGACAGATCTGAAGAAGAGTGGTGAGGATTTCAAAACAAAAACAAACTTAAAAACAACCCATCAACATTTGGTTCACACCTTGATATGAATGGGCTGACCAGCCATGTTCAGGCAGTTCCACACAGAGAAAGAAAAACTCAGGCTTTTGACATTCAAACGATCCGTCAGAGCATCTTTGGTTCATTCTTACTTAGAAATCAAACAGCTCCTATTTACAAAGCATTCACAGCAAAGGCCAGTGCAATTTGAACGTCTTTAAACCTCTATAAACATCATCGAGCTTCAACATAATACGACCTATTAAAGTGCGTTCTTGCTCAGTAGTTAAGTGCATAGGAAAGTCTGATTTACAAACACAGACACACAACGAGCAAACAGTGTCTAATTCATTTTCAGGGTAAGACAAAGGCCAGCACTTTTAAGACTAATCAGCAGGACATGATCAGATTTATCTTTGCCATCTAAATGGAGAAAATGAAAACACGTCGCATAGTATTAAAAAGTCACCATAATCAGCAATTATGTTTAAGATGACCCAATCCAGTGACTGCAACTCCTATTTGTTCCAAATAAATGGATTAAAAGGCACATTAATGACTTTTTGAAACAGTTCAACTCCAAATACAGATTTATTCTACTTTGCAATGCAGATGGATCTAATGTTTTTTATTGTGTTTATGGTTAAATAGCTGGAAAAAGGAAGCTCAATGCTATGGTATGACTTCTTACCCTCGGTGTAAAAGACTATTTTTCAGAACATGAACAAACTTTTGAACAAGATCCACAGTCTGAAGTTTCCGCCTTTGGCTTGTGGATATTTTAAGGACTTACTTTGGTAGAAAACAGTCATCAAAGAATTCACAGAGAAACTCAGGCACTATGTGAGTGTTATTCCAGGCAATGTGGAAAAATAAAAATCAAGAAGTTTACTGTTTTTTAGGCAAACTCGCCTTTAAAAAGTCTTAGTGTGCTCATTAGTTTGAACTGAAAATAATATTTTCTTAAGTTTGAAAACACATCTGGAACAGTTTGAATTACAAATAATAAATACAACTTTTGTTCACCCCTTTTTTTCTGGTAGTCTGGAGTCACTCATAAATCAGTGCAATTGAATCCCAGTCGTAGGGCTAAAGGGGAATGTTTGTCAGGTTGCATTTTTCTATTACGCATTTCAAAAACTTAATACAAATTCAAGAAAACAAGCAAAACAAAACAAACAGAAATCTAAAACCCCACTCCTATAAATGATCAGCATTCAAGAGAAAGCTTCAGCCTGCATATTTACATTAGAACACAGGGCTATTATTAACAAACTAAAATATTAAGATGCTGGGTTGGCAGATGTTTGCAATTCTCAAACAATATTTACAGTTTCACGAATAATTAAAGAAAGATCGCAGGCTTGAGCTGGAGAAATAAATAATTTAAAAAAAGGGGGGAAAGCTGCATCATCTCTTGCTGAGAAAAAAAAAAAGTACTAAAATGCACAGGAGGCAGGCACATCAAGACTCCCTGAGGCTGATGAAGTACGCAAGCTCAGTCAGTTTCTGTGATAATACTGTTGGTGTCAAATTCATCGAAAGTCCTCTTGTAGCGGACAGTAGAAGAGAAGTAAGATCTTTTCTTCTTATAGATGACAAAGCCGATCGTTAAAAGGAGAGCGAGGAGGACCACGATGAAGAGACCGAGAGCCACCGGGGAGCCTGAAGACTCTGAGGAGAGAAAGTGAAGTAAAGACAGTCAGCTGATCTGACACGAAGTTCAGACACTCTGAGGAGAATTTGGTGATTCCAAAACACAATTTCTGAGAAGTAAGACATACACAGAGTCATCACTGTGGGCACATCAAGTGAGTTAGCCAGTTAGCTTAACCGAAAGATCAGGGGCCTTTACAAAACTGTCCCCTAAATCTGCACCCTATATGCCCCCACTCTGTTTAGGTGCTAACGTGGGGAGTCCGCCACATTTCAAAACCTGAATGTGAAGTGAGAGCAAGATTTTGGACCCTCTTACAGCAAGTCTGCACCATAGACTGTATATACTATGGACAACTTGGTTCCACCTCCCGCCCGTGTACGGATTCGAAGCCAAAAAGCTGTCTGTAAATTTGCGATTTTTCTTCATTTCCTGAAACCCGCAGTAGCGTTGTGCGCATTCAGCGGGAGAGTCGCTGAGAGTCGCTGTGATGACGCTCGGCTCAAACAGCGTATCCCCCGGGTGAGCTATGCAATCCCTGAACGCCCATAGGCTGTATCAGGTGTCAATCAAAGAAAACATGAACCCCCTAATAACTCTTAAAAATGGACACTTGAGCACAAACCAGTCTTACTGTAACTACATGTCAACATCGCAAGCAGGGGGGAGAAAAATTTATGTTCTGTGTAATAAATTTCTAAAGTTTGTCCACAGCCCTATAAGCTTTGCTGGAGGAGGCGGGATTTATGACCTATACTGCAGCCCATCAATAGGGGGTGCTGTTCTCGGAGTGGCTTCACCCAGCAAGGAGGCAGATGGCGTCCATTCTATATAGTCTATGGTCTGCACAGACACTGGCTCATAGACTAAATGCAATGCTGTTAATACAGAAATAAACTGTTTTTATTAAGAAACAAAAATACAATCATACAAAAAAAACCTTGGCTTGTTTTTGCTTGATTGGAAGTGTTTTAAATTACAAGGTGGCTGCTTCTAAAAAAAGGAGATCATAAACATCAGACCACAAATAATTAAATGTTCAGAAAAACTGCATCCAAAGATCATGAGCAGTTCTTCTCATATTGTGGAGGGATTTTTGTGAGCTATTATTATTTTTATCAACCAGCTTTTTATTTGTGTGACACATAACCATGATTACATAAAACGCCTGTTCTCCTGGAATGAGGGGAGTTTGTCCCAAAGCTTGCAGCTTAATCTCAATCCCTCCACCTTGATGAGGGGAGTTCAGCCATGTGCGTGACTTTAAACAAGGTAATGTGTGTAATGTCCTACTGTAAAGGTACAAGTGGTTGGGGTTACTCACTTGCTTTAGTTTTGCAGATGACTCGACTGTTGCCAGCCTCGCAGTTGACGAGATTCCAGATTCCTTTTTCATCCCCGGCAGTCATGACGGCGCAGGGCTGCCCAGGCTTTTTCTCGGTAAAATACTCCTTAGACTTCCAGTTAGAGAAGGACAGAGTGGAGCCGTCCTGCCAAGATGAAGGCTTACCTAGGGGGAAAAAAGCAAGAGCAAGAGGGAAAGCACCATCATTTGAAGTAGTGTTTTCCAAATGTTGAACAAAGATTTTAGTTTCCTCTTTTTTGCAGCAAACAGGTTTAAAAAAAGGGTCAACCAGCAGCTCATGTGCATGCAGGGATCTAGGATTAAACTTTTCTAGTAAATTGTTCAGCTTATTTTTCAAAGATCAGGTTTACCTTGAGAATCAAAGTCCATGTCAAGCCAAGCTCTGCTGGTGATGAAGGGATCACCAGACATGTAGTTTGAAACAAAGTCATTCTCCTCTGTGGATTTTATGGTCAGCAGCTGAGAATCTAAAAAAAAAAAAAAACAATACTACATTATACCACAGCTGCATCAGATAGACATGGACACAAATCCTCAACAGTGGAAACACCAGCCCACCCATCTTCTGACAGATGCTCCTGGCCTGCTGTATGCTGAAAACCGTGTAGTTGTAGAAGCTGCTGTTGAAGGCATAGCAGTGATCCCCATGCTGCACCCACATGGACCTCCCACTGCTCTGAGGGCAATGATTGGCCTCTGGGGCAGCCTGCAGTCTGGCTCCTGAATCAAAAACAAAACAAAATCATGACCTCGATCAGATGCATTTTTCTTACAAAATGGCACAAGTTTCACAAAATGGAGCGTAGGTGCTAATTTTCTTCTCTGATTAACCTGGACTAAACAATCCTTAATCCCCCTGACTAGACAATCTAAGGGGAACAGTGTGGTTTTATATTTTTAACACTCTGGTGTCTCACTCTGAGAAGGGGTGGTAATGTTGGTGGTGTAGCAGATGGCTCCTTCCATCAGTGTGTTACAGCTGGTCTTCATCCAGTCCCCAGCAGGTGTTACATAGACACAGCTGGTCTCCTGTTTCCCGGAGCTGGAGCTCTTCTGCGACTCAGAGATGGTGGCTTTGTAGTCAAACACGGTTCCATCGGACCACTCATAAGCAGAACCACTAACCTACATGGAGACAGAAACAGAGACTGTCTGGTTAAAGTTGAATTGTATGAAAGAACTCTTCCTAGCATGTACTTTAGGGCTCAGTTATATCTAGATTTGATATTTTACTCATGTTTTGGACAATTTAAATTCTTACATCTTGGTTTGATAGTCCAATCCAGAGCGGGAAGCCATCAGTCTTGGAAATGAGCCTTATGTGTGCGTTGTGCTGGACGTCATGGACACTCGCCAGGTGGCCTCCTCTCTGACCACACTCTTCCACAGCCTGGTACCAACTCAGCTTTTTGGTCAAAACCTCATAGGATAAGTTTCCATAACACTGGTAATCCCTGGATGACTGGTTGTACTCCTGTTTTGATTCTTGGGAGGGGAGGATTAAACCAGTCAGAGGTCTTTTAAACTTCAAATATCTTCAGTAAATGTTCAAAAAAGAAGTGGGGGTAAAAAAAAACTGTGAATAAATGTTAAATATGAAGCACCAACCATTGTCCAGTTTGCAGGCCACAATGCTTCGCTGCTTGAACTCTGGGAATAAGATTCGGTTTGTGATGAGAATCCAGTTGCCGTTGATGGTGAGTCCAGCCAAGAATTGTTCACGGACATCTGGTCGGCCTTTTGCCCAGTTGGAGTATTGGACATTGGTGCCATCATACCACTTCATTTGGTTATCTTCAGCAGAACAAAAACACTGGTTACTCTTACATATCAGATCAGCATCATATATAATATACGGAGGGTTCTGGGGAGTAAAGACTACTCAAAGGAACACACTCAAGCAATGCATCTGGTTCGTCCAATGTACTATGTAATGTCCATGTCAAATAAATAAAACATAAACATAAAAGAGATTTAAAGAGAACTCAAACAAACCGTTTTCATCTTTGAACAGCCCCAGCCACACAAACTGGACCAGGTTCTGAAATGGAACCAGCTGTTGCTGAATGAACTCATTCTCCTCAGCGTTTCGGATGGTTAGGATGTCTGCATCCGCATCTAAAGTATAAAGGCAACACCTTTAACAACACCAGTCAATATTTGTCAAATATTTTACTGTATGAATAAGGAAGCAGGCTGGAAAATATAATTTAAAGTAATTAAATGGAAATGTTACTAAACGTTTGTTAGTTGATATTACTTTCTCGGTCCACCTGCTTGATATGTTCTCTTTTTTCATGTCTAAATTCAAATTCCTCCACAGAAATGAACATGCTCCTTATGCTGGGAAACCCTTACAGAGTTTTTTGCAGGTGTCTTGAATCCTTCCTTGGTCGAACTCCTCCCATCTGGAGGCAACAAGCTGGAAGGAGTAGCAGTGGTTCTTGTAGGGGATCCAGTTTGGTCCGTTGATCTTATGAGGGCACTTGACTGCTACGTCCTCTGGTGTGGTGATGATCTCTTCTGTAACACACAGGTTTATATTTTCACTAAATAGTTTTTATAATGCCAGCATACTGTAAAAGGACATGATACTTAAATCTTTTAGTACGAGAGGAAATTGATATTTGACATTTGTCTCTGAAAGCATTCATTATTTTTTAACTTAATGCTATGTTGGTGTGTTTTTCAAAAAGTTTTACCAGCAGAGGGAAGCAGAACAGCTATTTCTGTATACTTGATTCCTCACCATGTGGTTTGTGGCAGATAGCGCCCCCCAGCTCTTCCTCACACTCTGTTGCTTTCCAGAAGCCATCGGTGTCCAGGTAGACGCAGGATCCGCTGGTGACATCAGAGGACCAGCGGCTGAACACAGTATGACTGTGGTCTGTCCAGCGATAATGGATACCATCCTGAGCACAACAGACACACGTCATTACTTTTAAAATGATCTTTTCAACAAATCCAAAAAAACGAAAACTCTTTTTTTTTGGCTCTCTTACATCTTCACTGAAGAGGCCAATCCACATGGGCGTCTTGGCTCGGCTCACATGCACTGTCAGGGTGGATTGCAGGAAGGTGTCGGACACGCTTGCCAAGTCCATTTTGTTACCTCTGCACTGCTCCAACGCCTCGAACCAGGTGAGGTTCTTAGCAAGCAGCAGAATGGTGTGGTTATTGACACTGAAGGGCTCCGTGGGTATGCTGGGTGCCTCAAGTTTGTCTGAAATGGAGTTTTGAAGGAAACTGAGCGAAGGTAAATTGTGAAACAGGCTTTTAGTTATTTATCTGGGAACTTGGGTAAGAATTAAAGGGATATTCTGGCGTAAAATTAAGTTAGGGCCAAACACACTGTAACACCAAGTTAGACACCCCCTCGAGAGATGAATGTTGCCGACTCTTGCTTCTCTAGTTATACCAACTTTAGTAACGACCGCACGATAGTAATACACAGCGGTCTCAGGAGCCATAAACAAACCTCAACCAAAACGCCACTCTATAACCACAAATAATGCTCACAACGGCCGGGGCTCCCCCACAAACAAGCGGCTGCTGGAGGAGAGTGGGTGAGTTGTGTTTAGTCTCTTTGCAAAAGAAATCAGGCAAAGTTAAAAAGATGTTTGATGGCTAGTAATACGGCTGGGACCCTATATGTACTGTTGATGAAGTTAGGTGCTGTTCTGAGCATTATTTGTGGCTATAGAGTGGCGTTTTGGTTGAGCGTGTGGCTCCTGAGACCGCTGATTCAGGGTAAGGATGAAGGGTTAAAAGTATTAGTATTAGGGTACCTGCATAGTGCTGACAAATGCCCACATGTTGAAACTGTGCACAGGAAGAATAGTCCCATGTACCCAGCATGGCCGAGTTGGGGTTATTGATCATAAATACACACAGATCCATGCTGGCAGGATCCCATGTCTGCAAAAAAGGGGTAAAAGATCAAGAATTAACTCCTAAATCCAAACATGGTTCTGCCTGTTCAAAAAAGACCTTAGATAGATTATAAATGTAGTTTGCATTAAATGACGACTTCACCCACTTACATTGACTTTAATAGCCCTGTGCATGCCCAGGAGCAAGGGGTTGAAATTCAGGAAGTCAACTGAGGTCTGGTCCACCCATTCAGGGTCATCACGTTTGATCTTCAGACCAATCCAGATCCTGTCCATGTTCCTCATCTCCGGCAAAAGTGTGGTGATAAAGTCTAAAACACACATATAGGCCAAAATCCTTATTTGTGTGCAAAAGAGCATCTGAGTCTGAGGAATTCATCTCAGGAAACCATCATTCAAGGAACTTTAGAAACAAACACGAACAAAAAAAAAAACTAGTTGTTCTCACCTTGCTCTACCTGATCTGATATCGAGACCAGTGTTCCCCTCACAGACCGGCACTCATCATTTCCATAATTGAAAGCAACAGGCTTCTGGCTCCTCATCAGAGTGTAACACTAGCGGGAAAAACAGTGAAACAATGTTGCTGGATCACATTTTATTCGACCCGTATTTATGACTGAAGCTGCTGTTTGGTCTTTGTTTTGATAGTGAGATAATGGGAGTTGACAGACAGAGACGTGCAACGGGTCAATTTCAAGCTTTAGATTTTTGAATGAGTATCTTATCAACCTCACAATGGTTAGCATTAGCAGCCAGCACAAGGTGACTTTGTGTGGATAGTTTTACATCGAAAAGATTTCATGCAAAGAAATAACAATCACTTTACAGCCACGCCACAGCACTTTAATTCAACAGTGTAAGCTCAAAACATGTCATGACTTTTGTCCACATACAAACTGTCTTTATTTATATGGCCCTGGCTGTATTGCACACTTTAACTGTGTGTCTCTGCCTTTGAGGGAGCTAAATTTAGTTTATGCCATTTTGTTGATTTCTGTAATGTAAGGTACGTTAGTGTTTCCAGAAGAGGTCGCTTGTTTTTTTTTGTTCCTTTGCTCACTCTGAGGTATTTTCTTCGCTCTATCTTATTAGTGTAAAATGTTCATATCTTGCAAATAAATCGCTGTTGAGGTTTTATTCAAATCTCACTCCTGTTGTGGAGTCTGGGAAGGTACAGAATCTTGTTGAAAACTTTATGTTGCACACCCGCTCCCTGTCCAAGCTCCACTCTATACTGGACAATGTCAATTATTAATGTATTTCTGATTCTGATTCTGACAGGTGCGTAACATGGGAGAAACTAACGATTTGTAGATGGAAATGAAGAGTTTCTTTGTTGTTTTTCTATAAAAATATGTCTTTACGGTAGTCCCTTTTGTGTTTTTCTACTTGGATTTAGAGTTCTTGCTTAAGTAGCTTCTGTCTGTTTGAAAGCCTTTCCTGATTCTATTGGATCTGAAATGTGTCATACAGTGTCCAGGTTTTATGTTGAACTTTATATGGACTATCAGATTCATACAACAACCTTACACATTTCAACGCTCTTGTCTTGTCTTGTAATGTGGATCTTTTACATAAAGATTATTATAAAAACATCATGATTTGGATCAGCTGTTATACGTGATAGCCCTATATATTATTATATAAGTATCATGCATTGTCTAAATGTATACACAGTGTTACATGTGTTGAATGTACAGACCTTGTTTCTAAAGGACAGGGAGTTGGCTCCACAGGGCAGACCTTCAAGCTGAGGCTCCAGAGGGTTTCTCTCCACTGATGTGATGTTGTGTCTCTCACACACAAAAGACAACTGCTGTCTGCAACTGCGTTCATGCTCTGCAAGTCAGTATGAGATAGGAAATGTGTTGACCAGTATTGATGGTCTTAATTATGTTTTTTAAAAGCTTTAATATCCAAAACCAAACTGAACAATCTTACACCTCTTAAAATCCTCCAAACCAAAAAAAAAAAAAACAAGCTTTCTGATCTGGTTAGATTTCAACCAAATGTTGCTCTTGTTGCGTGCTTTTTGCATCAGTACATGTGCTACCACTTCTTTCCAACTGCATCCCACCCACACCAAACCAATGAGAAGAGGGAAAACGGCAGAAATACACACACACTTCTCTGATGACACAACCAAAACGAGCTGTATCCTGGCAGAACACTTTGTTTTTACACAGCACTGCCTCAGACAGTCACAGGCTGATTGAGAAAATATGTTTTAGGGCCTTATTTTCATTTTGTTTCATGGATTAAATCTTGTGGAGGAAATGTGTCTGCTCTTCTAAATCCAAGTATGAAGTTTTAACATTTGCCAAGACATAAAAGAGGAGATGGATTTGACTCTCTTGTGTTTGAGGAATTATCTGTATTGTTACAGTTGTGTGATACAGACAAAACTAAGCCAGTGTTGTTGTCTCCTTCCTCCTCATATGGACAGATTTCTCCAACTGTTTTAGGAAGGGGTCATGAAATATGCACTGCAGTGCTTACTCACCTGGGAAGTAGTTTTCAGGACTGATGGAGGTGCATCTTCCCAGGAAAATGGAGTGATAAAAGTACATCTGGGTGTACCTAGAGCATGAATGAATGAAGTCCAGATTAACATCACATTATGGTCTAACTTTAAAAATAAATCAACTGAAAAAGAAAGCAACTGAAATATGTGGTTATTGTTTGCACAACACAATAATTCTGTGACTTATTGTGCCCACTTACGTCATGGGGTATATCCTTCCAGGCTCTCTTAGATCCACCCACCAGCTATGTTTGTAAGAACTGGATCTCTGTTCAATAAAAAAGACAAAAGAAACAAAACACAAGAAAATAATCAACCTGAGCTTGTTTTGAGCAAAGTTTTATCAAGTGTTTTCACAGTAAAGAGGGTTGTGTAACAGCAAAGATATAAAGATTAGCACATTTCAAATGTGGAGTAGTTCCCTGAGAAGTACCATAGATATGCATAGATTTCATTCAGATGATACTTTCTTTCTTATAAAAGCTCGACTGTACTTGATGTACGCCTCTGAAGTGTTCAAAGGGTTCTTCTGTGACTTTTAGACCGCTCTCCACAGGGTTTAAGGACTCCCAGGAGGCCTGCATTGCAAAGTGGCTCTCATTTGGACCACTGATCTTGTGTTCACACTAATGTTTTTATTTTTCTTGTGTGGTTACCCTTAAAGGCAGAGCTGGTTCTGCTTTATTTTTATAGCTTCCAGCTGCATTCTCATGAAAAACCGTCCACTTTCCTGAAGCACCAAGTGAAGGAAGGAATTTTAAGGTCATCATGTCCTGTACAACAACTACAGATACCCACAGAGGACAAATGTCAGCATTATAAACTTTAAAAGGCAAATAAGGTTCATCTCTATCCGTCAGTCTCAAACTGCACAGGCACTGCGTGTTACTCTAGCCTGAATAAATCGACCATTGTCTGACCTTACCTAGAAACAAGACTGACCAAATATAGTTTTACAAGAAGAACTCAAACTGACCCATGATGACGGTCATTTTCAGCTGGTGAAACTCTCAGTCCATGCTGATAAAGGTGACCATACGTTCTCTTTTACCTGGACATGTCCTCTTTTTTGGGCGCTGTCCGGCTTTGTCTGGGGAAGTTTATAAGATCCTTCAAATGTCCACGGTTTTGTCTGTAAGTTTCGATTTCGTGTCACGTGGACTTACTGAGTTAGAAGCGCGTAAAAGAAACTCGATCCGACCCGAAAAACTCTCAAAATTAACTTTGTGCGACTCTGTGACTCCGCCCCCGCACAGTCATGTCCTCTTTTTAGGAAGTCAGAATGTGGTCACTCTAATTTTGATAAACAGAGCCACTGATTTTTTCCCCTTGGCTGAAATCAAGAACTTATTTCTTTCAGAAGACTCAGTGGAGTCAAGTTAGTAACTTTCTACTGTTCTCACTGTGGTGCCATCTTAGCGCCTAGAGCCTACCAGGTGAATCAACAGAAACAAAGAGAGGTGTGGCTCATTAAAGGGTCCGTTTACCTGGTCTTATGGCGTTCTTTAAAGCCATTAATTACCAGGACATTTACCGTTCCTCATCACTTACATTTACGATGTGCTCATGGATCCGACTGGCAGCCGTTGAGGTCGTTGGTGCAGCAAGTTTGCTTCCATTTGAGCTGCAGTAGAGCTGGGCTTCCTCAAATGTTAGCTTAGGCTCCTTTACAAACCAGAACTCTGCCCCATCAACAAAGATAGATGACTCATGGTGTCCGCCTGAAATACACAACAAAACAGCTTCAAAATCAGGACATGTGAACCTCTGTGAGGTTTCAAAAATAAACTCAAAAGATGACCAGACTTCAAATGCAAATTTTGGGAAGATGCGGTCATTACCAGGATTGTACCACTCTGGGTTCTTCGGCTTTACTCCTGTTGAAGCATCAACAAAAATGAATCAGAAGAAGAAGTAAAAGTATTAAAATAATAACCAAACAAACAAAGGCTTGGAGTGTTTTTCCAGAGCTATTCATGGTTTTAAATCAAACTGCTGTGTCTAATAACACTGGCCAAACAAACAGAAATAAAACCTCATACACAGTCGCACTTGTTATCTTACCACGGGGTATTTGACAGACCCACTCCAGCCTGGCGTCACAGTGAAACGGTGTGGCGAAGAAAGGCGTGGGGGGCAAGTCGTGGAGCAGAAACACAAACAGGTGCTTCAGTGTGCCCTTTGCTGTCTGAAAGGACACAAGATTGTTTTTACAAATGTTATCCTTAAAGAAGCACAGTCGTAATGTGACGATGTAGTATTGTTGACAGATAATTAAAGAAGCCTTTCTGACAACACCATCACAAACAAGGATAAGCTAAATGGGAGCAGAGGTTAGAGACCAAAACTTCTTGATGGAAGAAAACAGCAAAAGGGAATCATCTGGCACTCTTTTTTTCTCTCTGTGTGATGAGAACCAGTGCTCTGCCTGGCTGTCTGGTTACAGGATTATCACCATCAACCCTAAGGGGGGGCAGATTTCAGCAGAAACCGTTCTGCTCACTCCCACCAGCAGCTGAGTAAATGGCCTTCACCCAACAGATCAAACAGTAAAAATGAGAGGAAAAAACAAATCCTGAAAATATGCTTAATATGAGATTGGAGAAAAGGGAGTGATTATCCTTTGAAGTGCGAAAGCAAAATAAGAAAGTCAACTATTTTTCCTTTAGTAGGATTTATCCACCCAGAATACCTTGAATGCAGCACAGTCACGACTGTAGGCGTCATCCTCATGGAAGTCTTGGTGCAGCACATCCATAGACACCTGAGAAATCACATTATCAGGATTCAACTCCAGTCGTTATGCCATAGTTAAATTAATCTGCATGAATCCACAGATGAGTTTGGAGAAAAATAAAGGTTTTTTAAGAACTTACAGGCTGACCGTTGCTCCACTGCCAGGAGCGATCAGCCGGGTTTCTCCTGTTCAGGCCGACCCAGAAGTAACGATTGTCACTGAAGCAAACACACAGGAAAAAGTCACCATGATGTTTTCCAGCAAAGGATCCCAACATAAGTGAAATTGTGATTGTTATAGTTTATATAACTGTATGAAGGTAGACGTATGTCAAAAACACATTTTTCCTCACTACTTTTGGTCAGTACATTTAGGCAGGGCTTGACAGTTCAACCGCTTCACTCGCATTTGCGACTAAAAATAGATGTGTGCGAATTGCAAAGTGTATTTCGAGGCACATGTGCACATAAAAAAAATCAGCCGAGGCAACAAATGTTTTTTCATGTAAATACCACAGTGAAGTTTGGTTTAGGTTGGATATCTGACGGACATTTAATACGGATCTACGGGTGTCTTCTCACTCTCCATAACCGGGCATAGCAACAGCAGCGTGTTTAAATCTACTCAGCATCCTCGATGTCAACGCCGGGTGTTGAATAAGGGACCATCAATAAATTACCGGTTGATGTACTCAAAAAAGGCTGGTTTCCTTCTATTGCTTCCATGTCATGTGACCAATTGACCTAAGTCAGACAGTGAGACACCTCTTTATTTCCCTAATTTGTCCATGTGTTAAATTTAAAGGCAAATTTTGAACATTTTCTTCAAAAGCTTCCATGTCATGTGACCAACTGACCTAAAATTGATTTAAAGTAATAGAACTTGTCGACCAAGAAGACAAACATTATTTAATCAACTTTCATTGTGCCCCTGAAGTTCTTTGTGTGCTCCTTACTTTTTCAACTTAGAAGCACATGCGCTCCCTCTGAAAAAAGTTTGTGTCAAGCCCTGATTTAGGGCCTGATTTACCAAGACTTCAGACTTTACATATTGTTGGACTTTACATCCAACCAAACTGTGATTATGAAATGAACTCTAGGAAAGTTGAACTCTAAGGTCATCACTAATGGAGACAGAACTAAAACACTTGGCATTATTCTCGCTTGTTGCACTCTAAATGTTAGTCCAATAAGAACGATTATACACACACAAAAACACACACACACACATTCCTCTGCATGCAGTCACTTAGAGTGTTGCAAGAGCTGCAGCTTAGGCTCGAACAAAATAAACAACTAGAGTAAGGATAATTACGCATGTGCAATTCTGAGCGCACAAGAGCGTCGACAGTACCTGATGGTTTCTCTCATGATGCTGTGCAGGGTCCTCATCTCTGCGAAGCTGTTGAAGCTGGGCAGGTTTCCCCCCAGAGCCTGACAGAAACTCTCAGCCTCCTTCCAGGAGCGCTTCCTGCTCAGCCTCTCCTCATGAAACACCTGAGGAGGTAAAACATCAACTCAGAACAGCCGCTACTAAAACTGTAGTAATAAAGTTTGGGAAGTCCAGTAACCGGTGTAATATGTAAGCCAGCTGAATGAGAGCCATGGGGGAAAATACACAGCAGCTTTAAATCCTACAAAACTTTGTAATGTCAGGCATCAAACTGAAAAACAAATGACCTAAAAAGCAAAATGAATCATTCAATCTAGCAACAAGACCTAAAATGAATGAATTCTTCCAAATATGACTCCTCTGCTTCATCTCTTTCGGTTTTGAGGAAATTTTAAAACATAAATCATGGTTTTTGAGGTAACTTCACAAGGTTAACTTTACTTTTCAGAATGCGGGTTGGTGATCGGCTAATCCTTACAGATGAAACATATGAAACTGATTTTATCCACTGATCTTATCTACCTCAGCAAAGGTCTGAAAGTCAGCCATTGTAGCTTTTTGCTTCGCCTGCATGACAGACCCACCTACCAAGTCACGTGTTCACGCACGCCTGTGTCATCTGGAGCATGATCAACCAAGCAAGGTGAACCCCCTACAAGAAAACCTAAAACTCAGGACAGTTTATTGGTAGTTTAAGTTTTGTTCTTAGTTTGTCCTGTAGATTATTATTTTACTACTTCCTCAAACCTTGTGATTTTCTATATTTATAAAAGCAAAATACTGCTGTGCATTTTAGTTTAGTAAGAGGTTTAAAACAGGCCTGCAGTGTGACCTGTTGCGTAAGTATTTATAATTTTTTAAAATGTGGTAAATAAAAGACTAAAGGAACTGATATAATCTAGTAGTTTGGACAGCAATATTATAAACTTTTTATTTATATTTGAGAGAACTACCTCATGTGACGTTAAACAAACACAAAAAGTTTGTATTGTTTCACAAGTGTTGTTCAAGGTTTTTCATTAAAATAAGATCGGAGCATCGAAGGTGTTTGTTGTCAGTTATATAAAAAAAAAAAAGGTATCGGCCAAAATCGGTATCGGCAGGTCAAGCTTTTTAAAGATCGGTGATCGGACAGAAAACTGTGATCGGTGCACCCCTAATGAGAACTATTGATTGCACTTCCTTGTCATCATAATTTCAAAGAAATTACATGAGGCTAACACCAGAAACGTCAGATATGAAACCACACATTAAAGCTTTGAATTACGTTTCTATATTTCACTGTTTCATTCCCTTTAACACTATCAGGGCTGCACCTGAAATATTATGTCTAAAACTGCCATACAGAGCACAAGAATAGAGCTGTGCAAAAAAAAAACAGCTCCATGGAACAAACAGGAGTTAGTCGTCTTTTCTTTTTCACACCAAAGATGAGGAAGTGAGAGGTCTTAATTAGCACGTTTCCGCCAAACATTAAGCTCTTGTCTGACATTTTTTCCCCGTATTCTGGTCTAGATAACTCATCATATTTTATTTAAATCATAGTGAGCTCTTTGTTTGACGACTGAAAGGCCACTCCGATCAAAATTAGAAAGTAACCTTTTAGATTATGTGCTTTGCCACAATCAGCTCATGTAATATCAAGCATTGAGCAGACATTAAAGTTGTGCTGCAGTACTCTGGTAAGCTCTCCTCTTATGCACAGACTGTCTCACTTTCACTTTGATTGGTCCTCACACTCGGCTCGCTTTGACTCGAGTATCACAGCTTATCACATTTCACTCAGCCCCTTCTGGAGCAGCAAAATGCTTCACACTTCCGTCTTGTTGTTTTATGCTGCTGTTCTTACTTTGTAAAGTGACCTTGAGTGTCCAGAAAGGCGCTTATAAATAAAATGTATTATTATGTATTATTTTTACACACATCAGTAGTTCCTATGATCAGTAAACAGACTTTGAAGCCCAGAACTGAAGCAGACTCCGATTCAAGTAACAGAGTAATCCACATGGCAGTTTTTCAAACACACACCTTGTAGCAGTATCTGATGTTCGGCTTAGACGCCCATCCATCAGGGCAGCTCACGTTGAGGTTGGGCTCTGGCCCTGGAGGTTGGACTGGACTGAGGTCAGTTCTACAAACGGTGCCTGCCTTAAAATAGGTGCAGTTTTTGGCCTGCCACTTGCCCAGAGGTTTTGCAGTGGAAATGACCGCACATCCTCCGTCTCGTTCTGAAATTCAAAGGAAGAGGAAGTTTGATTAATTGTGCAAGATAACTGACACTTTTATTGTTATAATACAAAACAAAACAACTTTGAGATTATGTAGAGTCATTTTTAGCTGATTACAATCTGGTAAGGACAAAATCAAGAGAAGGTCAGACTAAGGGCTGAAAAATAATCTCTTTACAGGGGTGAAACATATGATAGCTCATTTCAGTTCTTTTTAATCATGTTTTTGTGCACTAACCTTCACATAAAGGTACAACACAATTCTATTTAACTTGTGTCTGAAAATGTGCATACAGTCTTGACCAAAATTTTCATCAGCCATTACTTTTCTATATTCAGCAAGGAAGACTCTTAACTTGACAGACTGACAACTTTGTTTTTTTTTACTATAATAATAATTTCAAAAGTTGTGACATTTTTGGGATTCAAACTAACTTTGAAATACTGGTAAAAAAGTAAGTATAAAAGTATAAAAAAAAATAAAAGTATTTGTATGCTGCAAAATCCAAAATGACCACAGAATCAGTCTCCTTTGTTAAAAAAATCGATATAATTCAAAACTTACTCAGTCTTGACATACTGTTTAAGTCCTGCACCCAAAACAGTGAAGTAAATGAGTAAATGGAAACTTTTAAACAACAAGAATCTTACGTATCTTACATGGGGGGGCTTTGATTTAAATGCAGCAAATAATAGTTCTGAAATCTTGAAACACGGCCTTAGTCCTCCGGTGTTGGACCGGTCCATTGTAGGTGGTGAATTTTGTACTAACCTGGTTCAAACCAGCCCCAGTTGGTGTAAGTGACCACACCAGAGGATCCATCCTGGCTCTGCCACTGATACTCCCCGGTGTTCTTAATGTCCTGCAGCCCGATCCAAAAGTACTGAGGCTCTTTGTTGATTTGCTCGGTGAGTAAACGGTTGATGAAGGCCTGTTCGAACCTGAAACAACAGCCAAATGTGAGTGAAACACAGGAAGATAACATAATCCAGAATAGAGGTCTGTCTCGTCTGTATTTTTCTCACCCGTTTCTTATTGTGATGTTGCAGCGATCTTTGAAGAGCACTTTCTGGGTGTTCAGCTGGTAACAGGAATTTCCGTGTCTTCTCCAACCCTGCAATATTAACACCAATCATAAATATTGATTGATTTCAGCTTTTATTTATTCACACAAATATGAAACACTTAAGAACAGACTTGTAAAGAAGCTTGATCAGAGACTCAATAAAAGAATATTCATCCATTCATTTATGATAAAAAAATCAACCAATGATCTTTATTGTATTAGAGTAATCTGTCGCTCATTTTTTCACACTGGGTTATTTTTTTTTGCACTCAGGAAGTTAAAAAGAGCAAACTACATGATGGAGACAAAAATCTACAAACTTATTGCTCATAAAGAAAAGTGACAGCGTTTTTCTATCAGTGGACAGTAACTAGAGACCAGCAGGTTTAGTGCTTAGTGCTGGTTTAGTCCTTTTATCAAATGCTAAATATGACGTCTAACAACAGTTTTACTTCAATTCACTTCAACTGGACAATACTCACATCCTTAAAGCTACATCCAGCTAGTGCCACAGATTCCTTGACCTGTCCTTTCTTCTGACACATAAAAGGTTGCTTCATGGTGCAGTTCCCGACCCGCCATCTATGAAGCTGAGGAGGACAGATGTAGCAGGTTGTAAAAGGACACATCGAGAGCTTTGGAAGAACACACAAAAAAAGGCTGGAAACAATGTAAAAGAAGACAGAAAAACACACACACACACACCTCCCCTGAGTAGAAGACACAGCTGGTATCCACAGCGAGCTGAACTGGTTGGTTTTTGTCCCAGTAAGTGAACGTTACAGGTGCCTCGTCGATCCATTTGAAGACGGTGGTGTTTACAGGCGATCCAATCAAACCGATCCACACATCCAATAACAGACCGTCTGTTGGATAATAAAAACACAAGTTAAAAACATCAGCTGGAGTCAAACAGCCCAGGCTTTGACGGAGAGAAACCATTTCAAAAGGTTTGCTTTACCAGCGTGGAAACTGGTGCTGATCATCTCTTTGCTGTCGATGGAGTGAAAGCTGGCCAAAGAGCCTCCACCCCCTCCCTCGGTGAGGTTACAGTGCATCTGGGCGTCGGTGAAGTTTAAAGGTTTGTCCTTCACCAACCTGTAGCACCAGCCGTTCCATGGGACCCAGCCGTCCTGACAAACAGTTTCTTTATAAACAAGAGAGTCTGAAGAGGAAGAAGGAGAAGACAAGGAGAAGGTTGGATCAATTTACGCACAGAACCTGGAAAGAGCTTGAGAATCGGAGCAACAAAGAAAAAGGAGGGTGGATTTATTTCAGCTGATCTACCTGTTGTTTCTGTATGGGAAGCATTGACAGTCTTCTTGCAGATGTACGGCAATCGTTTGCTGCATGACTCAGACTCATAACGCTGCTTTGAGTTCAGGACTCCACAGTCTGACTCAGAAATCCCACCAGAAATTGGTATTTCTGAAAAACAAACATTAAATACAAATCCAGTTACATGCTGACTACAAAAGCAGAGCAGAGGAGCACGTCTTCAACGGTTCAACACAGAGCTGCAAGAAGAAAAAACTGACAGGTCGTTAATTATAGCAACCACAAGAAGCTCATACCAGTCCAGATAGCTGCTGACATTCAAACTACAGTGTCAGAACAACAGTAAACACACAGTCAGCATAACACAACCGCTGCAAGGTTTTATAAAGCATCCATTCAGAGCTATTAATGGGTTATTCAGCAACACTAACAATCCCCATGCCACACTGTGTCCAAAAAACAAGGCACAATCAGCTTCTCTTAACACTGGCCTCATTGTTAGCCTCTGACTGTCACAAAGTTTCAGTTTAGTAGTTTATTTGGAGGGTAGCACCGATAGCAGCTTTGGAGTTCTCACAGCAGCAGGTGTTTCAAGAAACTGATGTAGAGTTATTGTGGTTCTTGCAGAATCGTTTCCTGCAAACTAGGCAGCAAATTTTTTTATATGTGGTGCAATGTACAAAGTATCACTGCCTCAAACTGAAACAGAAACTCTGGGGTTGAAACAACGCTCCTATTTGCAAATTTGTCTGCTTTTTGTTTTTACTATTAAAACTTTTATCTTTTATCTGTCAACTCCTGTCTCTTTTACCACTACCTTATTTTTGCTTTACCGTCTTTTTAGCTTTTGTTATACTTGTACTCTTTTCCTAATTAACCTTTTAGGCCTTTTGTTTTTTTCCTCTTGCTCATTTCTGTTGCTCTATTTTATCATTTCTATTATTATCAGTATTACTCATTATTTTATTATCATTATTGATATTGTCTTTTATTTTTGCTAACCTGTTTTCCGCTTGTAATTGCATTTTCTTTCTCTTAACTATTTTATGTTTTTATTTTGCTCCTCATGGTCTCATTTTACATTGCATGGTTCCTGTATTGTCTGGATTCTTTATGACATGAAAATGGCTTCAGTTACGTTTTAACTGAGGTTTTGTTTTTATTTATGACTATATGTCAAAGCACTTTGTAAACTTCTGTTTTTAAAAGTGCTATAAAAATAAAGTTATCATTATGAAAGTTATCATAAAAAAACAGGGCAAAGAGTTGAAAGTAACTCAAAGGAAAGAAAAAAGTGAAAAACAGGAGAAACACAATCACATCATCACCTGTTTCCCAGCGCAGAACAGAGAGAGGGGAGCCATCGGACCACTGCCAGCCCTGAGACGAGTCTAACTGATGAAGGCCGATCCACATCTTCTCAGGCATTTTTTCAAAGCCGGCCAGAACTGCACAGTGCAACATCACAGCAACAAAAGGTAACACATATAGTACATCACAAACCAACAGGAAGTTAACATCACAATCATCAATCATAAAAAGTTCACTTTATCTGTGATAAAAGCTGCTGATAAAGGAGAGTCATTCTGCTTTTAGAGGAGAGTTCAGCGGCTTGCACTTTGGTTTATATGGGTGCTGTTGCAAAAGCGATGCAGGCAGCGGTGACTCTAGCATATGAAACACTTAAGATACAACTAGTGTCCTATTTTCTGAACATAAAAGGCTAAAGGATGAAAAAGTTACAACAAAACAGCCAGTGTTTTTGTTGAGAATCACTTAAATATGTGTTGACCAGGATCTAAAATGTAAAACTGATCAAGAGAAGATCCAAAAGAGGATCTATCTTGGCATCTACAACAAACACAGTATTTAATAAATGTGTGGTTTTTTTTCATCCAATCCCATGATCTGTTTGTACTGAAGGCTACAATTGGTTTACAGAGCAAGCAATGGGATAGTTGTTCTAAGAGAGAGAGAGAGTTAAATGGAAATGAGGTCATGCTGCCAGAGACCTAAAGGTGCTTTTAGTTATTAGAGTTTCACTTCAAGTTTTCCATCAAAACAGAAATTGCCAAGAATTATGACTAGAAAAAATAATTCTGTGGAAGTAAAACTACAAAATGAAAGTATCAGACAAAGAGTAAAAATGACCTGCTCTGTATCTTTAAATGTTATGTTGGGGGCGACCTTCAAAATAAAGGATCTCAAACTGACGTTAATAGGGTTCCTGGGCCTTGACACGAAGAGTCCAGCTGATTTGATATTGTGATGAATTATTTGTTCATTTTTTTTTGTGTTGTAAAGTAGCTGACATTAAACCTGTTATAAAGCTGATGATTAATAAATCAGTTTTTTGTTTTCAGCCTTAATGCTTGATATAAAAGTAGATTATGAAAAAACAAACAGTAAACCAGTCTTACAGGTTTGGGAGGAGAGATCTTCGGGCTCAGACACACTCAGCAAATCGGCTCCCTGACTCCGACATGAATCCAAAGCTTCGTGCCAGGTCACTGCGGCTACGGAAACAAACTCATAGCAGGAGTCCCCTTCCGGACCGGCGAACAGGGTCTGGCAACCCTCCTCTGCAAAGCCAGAGGGCAGAGGTCAGTGAAAGTGTAAACAAGTGATCTATATGTATCATAAAGTTGTATTAGCACATGAAGATTTACAACAAAAGGAAAATTAGTCATCATCTTATAAATGTGTCAAAATCTGAGACAGTAAAAAGTAAAGTTTGAGACATGCCAGGAGTGAGACAGTGTCCCTTCTTTCTGTCACTGTCATAGTCCGACGTGATGGCACACCAGGACATCTCGGGAAGATCCGTATCTGGGAGGCACCCATGATACCAGCTGCCGTTGTACTTGAAGGGGAATTCACAGGGAGCGCCATTAGAGTTCCCGTTGGTGGTGTGAACAACTGCATCAGACAAAGGAAGAGAAAAGAGAGTTTGGTTTTTTTTTGGGGGTGTCATGTTAAAGCAGTTACTAGATAAAGAGCTAATTGGTTTCTCTAAACTTCTTCTATTAAAGACACACAGTCAAAGCCAAACACATGCTGTCGCTGAAACGGGCGAGGTAGGAGGGAAAATCTTTGTTAGGAAACTTGCTTACTGTGGACCATAAACCCACAAAGACAGGGGGGCAGAGTTAAGTGCAGCGTGTGTGAAAGGTTTCTGCATCACACACTAAATTAGTGCGTCTTAATGGATGCAGTCAGCTGCTTCAGTTCAGGGTTAAGACAGGTGCAAATACTGGACTCAAAGAAGCTGAGAAAAGCAGCCTGTTGCACCTTCACATCAGCCTCCATCTTCTCTTGTTTTGTCTTGTGAAAATAAATTTAGATATTTTGTTGGTTTTAAACTTTCACCCCTGTGACCTTGACCACAACAACAAACCACAACTAATCCGTAACAAGCACCGATACGTGGATGCTGACCTGCTGGCTGGAGGTGTTAGCAACATTAGGGAAACATGTTTGACGTCCTTTTCTTGCAGACTCTTTAATCCTCTGTTTAGCCGAGTTAAACAGATTGTGCTCAGTTTTGTTGTTTGGGAAATTTTCTTACTTCACCTTTAAACTAGAGAGTTAGGACATTCCAAACTGTGACCCAGTGCTTGTGTCGTAATGCTTCTTCTTTTGAACATCTTTTCCAGCTACTTTTATGGGCTTTACTTGAAACTATTTACACATTTAAGGAGATTTATCTGAGTCAGCTCAGTCACACTGTGAGCAATGAGCATGAAACAAAAGTGAAAACCAGCTTTTGAATTTGCCACAAAAACATACTTCACAGGTCTGCATGTGAGGCTGAGTCAGAGATGATTTTGATTACAGAGGAACTTTTGATCACTTAAAAGACGAGAACAAACGTTGTTTCCTGTAACAAGTGAACAACAAAACACTGGAATGAGGATAACTCCATCAGACTTGTTTTAAAATGTACCTAAACCCGTTTGGTCATGTGACACAAAAGCTAGAGAAGGTAACACCTTATTAACAACAAGAGTGTAATTTCTCACAAAGTAGGAAAAAAAACACGTCCAGGCGTTGGACTCTCTAACTGAATTGAAGGTTCTATTCAGCCCAAATCAAATTTATCACTCCTCTAATTTCCTGACTGCATTATGGAGTCATGAGAGCTCCATAATAGGAGCTCGAAGCACTTCTCACAGAGCTCAGATCTACAGCATGTAAGCGTTTTCTCTCTGAGATGAAACACAGTGAAACCACACTCACCACGGTATGGTCTCTGGCAGATGTTTTCCAGGGATCCTCCTCTCACCCAAGTATCATTAGTGTCTCGTTTGGCGGCGACTTTGCCATCGCTGACCGACAAAATCATCTGATAAGCAGTGTAAACAGCCCCATCCATGCAGCGCCAAATCTGCAGGATTTCCGTGCCACAGTCCACAAGGGACAGTGTCTTTGAGGTAACGTTCAACGCCAAGCAGAGCGACGTGGCCACATGGAAGAGCCGATGGCCTGAGCCCCATTTCCACAGCTGGGGCCGGCTGTTCGGGTCACAGGAGGCGAGAGTCAAGTCTGTGGAAGACCCCGTACCAAGGCACTTCTCTGTGCTCGTATGCTGGATGGTGAAAGCATCCTCATCTGTTGTGAGGGGATAAAAAAACGACACATTACAACAACTGACTGCTTTCACTTTGGCAGCTGCTGACAGCCTTTTATCACAACATTTGCGAACGTTTCTACCATCTGTTTCCTGTCTGAGACAATAATGGAGGAGTTCATGAAATGTAGGCACTTACTGGAAAAAAAATCACAAATTAAACTTATCAAATAATCCCAATAACCTGTCACTAAATTGTTGTAGTTGTAACTTCTGTATTTTGGGTGGAAAAACAGACACATGAAGACCAAAACAATGTTAACAAAACAGATCATTTTGAAATTCCTGTGCATGTTTTTGATTCTTAAACACTGGCAGGAGATTACTGTAGAGATAATAAACATATCTGAAGGTAGGTCGGTAGGTAGGTACCTTCCTTTTTCTGAAAGCCAATCCGGACTGATTTTATCTGCTGACTGTTTTTATTGTTTTGTTCTGTTGCTTGATTTTATTGTTATTGTTGCCTTTTTTTGTACTGTTATTGTTGTTTTTGTGCACTTTGAGATTTGTTTTCAAATGTAAAGTGCGTTACATATAAAATCTATTATTATTATGATTATTAGGTTGAATCTATTTTCCCTGTGAGGAAATTCATTTGCAGTAAGTTAAAAACATGCACAAAGACAGCACACATACACAGTTCCATACACTGTCCCATTTAAAACAAAACTCTCAGAAAAGACAACATAAAAATACAATTGTACTGTACTTTGTCAATTCAAGTATTTCAATAGTCTTTAAATAATGTAGTAGAAACAGGAGTAGTTCTGCAATAATCACACAGGAATCAGAGTCATTGTAGCTTTTACTCTTTTACTGTCTGTATTTTATTCTATTGTTTTTAATCTTGTTTTTGTTGTTATCTATCTATTTATTTACTTCTTTTATTCATCCCATGTATAGCACTTTGTTTGACTGCTGTCTTTTAAGGGTGCTTTATAAATAAACCCTGACTTGACTTGATTAAACCTGGGGAAAACCCCAAATATGCTTGAAACAGGAGAAATACCCCCAGACAGTATTTTTGGCTGCAATAAAAGCAGGTTAAATCTCTAACAACAGATGTCTGTAGTACATTTGCCAATTCAATTAGCTGATCTTTAACCTCACATTTACATAAATTTTCATGAAAGTTACTGATCACTTCATAGCTAACATATTTTAAAATTGAGAGCAAAATGGAGTACAAAGGGTGCCACCCAGTTTGAGAGGCTATTTTCTCGTATTTTAGTATGAAAACCAAGTATGTTTCTGCCAGAATTTAATACATAAAGCAAAGAAAAGTGCTGGTACACAGACAGACTTTGGAAAAATGAAAACCAGTGTCCGCTTACAGCCTCATTTTAAGGTACTGCAGTCATCCAAAGTTGTGTTGAATGTCACAAATGCGCATTTGCAGAAAGAAACCTGCATCAAAGTGAGTGAAAATGACACCAGAGGACTGGAGAGACACGATTCACGACTGAGAGGAGCGACCAGCAGGGAGGGATGAGTTTGCAGTTTGTTTGACTTGTAGGAATATGGGGTGGCATACACTCACTGGGGGATGGGAAAAATTAAAACATACTGACTAAATACAAATTATATAACTCATAGGTGTCTTTAAATCTGCCTCATTTGTTATAAATCTCGCATGTTTGCAGCTTTTGTCCTCGCCATGCCGCGCTAAAGTGGACAATTTACTCTTGGGCTGAATCGAAAGTGGACCACACAAACGCACTGGCATGGTTGTAAAAGGTGAAGTGACGCAGAAATAAAAGCAAAGAGCAGTCTGAGTTTCAGATAACACTCACCAGAACCCTTCACGACAGCCGGTGAACAAGTCCCAAACAACACAAGTGAGTCCAACACAGTCAACAAACAAAGGCAAAGTGTCGCTCCAGAGAATTTCAGCATGTTCACAGAGTGCTCTTCGAGTTGGATTCATAAATAATCTGCACTCCCGGAGTGCTCAGCGGTGAATATAGGCCGATCGATAACTTAGCTCCAAAGCGAAAGTGGTCGGGTAACTACTCTAACCCAGTTAACCCGACTGTCAGCTGGGTTACTCACGGTCCCGCTCCAACAGACCAGTCAAGTCTGCAAGTGCCAGAGAGTGGGAATCAACTTCCGGTGTGGTTTACCAAAATAAAAGTTTGGAGGCGCCAGGAAAAATCTGACCAATTTACAAAAAACTGACGTTAGTAGCACTTTTTAGTCAAAGTACATTATGTAGATACAACGATCAGCCTAAAAATAAATAATTAACCAAAAAGAAGCATACAACAGGAGCTCTGAGCGCTGCTGCAGTGTCATAATATATGTCTGAATTCACAAAAATAAATAGAAATTACTTGGGGTTTTTTGTGTCCACTGTACATTAATTTGTTTTATCTTTATGTGCCTGAGATGGCAAAATATAATTTCCTGTTATTGTAAACATTCTTTGATCCCTGGCTACTTAAAAATTAACAATTAAATAGAGTTTCATTCACCGATTTCATGGAATGACCCATATACATAAGGGGCAAGAACCAAAATAAAAATGTTAAATGTTAAAGAAGAGAGACACAAAGCCAAATGATTAACTGTGTATAAAAACTTGCGTACAAAATCTTATAGGTATTTATCAACGCATTCTGGTAAAAATGGTAAACAGCAGTCTGATTTAAATAATGAATGAAAGTAGTTAAATGGAAATTGTGGCACAAAAATTTAAAAATACCAAGGGGAAATATTTGAGAATAAGTCATTTATGTAACAAAGTAAAGGGGTTATCAAAGACAATGTCCAAATTATACCATTGTTGCCTTTTGTATCATATTTGATACATACTTTTATATACTTCTATCAAATCAATAAGATCAACAAATTACTAAAAAAAACACCTGAATACAGTCCTATAAATGATAAAAATGTCCTCTTGTGGTTTATCAGTTTCCAAAAACATCTAATGTATCAAACCAGATAAATCAATATATTTGTTAAATTTTAAGGACATTTTGATTTTTTGTTTTTTCAGTAGTAAGTGGAATAAACGTTTCAGCTCCATAAAAATTAGAATTTTTTTCTGACACAATTTGTGGTGTCAGGCTTTTAAGGGTTAATTTAGGTTAAAATGACAATTTGCATAACCTATTAATTTTCCCAGTTAAAATTAAGAGTCACAAAACAGGGAAAATTTACTGCAAAACATTCAGTTGAAAATCAGGATTAACAAAAAGATGGAATCAGTGTGAGAATAATCAAAATAACACCCATGCATGATAGATTTACATTTTAATTAGACCTTTATTTCTGTTTGTAGTTTTATTTTGAAGGTGATAAACATAAACATCCGGTTCTGCCTGCTTTTTATCCTCTTTTACTTTCTCGCCGTCCCATCAAAGTCCCCGAATGCCCGGAAATTTTCTCGCATGTCCACTTCACACCCACACCCACCAGGTTGTTGCCGTCACCGCAGTTGGTGTTTTTCATGTAGTAAATCGAGCGGAAGTCCCTGTTTCACTTCACAGCAGAGCATCCGAGATTATTTGTAAACATTGCAGCTGTTCTTGAATTATTAATCCCTTCATATCCTGATGTCAGAAACTGTCGATAATGCAGCTCCACTTTGCTCGCTCATATTTCTGCTCTGACTTGCTGCCAAACACTCAAGGCTTTATTAAGACCATCTAATGGTTTTGTGTTGTTTGGAGCTGCATGTAGAGGGACGAATTTATTAGTGCAAGAAGACCTTCAATCTCAGCACTGACTCCATTTAAGACAATATTTATGTTCTTGTCCATCATGTAAGCAACTGAAAGACTATTTAAATATGACAGGATACATCATGTAACTGAAGAACTAGACAAAAAATGGAGTGAGGGAATTTTCAGTCATGTTTTCAACAAGCCACAAAATATAATTACTTTTCAGGAAGCCGCTTTAAGGCATGCATGATTAGAAATTTCAATGTCATTAGATTTTGTTTTTATTAATATTGGCAAAATTTCCCTCACCTTTGAAATGATTCTTTGGAGTGATGGCAGGACATCAGAGTGGAAAAACATATTTACTGCTACACTGTCACTTTACATCAAGGAACCCATCAATATTTCGCATAAACTAAGATAAAATTACAGAAAGGTTTGCCCTGCGGAGCTGCAGAGGATTTAGAGAGTTCATGCTTAGATGTTATTAAATCAAGACTTCTTTGATCTGGGTTATTTTGTAACGTGGGTGCGTAATGAGGAAATTATGGTCATGCTGTATTCTGGTTTATTAGATTAATAGAGGAAAACTTTCATTGAGGACTCCAGTATTTATTTGGCTCATCACTTATTTAAGACTCAACGATGAAACTGCAGCTTCCAAGGCTTAACTCTGATTTATTAAAACGTAAGAAAAATTGTGCAAAAACATCTAACAATATGCAATGCAACAGCGTACAAAACAATCCTCAGTTATAGCCTTTCACGTGTTTTGTTAGTTATAAACATTAAGAGAGAAAAAAAAACATCTGGTATCAATTTACAGCATGTGTAACTTAAAAAAATATAATACAAATTAATACTGACAAAACAGCTGCACAGCATTAAAAGCTCCGACAGCTCCTGAAATTTGACAGAAATGTACAAAATATCATAGAAAATATAACTTTTATTTTGTCCAAGTGTACCGTGTCTTTGAGGATGACAACTTAAACGAGTAAATCCTTTCTTCACTGCCCTGAATAACTGTTTTCAAATTATCATTGCTTTACTCATCGTACCGCGGGATCATGATCGGCATCAAGCTTCCTGAACCTCCTCCCTCTATTTTCCTTATTTTTGTCAACTTTTTGCATCTAGATGTTGAAACATGGGCTCTTCAGTGTCACACAAAAACACATTTACAAACGTCTGTCCCACTAAAAACTGTAGAGAGAAATCCTTCAAACTCAGCCTCGTATTAAAGACAGATCTGTTAGCCTTCATTATCTCAACACTGTCCTGAGGAGTCACCGTCACAGCTTTACAGTGTCGTGTGGCATTCGTACCTGGCAGTAAAATGGTGAGTAACCTTTCAAAAAAAAAAAAAAAAAAAAACAGACACTGGGTGCTATTCTCCTGAGTTAGCCTCCAGGTCAGCGATCAGAACATTTCCATCCGACTCCGTGGCCTGCGAGCTGGTTTGTCTGTAATAAGCGTTGCCGAGGGTAGGAAGCCCCCGAAAACGTGAAGCATTCCTCTTGTACAAAAACCACATCGCTCCTGCCAGCAGGGCAAAGATTAGCACAGCTACAAGCACCGCAGCTGGGATGACTCCGTGATGAAGAGCTGAAAAATACCCAACAAGGTAGCTGCTATGAAGCCAGTCTTCTGGTTCAGTGCAAATACACAGTATATGAGTCGTATGCATAACTTTATATCACATTCTCAGCTTATTTTATCACTCTGCTACCTCTCTGAACAAAGCTACATAATGTCAAACTCAATGCTTATACTTACGGCACCTTTATAGCAGGATATATTAAACCAAAGAAGTATGTCTCATTCAGTCTTTCAAAGAATACTTACTATTTAGTGGCTCCACTTTCACCTCAGTGACTTCTTCTGCAAGAAAACACAGAAAAGTTCGGTCAGACTTATCTTTAGACGCCATGGTTTCAGGATGTAATCTGATAATACTTCCAAATCTTTATGACTCTGGTGATCAAGAATAGTTCAGCAAGTATTATTAAAAAAAAGATCAGGGTGACAACCAGCTGCTCTATCCACCGTACATTTATGTGAAACATCTTCACATCCTGCTGAAGATCTAACTTTTCTGTGGTGGGCGGGGACTTTGTTTATGGACTCAAATCTTTTTTATTTTTCTTCACATCCACTTTTACAATAATAATTCAACAGCCATTAGAACAATTCATTTTACAAGTGGTCTTCGTAAACAATTGTCTTTTGTTTTCCTTTTTTTTTTTTTGATATATATATATATATATATATACACACATGTGTAGAGGAATAAATCAGAAAACCAAAATTTTAGAAAATTTAAGAAAGAAGGAAAAGACAAAAACAACAACAACAACCATAAAAAACACTGAACAAACAAAGAGGACAAAAGAAAAAAAAAGAAGACAAAAACAATATATCAAAGACAACACCAATCATGGGTTATAAATTCCCTTTACATAAAGATCCTTCATCAATTCATCAGCACATGAATATCTTTATCATTTACCTCTGGGTATCATTTATGATCTCACTCAGTACTAAAAACAAACAGACAAAAAGCTTTGGACTCAAATCTCAGAACAGATTTTTTTGCAGATGGAGGCACTTCTATCTTTAAACACTTACACATTTTCCTTCTTTATCTGTAGAGATGTTGTCAAAATATTCTTCAGACTTGCTTTAATTTTGAATTTCCCTCCGGGGATGAATAAAGTTCTTCTTATTCTTATTTAAAGCTGCAATGAACAACTTGCTCACAAATACCTCTTGAATTTCAAGCCGTTTCCATGAACATTTCCCAGTATTTGAGAGACATTCCTGAGCACATAAGCTGTATTTTCACTCATCTTAAAATGGTATTTGTCCCAGCTTGTTCACCAACTGGTTGCTAACTGAGTCTGCCATCTGTCGCTGGGTACATTCACTTCATAATAAGTCTATTAGAGCTTTTCTGGCTCAACTTGGTGAACTTTATCAGTGCACTAGAGCTCTATTAATCCAAAATAAGCTAGAAGATGCCAAAAAATGGGAACTAGAAACGAGTGATCATTATTTTAAGTTATGATCACTTGCATTCAGGATCCTGTACACTAGATCTTTGCTCTTGTCGCTCTCACTGTGTCTTGTTTACACTTTTCTCCCACTGTATTTATTGCTAATCCTTTATTTCTCTGTTTCGTTTAAACTCTTTGGTCTTATTACCTGAAGAACTGATGTAGATTTTAGGGGCACACAGCTACAAAAAGTCAGACAATTAAAGTGTTTTATATAAATTCAACAGTTAATTCACAAGATCCCAAAGCCATCTTACCTAAGAAGGTTTTGCAGACGAACCCCAGCCGCTCGTTGCACTGTGCCAGGTGCCACAAACCGTCAACCACCCTGGTCGTGACACAGGCGTCTGCAGTCAGCAGCTTGGAGTCTGGAGCTTTGTTGGGCCAGTTGGTGTAGTCCATAGGTGAACCGTCCACCCAGGACAAAGAGTCAGCTGGAAACAAAGGTATCTTTTATGTAAAAAAGGCTGCAGGGAACCATGGCTACATGGCATGTAGAGACAGAGACAAATTCTTACTGTCGATGTTAAAGTACATCCCCAACCACACAGACTGGTGGAGGTAACCTGACGTCCAGAGCTGCTCCAGAACAAAACGATTCTCCGACTCACTCTCGATGGTCAGGACATCTGAGGAATTGACTAGAAAGTGACAAAAGTATGAGAAACTTTTAGATACAGGGAAGTTTAAAGGAATATGTTCAACTTGATTGGAAAGATAGTTCTTGACTTTACGTCTAAGAGTGAGATAAGAAGCCTCTTTGAAGACTAAAACAGCGGTGGCTTAGTTTGAGAGACTGAAAACAGGCTGGATCCTTGTCGTCTTCACAGAGGGGCCATATAAGGGAGAAGAATTCAGACAAATCTTCTGTCCCGTGACTAAAATATAGATGAACCTGCAGTATTAAAGCGGTGGGGCCCAGAGTGATATTTTGCCATGGGACCCAAAATCTCTGGCAGCACCCCTTGCTTCTTTAACTTGGTTTCACCTCAATAGGGTCAATATTTACTGGGAAAAACTCAGTTTTCCAATATCTTGTGCTTTTGAAGCAGCTCCTCTATCTATCCTGTAGGGGGCGCATTTATTCCATTTAGAAGATGGAGATAATACAGCAGCCAAGAAGTAATTAGCAACCGTAAAAATCAGATCCATCAGTAATAAAAATTTAGGAGATGGCTTTGTGAGTTGTTGTGTTTTCTTGTTTTGATGGTTGTTTTGTTTATTGTTTACTAGACCAATACTATGGGTGGGAATCATGTTAAGTGGAACTTGAAAGGGGGTGGTTTTCTGGATCACAGTCAGCAGCTCACAATGGTTTGGCTTCGAGGTGAGCCTGGGAGAGGGTATTTTCTGTCCACCTTATTCCTTCATCCTATTACCAGCTGGTAACTCGTACCAGTTAGCTGAAGAACTAACAGTAACATGCACAGTCTTATGTTGAAAAGGATGATTTTAGCAGCATGTTTCCTCCAGTGTTCAGTCATGTTTAACTGCCTGCACAGATCAATAGCTGCAGTTAACCATATGATTCCTCACCTCTCCGTCTGCAGTGCTCTCTTGCCTCTTCGAATGTGAGCTTCTGCACCACGGGCTCAAAGTTATAACAGCCGTACTCAGACTTCACCCACGTGGAGGGACAGACAAGCTCATACGACACGAACGGTTTACTGCCTGTGTGAGGATGACGGAAAAAAATACAGAATATTTTGTCAAATATTACAAACAGCTGAAGAGATGAAGATTTTGAGCGCTCTGATTTCTGAGTTTCCCTGAAGTAACACTGACTGGGTGGGGGGATGTGACACAAGGCTCCAGGCAGAGGAGCATCACAGTCAGCTCTCCGCCAGCCTCCACTCACGTCCATGTACACACACTCTCCGCTCACAAAGTCGTCATCGGCTGCGTCCCAGTGTGTGTACACGGTGTCGCTGCCATCTGTCCACTGATAGTTGATGCCGCCCTGTTAAGAAGCACAATCACCAAAGTGAAGAAGTTACAGTGATGGAGGAGCTGCTGTAGCGACGGTGTTGACATCTGCATTTAAAGCAGTTTTATAGAAGTGAATTAGAGCAGAAGCTTCACTCTCAAGAAGCTCCTATCATTAAAATTAAACAAATATAAAAGGGCATAGATGCAGGAAAACACACCTTTTTACTTTTAAATACCTCTAAGCATGTGAACCTGTAAATTATAGCAAGGCAATATATACCGCATATTCCACAGGAATGGATATCTGCAGTCTGTGTGGATCTATGTTTGATTGAACTTTTTAACGCCCCATGTCATAGTTTAGGAGGTTTACTTCTCTGAGGGAGTCTCTTGGAAATGATTCACCAGAGATGACACACACCCGGTGATGCTGTGCATGATGATCAAACGATGAGTCACGACAGGTTTAATAGTCTGTGATGCTATAAAATAAAAATGCTATAGCTCTTTTTTTTAGTATTAAAGTAGGGTGGCTACAATATTAATGAGTGAATTAAGAGCTAAGAGAATATGCTTAGTGAGGGTGATTCATGAGCAGAAATACAACATGACCAGGCAGAGTGTCAGAGAAAGAATCAGTCCACCCCATGTGTTCATTTCCCTCCATGACTAAGACGTCCCATGGGGGACCCAGCCATACTTTGTTTCACTTGCTAGGGCTCTGACTGTTTGCTGGGGAAGCCTACGCCTGTGGATGAGATACCTCTGCATGGGCAAAAGGCCAGGAGAAAAAAACAAGAGGTATATGGGACAACTGCAACCAGCTAGTAAGAGGTACACTCAAACTCTTGGCCCTTTTCCTGGACGTCACCCTCTTCTTATTCCTTTATTTCCTTTTTTTTTTTCAAAAATTCTCGATCTGCTTTTGAGGACATTTCTGCAAATAAAGATACCCAAGTCTTATCAAGAGGTGCATCACTTTTGACAGGATTTACAGCAATCAAAAGCCAACCTTCACCTCGTGTTTGGCAATCATTTCAGCAGTGATCGATCAACATGAACTCACTGCTGTATTTGCCAGTTTTACTGTGTTGATGTGATAACATGCACAAGCATACAAGAGACAGAAAAGATAGAAAAGCATCGTCAAGCACCGTCTCATGCATGAACAGGGATGGAAAATATGCTTATTCCCTTTCCTTCAGAGAACAACTGAGAAAACTTGAGTATAAGTAGGCCGATGTTTGTTTGTTAGTTAGCTGACAAAAGAGCCAAACTACTTGTTTTTTTGCTATAAAGGGAAAAAAAAATCAGTCTAACTAAACCACTAACACACCTTTTAATCTAAAATATGAAAAATAAAGTAGATAACATGTTAACCATATAGCTTTAAGGTGATTCTGAACAGGTTTTTAAACTTTTTGAACAGATCAGGGCTTGTTTTTTGCTTTTCTGCTTACAAAATTAATATTCTCACCATATCTTCTAAGAACGGAGAATGAGCTTATTTCCCCAAAGTGTGGAAAAGCCAACAAACACACTCATACATCTCTACCTCTCCAACAGAAGCACATAGCAAAGACACACACTGCAGAGGTATACAGTACACACGATATGAGAGGATACATACATCTTGACTGTACAGGCCGATCCAGTGAGGGACTGCCAATCTATTGACAAGGACAGTAAGGAAAGCCTGGTGGTATGCATCTGTAATGCTCACTAGGTCAGAATCATTCTCTATGCACATATGCATGGCGTCGTACCAGCTCATGTTGCCGGGCACAACTTTGTAGCTGCGGCTCCTGTACTCTATATTGTCGGGGAGAGGGAGCTGATAGGAGTGAGTGGGGGGTTTGGATGTATCTGTAGCAAGAGGGAAAAAGCAGGAGAGAAGAGTGTGGAAAGGCTTGGTCAAAATTATTGCTTTAAGGTGATAATTATCCAAACAAGCACAATGATTGATAAGACCCTTCAGCCAGCCACAACAAATTCATTTTGATGTTTTCTTTGTAAAATTCCTGCTAATAAATGCAAATATGAAGCATGAGGAGCATTTAAAACAGAGCTTCCCAACTATCACTACCATGAGAAACAGAAGAGGGAAGTATTTGTAATATATCTAAAAAATGGTGAGAAGCACTTTAAAGTTGAGGATTGTACGTGTTCCCAACAGAAAAAAATGAGTGGAAACAGGCCCTAATGGCCATAATGGTATTTAGGACACAGGCCCTAAAGGCTGTGAGAGGATTTTTTTAATCTTTCACGACTGTCTCACAGAGACTCTAGAAATTTTACATCAAGGGTTACTGTAAGTCCTGAGATACAGCTCTTTTTACAGCATATTTTTTGCACTTGTTCTATAAAATAAAAAATGTAATGTGGGTTCATTCAGACTCCATTTTTTTTGACGAGCACTGAGGCAGTCAGAGATGGTTTCCTTAATGCTAATAATTATGCATCTGCAGCTTTACTTAAAACAATAGCTATAAAAATGGAATTAAAATTATTTCATCTTATCTTATTACTGTGCAAAAAAATGAACATGTATATCAACCCAAAATAGCATACTCCTCCTTGGGGTAAAGAACCAAAATAAGAACTATTCATTCAAACTTAAATACAGCATGTCCAGACCAAACAAGTGGCTCCACAAACTCATTAAAGTACAACTGACAAAAGTCACTTTTACTGCTTTTGACTGCTTACTAGTTTATTTCCCAAAACAGTGATGGCTGAATGACACAGTTTCCAAAAAAGACTCACAATCAACTCAAGACGTAAAGGTTCAGATAGGCAATGAAAGTAACGTCAGAATCAAACCGAAGTTAGAGATTTTGAGAGACTCTCACCTTGAGGTTTCTGACAAACAAATCCATACCCACTCTCGCTACACCTCTCATCGTACCACTTTCCTGTCAAGTGGAAGTTGTGGTTGTTGGACAGAACGGTACACAGTCGTTCACCAACAAATCCACTGACCCACTCGTCCTCCTGGAGGGGGGGGTTGACAAAGACTTACTAATACATAAACACGCAGAGTTTCTCATTAACAGAAGTACTTTAATGAATATGAGCTTACAGTGATGTAGCTCTTTGGTTCAATTGGAGACCAGTTGGTGTAGCTGACTGGTTTCCCATTAGTCCATCTCATGGTGTCGTAGTCTCCCAGACCAATCCATACACCCACAGAGCTTCCCTGCAGCAACATGGTGATGTAGGCTGCAGAGACAATAACAAGAAAGTTAGAAAAGAAACTAAACCGAAAGCATCGTTTCTCTGTGAAAACAAACAGAGGTGGAGAAAAGCACAATCTCAACTGATGGTGTTTGTGTACCAAACAAAGTGACTACTGTCTTTCTTCGCCTCTACCTTGTTCTATCTCATCTTCAATAGCGACCAGTGAGCCTTCAAATGATGAACAGATGGACTGGGCGTCTTTCCAACTCTTTCCCTCCTTTGGATTATCGACGAGATGAAGCAGGAGACACTGCACATGTTAACACAATCACAAACAGAAGATGAGTACAACACTCTAAACAGAGATCATTATTTCACTTTAATCACTAGGACTCATGTTTGGGAAGGCTACGAGTGAGAGAATAAGTCCGTCTGTGATTTCATGATGGCTGAAAGATCCTTTATGCATTAGCGAGAGCTCCTCTCAAGGGCTCTAAGAAGCGGACATGACTTCACCACTTCTTATATCCTCGATAAATTCAGCTCTGTAAAATACTATCAGGTAAAGAGACTGAAACTGTTATGAAGACGCTAGATGACCTGCTGAAGCAAAAAAAAGGCTTTTTAAGTCTAAGATGAGATATTTTTATACTATCACTAATGTTCTAAACTGCTGCCAGAGGTAAGTGTCGGAGAAAGTGATTCACAGGAACAGCTTTATTGTATCATTATCTCAAAAAAGGTTCCTGATGCATTTGTAGGTTGAAAGAGAATAAAATTTGCATAATATACTGCAGAAGCTCAGAGATAAAATCAGAACAAACTAAAAGTTCCTCAGGGAAGCTTTAATGTTCAAGACCATAAAAAACAACATTTCTGCAGGGGCATCTGTTATATCAAAACACGCAGAACAATAATAGTCCTTCCAAAAACTATTACTACCACTAAAAATGCATTTCAGGATCAAACGTTACTGTTGGAAAATGTTTTTTCTAATAAGAAAACTGCAACATGAAACATCTTGACCTTATCTTCTTTCTACATATGTTGCACAGAAAACTCTACAATATATTTCTATATTTCAAGAAGATGGATAACTATTTCAAATGACTCCATATACTTGAAGCAAGAGAACAGAAAAAAAAGTTATTTTCAGCGTGGTTCAAAGTGAAAACAATCAGAGAGACGAGGAGCTTTAACAATGTTATCTGTAGTTTACCCCAATCATTTGTTTATTTATTTATTTAGGGGAAGGAGTGACGACGCTGAGACTGGGCATAATCAAATAAAAACAAATGAATAGGTTTTATATTGTTTCCAATCTTCTCGTAAACATGAGAAAACTGTATTCTGCATGAAGACTGACATGTACTAGTTTAAGTATAGATACGGACTGTGCCTACAGACGCTGTGAATTACACAGACAGGAGATGAGAGTGGTTTCTAAATGTAGATCTGCATGTGATCAGATTTTCTTTCTTTTCTTTGGCTGTGAGGACAGGTACAGAGAATATCGTCTTAGCAGCACTCCGACATCAGACTTTGCAACAACATGTGGCTTTTTTAGTGACTGGAACACAATGGAACCAGCATGAAACATTCACACCATGACTTAACAGTCTCCTTACTAATGCAAATTAACATAAATGATGGCCTCTGTCCGTAAGCACACACCGGGCTCACAAGAAATTGTTGAAGGGTGGGCTGTCCTTATTGTGGCCGAGCACGCATGAGTGTGTGCACTACCAGGCAAATGTGGACACATGCCTCCCAGACCCCCCTCTGTGTGTGGACTGAGGGATCAGGTCTCTGTGAACATTGATGAGTGTTCACACTGGAAGTTGTGGCTTGGCATCGGTGGTGTGATCTCCTAGATCTGATGGTAATGCCAGGTGTCAACAGGGTCTGTTTGGGACATTAGTGTCACTTTCACTGGCACTAAAAAAAGGCTCAATAGATGCCACTCATGTCGGAGAAGGTTTGGGAAGAACAGAGAAACTATAAAGCAGCAACTTCTTACATTTGCAGAGTGAAAAAAACGACAGAGGCCCACGAGTGAGACTGTCTTCAGAATTCCCTCAATTTTCTTTGTATGTCATGTCATACTTATACGTATCAAAAGATGAGAATGTTAATCCAGTAAGGTCAAGATCTCTCATCAAGCAGGGTTCCAGAATCAGCTGGATTTGCTATTTGTTGAAGTTGACTCAGCTTGAGCTTCATCAGCAGGGGTTTACTCCAATTTTGTCAACAAAATTCACTCAAGACCACTGAATGGAAACACAAACATCCTGCTTCAACCCAAAAGGCAGCTGGGAAAGAGGAGATGTGTCTGTTTTTAAAGCTGATCTGTGTGAAAGATCAGAGTAAAGAGGACATTATGAAAAATAAGAGCAACCACATTTAAAAAGGTGAAATTTGGCAAATTCAGAACATCTTTTTGAATCCATCAAAACTCCTTCACAGTTTAATGCATTTCCCTGAGTGAAGGGTGAGTGTGTATTTGTGTTCAAATGTGTTTGTAAACCTTGTGTCCGAAGTACAGCCACTTCTCCGGACATCCCCCGATGTAGTGGGGTTCCCTGGGAGTCTCCACCACAGACACAGTCCTTCTCTTGCACACGTAGCCGTGGAGGTTGCTGCACTTATTCGTCGACCACTTTCCTGTCACACATCAGAGAAACCTTAACTCATGCCAGCATGTGTACACATTCATGCTTCAGTGTGTTTCTGCATGTGCATCTGTTTACCTGTTGAAGATGACATGGTGACACACATCCCGCTTTTCCTGGGGTTGCCATCGGCCCAGTTCTGAAAATCTAAATCCGTCTGGTCTCTCCACCTACAAACAAACACACAGTTACATTCAGCAACTGAGATTTGTGCATGTGAATTAGACTGGGATATGCTTTTCTCCCGATTCGATTCTTTTGCGATTCGATTTAAATTAGGATTCTATGATACTGTCGATTTTCTCAATCTTTAGTCTGCATTTTTAACACCAGTGAAACAGTTGAATGATTATGATTGTCTACTGATTATTTCATGAACCATATTTCCCCAAAAAATACACATCAAATGTAAGTCAGTTTTTAAGATTGATTTTTAAATTCTAAAAAAAAAAATCAATTTTTGAATATAAAAATTGTAAAACAAAAATGCGATACTTTTGTGAAATTTTTGTCATTTTTTTCTTCTACCCCTACTGCCTAAATTTAAAAGTTTTCATTTTTAAAGGGTTAAAAAGTGGCGTGTGTTCATTCACCTCTGTAGGTGCTGACTGCAAGGAGAGAAAAAGTCCATGATGGTTACACTACAGTTTGGCGCCATTTCATCAGTGAAAAAAGGTGATTGAAAAAGCACCAGTTGGAAATACAAAAAAAAAAAAAATGTAGAAACCATAACCAAAGCATGATTATGTCAGCCAAGACATTTCCTTTTTTTTGCACAGAAAGTGAACATTTAATGTGTTGGAAGCAAGAAAATCAGTGACAGTGATGGCCAAACAGAGGTCAGATTATCTCCCAAAAGTGCAGCTCTTGTGGCGTGATCCGTGGTCTACACATTATGAGGGAGGTGGTCACAGTGTTATGGCTGATCAGTGTGTGTTTCTCTCATGAAACTATTCTGCATTGGACTTTAAAAGCCTTTTAAAATTTGCATATAAATATTTAATGAGCAAAAAGCATCCATTATGTGCAATTTAAATGAAATGCAGTTTCTACTGTGAAGTCAGCACTTCAGTTGGGATTTTTCTTACAGTTTTTTACTGAAAGAAATAAACAAAGTGCTGATCAAAATATGTAGGCTCCTGTTTAAGGTGTACAACAAATTAACAGCAGTGTTTTGGTACTACTGATCCAGTTGTATTAATGACACTTTTAACAAACCACAAAGCACACACCTGACCTCCTCTCCAGGCTGTGGGATGGACATGCCGATCCACCATTCAGTCGGGCCCAGGGAGAGCTGAAGAGATGAAAGAAATAAAAAGAGAGAAAAAAAACAAACAAACAAAAAAACAGCTTACTTCACTTCACCCTGCTTTACAAATCCAGTCCACACCGAGTCTTTCAGAGCCGCTCTGACATGAGCGACCATTCAGGCCCTCTCTTTGGCTTGTGCTTTTTCTCTTTCATCGCTCTCTTTTCATTTCCTTTATCCTCTCACAGGCCTCAACTACACAAGAGACTTCTTTACTCACCCAAAAAGGCTGCTGTCCAAAATCTCTTTTATTTCCCCTGCTGCCTTGTGCCTGCTGCACTCGAGTTTTAAAGCGTCCATATATGAGGTACATTTTAGCTTGTTGACGCGTGAGTGCGTGTAAACACTTGGTGTGTCTGTATAAGGAGCAAGTGTGTGGGTTGAGCTCACACTTGTTCGTGCACATGTTCCTTGTTTAAATGAATAAGCTAAGTTGGCCTTTCAATAAGCAGAGAGTAAATAACAACATAACCTTGGACGCCCTTTTTTATCTCCAGTATTTAAGGTAAACAAGCCTGACCTTTAGTTTAGCGCTTTAAATGGCAGATATAATCAGGAGCTGTAACAACTTTCACTCTACAGCTATTCCACTGTTGCAGTGAGGAATAAAATGACTTTAGCTGTTGAGTTTTATGTGTTTGTTACAGCATATTTATTCTTTTTAATTAAATAATTATCATAGTGACAGAGCAGGCATTTTCCATCCTGTATTGCAGTAAAACAGGTTTAAAAAATAAAATGGAGGTTTTTGAATTATGTCTATCCTGCACATTTTCATTAATCTGACAAAAGAATTGTTTTACTATCTCAATATTGCACGCTTTTACTCCAACTACTGCCCGAATATCATTCTTTGTGTAATGTAATTGTCTAGAAATTTCAGCATTTAACACAAATGAGATGTTTTTCAGTGCCTGTGCAGGTGCATCATTTAAAATCTCATTGTCACCAGTGTAAGACGCCTTGAACACATGTGGTAACAGTTACAGACCCGTTTCAGGCGCTCTTTGATGAAGTGTAGCTCCTCTCTGGAGTGGATGGACAGCAGGTACGCTCCCATCATCTGACAGGCCAGAGAGACTGCCTCCCAGTCGAAGGGCTGCTTTGCCAGCAGGTACTCAGCTCCGCGATAAAACACCCAGGGCTCACTCTCTGTGAGGGCGAAAATATAGGGACAGTTTTTAGCCCTCTGCAGATTTCTTACTATTTAAGTATATCAGTTGTTTTTTAAATGAATACATCAAAACAAAACTGATAAAAGAGTTAAAAGCAGAAGTTTTTTGTCCCCCCAGACCACATTTAGCCTGGTTTACTTTTTTAATGCACATATTAAAGAGACACAAATTTTGTAATCATATAACAGCACTAATAAAACTTGTGTTTACCAGAGGAATGAAAAGCTACTCACGCTCAGTGTACCAGTAAGGTTTTATGAGTTCATCACCTGCAACAAAAATGAGTTCAGTGAGTTGTGTGGCTCTGATGCGTCTTTGTATTTTTGTGTAGATTGGTAGTCTGAGTGCAATAACCTCTGGCCAGCTTGCAGATCCACTCATGTTTGGCCTCACAGGGCTGTGGCATGAGACCATTGGTCAGGTCACTGTACATGGCACAATCCCTCCTGTCATCCTCCTCATTCTTATCCTCTATGAAAGACGTCACAACCTGCACAAAAAAAGAAGACAAACGAGACAACATTACAACGCTAACATCCTTAATATCACCCTGAGCTGCAGCAAGGTAAGTGATTGTATCAGTCTACTCACAGGGGAACCATCAGACCATTCCCAGGCACCAGGGTCTTCAGGGTCTCTCTTATTTAACCCAACCCAGAACCAGCGGCCCTCTGTGCTAAAAGAGAGGACAAAAAAAGCACTGCAACACAAGGTCTTTGGAAATCACACAGAAAATATAAGAAAATACTTCAAAGAAATGTATGTACACACCAAATGTAATTATTTCATCATACTGGAGGAAGATACATGAGGCTTATTTGAACCTCTTATTTTGCTAATTTCTATGTTTGAATATACGTAGCTTCTCTACAAGCCCACCAATCCATCTGATTTGTTCTGCCAAAGGATTCTTAAGTGAAACTGATTTTCCCAGCAGGAGAGTAATCATCCGTCCACAGAACATAAAACAATCTTAAACCATGTTTTATGATCGGAAGCCAATAATTAAATCCTGCACAAGCTGCTCTACGCACACAAAACCTCAAAATACAACACCTCAAAAGGCGTCTTTTTCAGTTCCCACAACATCCCCTGTGCTGATGAGGCTCAGAAGGCGGTACCAACCTTTCAAACATGGTGCTGAGGAGCCGCTTAACAAACACCTGCTCCTCGTAGTAGCGGAAACTGGCCAGCTGAGCACCAAGGGCCCGACAGAAGAAGTCTGCCTCCACCCAGGAACGCTTCATCAAGACTTTCTCATCGTGAAACACCTAAGGAGACAAAGTTTGTGTCAGCTGCAAGTCAATGCAGTTATTTTCATGATTTGATTTCAATTTTGAAGGATTAGACTCGATTTGAACTATTCTTCTTTAGGCTGGTGTTTCAAAGGAGCATTTAAGTCGCTTTACAGTTTAATATTGTTAATTTGCACAGTCAGAAGAGCTGGAATATTACGGTTGATCAGCAAATACCTTAATTCCAAGTTTACAGTGGTTGTATTTTTTTAGGCTAAAATGGCAAATAATTTTATCTCCTGAAATTTAAAAGAAAATGTAATACCTTTAGTTTTTACCTCAGGTGCAAAAAAACATGACATGAGCTTGAAATATGCCAATCTGTGAGGACCATTTTCCAAAAACTAAAAACTAGTTGCTCGAAAATAACTGAGAAATCAAAAGTTTGGGTAAATGATCGTGACTTGCAGATCTTATACAAAAAAAAACTCCCTTAAATTTGTGTGAATTTGTTGAGACAAAATTTTCGCACTGGCAGCGTCGAGAATTTCTCCTGCTACCTCATAATGTGAGGAGGAAATATTCGAAATTAATCAATAAATTAATCTATCCACACTCATGTGATAGAGGAAATAAAAAAAGAAATTTCTGTAGCACAGCAACTACTAAATACTGCGAGGGGCACATCCTCCTAACAAGTTCTGGAAGTTTTCAGGTGCTCTGCTCATGTGAGAGGTGCTGAAGAAAGCAGGTCAGTATGATCCTACCTTAAAACAGTAGAAGAGCCCAGAGTGTGATTCCCACCCTGGAGGACAGGGGGCGAAGGCATCGATGTGATGCTCTGGTAGTGTGACACCATGGTAGCTGCTGATGTTCTGCTTGCATACTGACAAAGCCTTAAAGGATTTGCAGTCTTTCACCTCCCACTGACCCAAAGCAGGGCCACCTGACATGGCAACACAGCCTTCACCGCTGACTGAGGTGAGAAAAAGGGAAAAATGAAGGAGATGAGCAAACGGAGCAAAACCACAGATATTTAATTGGCGAACAAATATTCCCAACATCTAGGAACCTGGTTGATGCTTGTTCCAGTTGGTGAAGGTGAGAGGCATCAGGGAGCCTTTGTGAGGAATCCAGCCGTACTCTCCATCTTTCCTCAGGTCTACCATTCGTATCCAGTAAGACTTGCTGCTGTTAGCCCCACTCACGCTCAGCAAACTGTTTACGAATGCCTGCTCAAACCTGCCAGCTCACCAAAGGAGAAAGATGATAAGGACAAAGGCTTTGCTGTTCCAAAAAACTAATTAACAAAGGCTTATTTTTTAAACAAGGCAATGCAAATCCTCAGCTGAACCACCTGTTCTCTACAGTGAGGAGAGGAGCATCACAGTAATATTCATCCAGTGCATCATAAAAGTTCTGCTCATGGCTGGTCACCGTGTAGCAGGAGTGGCCGTGTCGCTTCCAGCCCTGCAACACCAACAACAAACAAAACAAAAGAAAACAACTTAAAGGAATATTCCGACGTAAAATTAAGTTAGGGTCAAACACACCTAACACCGAGTTAGACACGCCATCGAGAGATGAATGATGCCGACAGCTTGCTTCTCTAGTTAAACCTACTTTAGTAATGACCACACAAAAGCAATACACAGCGGTCTCAGGAGCCACGTGCAAACCTCAACCAAAACGCCACTCTATAGCCACAAATAATGCTCAGAACAGCACCTAACTTCATCAACAGCACATATAAGGTCCCAGCCACCAAACATCTTTCTAACTTTTCTAATTTCTTTTGCAAAGAGACTATACACAACTCACCTACTCTCTTCCAACAGCCGCTTGTTTGTACAGAGACCTCAGGTGAGTCCAAACTGACTGCAGTGAGGGGTGACGCAGCTCAAGATAGAACATTTATGATCATTTCTTTATCATTTCCTTGAAATAATAATCACCATATTAATCATTTTGCACTGCAGACGCAGTAGTTCTTCTGCCTAGCGTCCTGATCTGATTGCATTTCCATGAAGTAATGGTCATAAATGTTCTTCCTTGAGCTGTGTCACCCTGCAGCAGTCGGTGATGGACTTGAACAAGGTCTCTGTACAAACAAGGAGCTGCTGGAAGAGAGTAGGTGAGTTGTGTTTAGTCTCTTTACTAAAGAAATCAGGCAAAGATAAAAGATGTTTGGTGGCTGTTACTATGGCTGGGACCCTATATGTACTGTTGATGAAGTTAGGTGTTGTTCTGAGCATTATTTGTGGTTATAGAGTGGTGTTTTGGTTGCGGCTCCTCAGACCGCTGTTTATTGCTATCCTGTGGTCGTTACTTAAGTTGGTTTAATAAAAGAAGCAAGTAGTTGGCAACATTCATCTCGCGACACGGTGTGTAACTCAGTGTTACGATGTGTTTGACCCTAACTTAATTTTAAGCTGGAATATCCCTTTAAATCTATTTCCAGATTGTTTGAACATTATAAGATCCAAAAAAAACTCAAACGTAGAACCTTCAAGGACTTCATACACCAAACTATATTATATTTTTTGTGAATGGTGCTGACCGGAAAAATAGTAGACTGATAATCAATTTATCATTCGTACACTTATCTCTATCTCAGCTGACAAATCTGCATCAAGTCACACCTTCGTCCGAAGCACGTTGACTTTTTAAAGTAGGGGTGTTTCAAGTTTCCCATAAACTTTAATTAAATATATCATATTTGAAATACTGGCGAATATTTCCAGCTGCATTAATATGAAGCCTGTGTGTGTATTCAGGCCTGTGGGTTAGTTTAAGCTGTGAGTATGTTTTGACAAGTGGTGTCAATTAACTGCCCCGTCTTTCTCCTATATATCCCATCTACCCCCCACCCTCGCCACACCAGGGGTCAAGAGGCCCACACTTGCATAAGACAAAGCCCAAAGCTTTTCCTCATAACAGTGTCTGGTAAAAATTTCCCATCATTACCTCCATAACCTGAGTGTAAAAATACAGACAAAGAGGAGACAGAGGTGGAAAACACGGTTATGTTTGCTGAACCCCTGGCAGGATTTATTGTAGACTGGTTGAGCCTTGTCCACTGACATTATGCCTTCAGGCCCATTTTTTGGCCTCATGATCCTGGGCATGAAGTAGCCTGATGACTCAGGAGTCTGATATTCTTGTAAACAGAGTCAAGGAGGAACATGAACGCCAGACAACACGTCAGCAGTGAAGTGAATCAGCTCATTGTGCTTCCAAAACCGGCAACTTGCTCAGAACTGCAGCCGGCGTGTGTCCCTGCCTGGTGCCTGTCCTGGTCTGTATGAAGCTATTGTGACACTGCAGAGAAGATAGTCTGGTACTAAGAGTCACAAATAAATCACTTCAACCTCTGTTGGGAAGGATTTTTCTTCTTCATCTGCAGGGGGTCTCAAAACAGCTAAAAAGCAGCTTTAATCAGCCAGTAAATCCTAGTCTATTTTAAATAATAAATCTGTAACAGAGTGCTGTTTGCAGTTTGTTTTTATGCAACATGCGGGTACAGTGAGATAAAATGAAACTAAAATGATAAAGCGAGCAAGTGGAGCATGTTATGTTATGTTTCAGCTTCTTGACTATCGGAAGCTGTGAGAAAAGCTAGGCTAACCTTTCAAGACAGGACGTCTTTGTTTCTCAACAAGTCTTCAACTATTGAATGCATGCTAGCCCAGATGTTTATGTTTATGGTCTTACCTCAGGGCAACCCTCATCCCAAGTTCCAGGGTCTAGAACTGAGCTCGTGCTCTGTCTCCGACATACAGCAGGCAGTCGCTCATCACATGACGCCAAAAGCCAGTTACCTTCCTGTAAAAAAGGGGTTAATATTTAATTTTACAAGGGCAGTAGTGATTGAGATGCACGATAAAATGATACAAAACAATAATTAAGAGCTGCACTGGCATGAATACAAGGTTTTTTTCTTCTAAGTACACCTAAAAAATTTTTTTTCATATTTGAAACAAGGTCTGGTCTTTAAAAATATCATTCACACATACTGTAAGTAAACAATTTTAAGTAAATAATTCAAAGAATCAGCTGCAGGCCCTAAAATAATTAACTTTATACGAGGTTTCTTGTTATAAATGAGTCAAGAGTGAGTTTTTACATTAAAGGAGCAGACACACATGGGGCTGACCTTCTTATCTACTTTGGCACAGAGTGCTGTGTCCGTCAGATTGTGTGGAGGGTGATACTGGTGCCACTGAGTGAGAGTTACTGGGGAGCCATCAGACCACTCTACTGTTGGTGATGATGCTTGTTTCCAAAGACCGATCCACACTTCTGAGCTCCCCCCAGAATCTGTGAAACATAAGGATACATACACATCATAATACTCGCACACACAAAACAGTGTAATATCTATATCGCCTGATGCGCCTTACAGTTTGCGAGGAGGTTTAGTAGCATTTCCACCTCAGATAAGGAGTGGATGCTGGTAAGGTTCGCCTCCTGAGAGCCACAGGCCCGTGCAGACTCTTCCCAGCTCCCTGCTTCTGTTTCTGGTAGCACCAGGTAGCATAAACCGTTATGAGGCCACCAGCCCTCAGCACACTCTGTATGAATATACTGCCAGCTCTCTGTGAGACGAGGGAGAATCAGGAGACATGTAGAGAGAATAAGAAGTCACGCCAGATTAACACATTTATAAACACAGATTCAAAGCAGACATTGTTTTAGTCTAGCAGCCGATGGAGCACTAGAGAGGAAGGTCAAGAGTTCACTCCCCAGGTGCACTGCAGCTGTGGAGGCTCCAAGAGCTTAGAAAGCTTCAGGTAGGTTTCGCACTGACTCATAATTTCTCCTCTCTGAAACACCTCTGGACTTGCAGGGGAGCGGTCTACCTGTGAGTGTGTTTCTGTCATGGTAACAATCGCTCTCACCTAGCGGCTCTGCTCTGCGGGTGTTGTTGGGTGTCTTCTTGCAGATGTAAGGCAGAGCAGACTCACAGGACAGACTCTGCCAGTGACCCTCATGGGCCGAGTTATAAACCCCACACTGTTTGTTGTCCTGAAGAGGGCTGGAAGGCAGAGCTGAGGGGAACACAGACACAAGAGGATGTCAGTCTCATGTTTTTCATAGAAAACTAATAGACCTCAGTATTTGCCAACCTAGGAATGAGGAGAGTAAATCTCCTCCCATAAAACAGACAGGGACTCCAACAAACAATCAGTACCTGTGGTGAAGCTGACTAATGATAAAGGTGCTCCATCAGACCACTGCCATCCACGCCCATCCTTCAAATGGTTCAGCCCGATCCAGACCATCACCCCAACACCTGCCAGTCGATCTACAAGAGACCAAAAATGCAGTGCAAAATTAAGAGCACAGTGACTGGATGATGAATCCTTGTGTCCCATTCAAGGTAATGAAGATTTTTGTATTATGCTGGTTAAGTGTAGGTTTGCAGTATTGTTTTATGACGTTCCACGTGTGCATTAAACTGTGTATCCTCATTCAGCAGCTTTTTGGTGCCTGTGTGTGTTTTTTACCTGATGCCTACCTCTGATGTACCTTTGCTCTGCCAGGCTAGTGATGCTGAGCAGGTTTCCTCCCTGAGCCTGACAGGTTGACAGAGCCTGACTCCAGGTCAGGATGGTGTATAGGTTAAACTGATAACACGCCTGCAGCTCCTGGTTTGACTCCCAGAAACGCTCACAGCTGACATCTGTGAATAAAGCAGCAAATTTAAACATCGGTAGGAAACTGACGATGAAGTAGAAATAAAACAGCCTGAACATGCCCATGACCACAAGTTTATAGAGTTAACAGAAAAACAGTGGCTTAAAATTACCAGATTACATATTGCTTGTATACCTCTTAATAAGAATGCAAGAATTACAAGTAGACAAAGACTTTTTTGCATAAATTTTGCAAACAACTCTGTGAAGGATCTTCCCTGTTTTCAATAGAGGCAAAGGACTTTTAAAGTCCCACTTCAATTGTTTTTTTTTCTACCTAAAGTGTTCGCAGTGGTCTTTAAATTGTGATTATGAAGTTTTTATCAAAATTTGCATTTCCTCTGTCATTTTCAAGGGCTTTTCTTCTGCAGAGCTCCAGTACTTCATTACCAATTCGCCTCTGAGTCGAGGCCAGAGACAGCGCTGCTCTGCCCACTCGTCTTCATGTTAGCTTGTAGTCTAACATTGATAGTGTAGTAGAAGTGGCAGGCAACATAGGAGCTATTCAGCTCTCGGACACTAATGTTTTTAGAGACACTATGAAATCTAATATCATCATTAGCTTTCTTACGAGCAAATGCCATATGAACATATAAAAAAACAAGAAAACCATGATTTTCATCGGAGTGGGTCTTTAAGGGATTGATGTCAGAGCTTTATGCAGGTAAACTAATTTATTGCGGCAGATTGTGGTGAGGATTTTGATAAAAAACACAGCAGTTCATTCTTCCTACCTCTGTGTTTCAATTTTACCTTGCACTGGACAGAAGCCCCATCTTTCCGCCTCATCGTAGCGAGTGGTTGTAGCGCACCATGGAAGATGGTCCTCACGCCCCTCAGTTGTACATTCATAATACCATTTGTTGTTGTATTTGAAGGGCAAAGCGCACGGCATGCCATGTGCATTTCCTAACAAAGTGTGGATTTCTGTAAATAAAAACACAGCCAGTATTTAGGATGTCATATATCAGCAAAGACACGCTGCATGAATTATTAAAGAAGATATACATGCAGGGTTTTTACCTTCATATGGGTGTGAGCAGGGCCCCTCTTTAGGGGTGTTGTATCTTTTCCACACATGATAGGAGTTTTTCTTCACAACCACCAAACGTCCAGCCACAGCTAGCTTCCACTGAGACGGCCCATACAGCATGTTTCTGTTGCAACGCCACCACAGCACAGGGAGACTGAGGTCACATTCAAACATGCTGAGAGGCTGCGTGGTGTCCGAGATGTTGAGGCCCAGGCACATGCTGGTGCCCAGATTAAAGAGACGATGCCGAGAGACCCACTTCCACAGCATGCTGCGCGTGGGCCGCTCACAGTCCTCCAGCACTAGGTTTGAGCGGTCTGCTGTGATGCAGCGCCTCAGTGGCTCACTCTCCAAGATGAACAAACCCTTTTCTGGACAGACATGGAAAAAAAAACAGAAAATACAGAAGAAAATGAGAGAAGCAGGAGAGCAGGAATGGGGAGAGGAAAGGGTGAGGGGCACACAGGAGGAAGCGAGGAATTGAAGTCAATATGTAACTTAAAAAAAAGAGGAAGATGGATGTTTTCTTTTCGTGACAGTATTTCTCCATCAAATACAGCAAACAGAGCAGCTTTCAATGCAGAGAAAGTCCTGCGGGAAATCTCCTTTTCTTGTAACTGGATCCTCAAACAAAACAAAGGGTATATACTCTGAATGTGCATGTATGAAACTGATAACAGCCGCAGGGATTCTCTCATCCTTCCTCCCGCTGTAGAAAATCAAAGACACAAATGAAAATTTCACACCATAAGCAGCTGGAAAGATTGTTTTGAAATGGTCTCGCACGTCGAGACTGAGTGCGAGACCTACAGAGTCTTTGATGTAAGTATTCTGTATATAATCGGAGCTGTACTTTTAATGCATGGACATCCCTCCTCGGTGTGCCTGGACTTGAATAACCCATAAAAACAATATTCTTACATTACTAATACAAGCTTCAGACTGAGTGTATAAGAGAAAAATAAAGCGTTGAGATCTGAGCAGATTTAAAGTAAAGACACAGTAGAACTGTTTATCAAAAGAAGAGTCAAAAGGATAAAATACAAAACTAAAACACACTGACTTGAAAAAGACGATCCGCTTTTTGGGTTTGACTGTGCACCTCGATGACTGATAGACTAAAAATTCATCAGTTCACGTGTCTTAACAAATTATAAAGTGGAAATGCTGAGTCAGCACCATGCAATTTAGTGTGAGGCAGAGACAGGCATCGTCTCAATGCCCTAGAAAGCCAGAGGAAGTGAATATAAATCTAATTTCACTTGACTTCCTCAACCAGATTTCAGCTGCGAGACAGATTGTATCTGCATGTGCTTCACTTCCCCCCTTTACAGGTGATTGTCTTTAACAACAGGGACAGAACAACACATTTGTCGTTTTGCATTTGTCGGTTTTTATTAATATAATTGTATGTTATTGTCATTGTACTATTTATTGACTGTAATTGATTGTACTATGTATTGACTGTTGCGTATCAGTGTCTGGACCCCAGGAAGAATAGTCCTGAGTAAGGTCAAAACTAATGGGGATCCATAATAAACAAACAAACAAATAAACAAACGTTTCTGAAGATCACAACCAACTTCAGGTAGAGGACTTTGTCTTCAGCCCCCTGATTTATCAGGTAGGCTAGTAAAAGCTACTGTTGGTAATGTGAGCCAGGCTGCAGAAGTGAGCCACTAGGGGACTGGGACATAGCTGGGTGGGTTCCTATGAAACTGGGGGCTTAATTAACCTCATTCACCATCAATTTGCACACACAACACAGCCTATCAGCACAGTGGAAAGAAGCTGAAGAGACTCCTGTTTCCCTCCAGCACACTGTCTGTACACTTAGCCTGTGTAATTATGGATCATGTTCAAAGACAAAACACCAACAACAGATGTTGTGTTGGTTTAATCCGCAGGAGGTCATCCACATTAAAACAAAAGCAGCAGCTGCAGACGCTTTAATGAACTTACTGTAAAACTCCATGAGCTGCTTCTTCTCCAGGACCTCATCGTCTTCCTCGGTGACACACACACAGCTTTTCGCCAGTAACACAGTTGCACAAATAGTCGCCACAACAGCCACGGAATCGATGAAACGAAACAAATGTATGAACATTTCGACGGCGGGATGAAACGTCGACGTGCAAATGTCCGCACATAACGAGGCTCCTGGTCACAGAGAGTACTTTGGAGGCTCGCTGTTTGTTCCCCTCATAGAAAAACTTTGTCCGGGTGAAGTTTTTCAGCGGGGGAGCAGCGACGTCACGTCTGACGGTGGAGCAGCTGCTGCTCTCCGGCCTGGAAGCTGCATTCCTGCCGCTGAGAGAGAGTGAGTGAGAGAGTGAGGAGGACTGTTTTCACTGGGAATGAGCCACGAAAACCTTAGGTAGACTGGACAAAATGGCTTCAACAAATAAACAAAGCCGATGAAAAACAGTCATTCAGTTTGATTTACAGACAGCCACGAGAAGTATTGAGTAACAGCTTAGAAGAGGAAGAGGGAAAAAGTCATGTTTCAGGCTGCTGGAGTAAAGGAAGCCAGTATCGGGGGGAAGTTTTGGATCCATAAAAGTCATGAATTCAACTGGCAACAAATAAAAAGTCAAAAATAAATTATATTTAATGGATGGCCAATGTCATAACAATTTTGGCCCTTTGTCTCATAACAGGAAAGGATTGATTATAGACTTGGGCTGAAAATCTGACCATCAGGCCACTACTCAGAATTTGGCTGATTATCTGTAGAGGGGAGAGTGGGGTAAGATGAGCCATTTTTCATATTTTAGATCACTACATCAAGACAATCATAGTTTTGTCTCTAACTGGTGTATCTGGATATATTTCAAGGTGTTGTTTATCCCTGCAAACCATCAGAACGAGTGTAAACATAACTGTCTTGCCAAAAAAGTGGTCTCCTATGGTCAACTTACCCTGTGTGTGGTGTAAGTTTAGTGTTTCTTTTAAAGTTACAGTGCAATAAGACTTCTCTCCATCACTTCAAATATTATTTTACTGCATATAAATCATACCCTACCTTTATCATAATCATAGAAAAATAACTGCCTTGACTTCTGAATGAGGTAAATTCATGTAGTTTCAACTTGGCCAACTACTCAAAAATTCCTGAATTAAAAATATTGTGAAACTTGACAAAAATAAAGTTGTTTTACTAAGTATGAACAGATACACCATGCAGAGTGACCCTATATGTAAATCTTAATCAGAGAAGCTACTAATATCTACAGCCATGAGTTCTGCTGGGGATATTGAGACCCACAATAACTCTGCTCCACCAATTTTATCATTGCAAATGCTCTGATTATTATCAGGGCATTGTCAGTCATGAGCCATGAAAGTCTTTCCTCATACAGCCTCATACTACAGTCAACTACACTTTAGATGCTTCAGTTTTATAGGAAAAGTCAAAGCACCTTAAGTTACCAAACTATGCCCCTTAAAATCTTATTTTTTAACCCCACAAAAGAGTGCAAAAACCCCTATTATTTCAAGTTCAACATGAATTGTCAGATATGATCACTGCACAACAGAAATAATGAGTGTTGTCGGATTGTTTTATGATGGCTATTTTCCGGGGTTGGAAAACATTGTGCTCTCTTTATAATGCAGATTAACAGACCAACTATAGATAACACCAGTCTAATTTTTTTCACAGAGGAGAAAACAAAACTAGTGCTCCTACACCAGAATGACATCTAACTCCAGGCTGTCCAAAAATGCAGCAAAAATACGCCACATACAGCATGAGTATGTTTCACATTTATGGCGCATTGAGAATTCATGAAATTGCAGAATCTTGGATTGTGCAAATTTTCACTCCCTCTCACCAAGAAAACTAAGTTCATCAGTTTCACAATTTCTGCTGAAATAGAAGCAGTTAGATAAAGTAAATGACACATCTATAAAAAGTGTTTTTCACTTTACTTGCCTGGAGAGAGAAAATATGGAAGTATCTCTTTAACAGAGTTTACCGCTTCACAGCAAACAAATTGAACTTTAAAACTGGTCCTCTTTGCCAAGTCTTACCAATTCAATCAATATATTTTATATCAGGATAAAACAGAACTCGGTTGAAACACACAAATAACTCTAAGTGCCAAAGGTATTTTTTCACAATGTCAAAATTCATCTTTATTTTTGTGCTACACCAGGACAAAATTAGATTTTAACAACAGAAGGCTCAGCCTTACTTTACAATAAACAAACACAATATTAAAAAAATCATCCCCCTGCATATTTACATTCATTACAATAACACAAACAGTTTGTTCAGTAGTAGACCACGAGAAGGGTAGACATCTCTTTCCCAAGCTGCATGTTACAGTAGACAAAGTCATGTTGAAGTTTGTTAAAGGATAATGCAGCAAGAAAGTTCAGTGTATAACAGTACATTGGCAGTGCACTTTTACAGCAGCAGTTTCATCATGTAGTGTTTGTCCATCACAGTGTTCTCTACTGTGGTTTAACATCTCTGTATCAACTCAAGATTCATCAAAAAACATAAAAATACACAATCTCTCTAGCACACATCTAAAACATACACACACACACACTCTCACACACACTCAACAGTTAAGTGCACTCAGATGGTGGTTCGCCTCTAGTTTGTCATCAGCATCGATCCAGTGTGATCTTTTCTCGCTCTGTGTTCTTATAAGTTACATTTTTGAATGTCGATGTCGAGCTTCTGAAAAGAGGGTTGGTACCCTGTAGAAAGACAGAAAAGAAAAGTTAAAAATGTTAAAATCGGACATTAACTCTGCATAAACAAGTCCGAAGAACTAATCATCAAATGTGCTAAATAGTTAAGATGGTATTCTTTACTTTTGGTCTGACAACAGTTAACATGACTAAACTCAAACAAATGATGTTTTAGTTTAGTCTAAAAGCACTAAAAGTATGTTTTTTTATGAGGAATACTACCTCTGAAATCTGCTGGGCACTGCAGTTTCTAGATAAAGATTATCTAATAGCTGATAGCAGAGAATACTGCATTAGTAAGGGAGATTTTCTGTGAATTTGATGTGCTTTGTCAACAGACTGATACAAAATAAACAGCATTTTGCATGTTCATCATCATTGTAAGACATGTTGAAATCTTCATTTAATTTGTCATATTTCACACCTTATGGTAAACGCATCTTCTTTGATATCAAACAATGAGTAGAGTCTGTAAAAGTACCAAGAAATCTAAGGAAAAGACTGATTATTTTCCCCAGATGTTACACAGGAATCATGAAATCATGGTGTATTACATCAGCAAATCCCTGTCTCTCAGTAACTTTTTCCCTTTTTTAGTTTTTCTTTTTTTATTACACATGTTGCCAAAACACTAAATTTTCCAAAACATTAGTCCAAAAATCTACAATCTCATATTTTCCTGGGATATTCCTCTCATATTGAACTGAAAAGCCTTGTATAACCTGGTGCTATATCGCTGGCAAACCAAGGAAAAACTGAGTAACTATCTAAATATGAACCAAATTACTGTTGTATGTTTCTCAAGCTTATCACACAGAAAAAAATGGATATAAAGTTTATTTCAAAGTTGTTTTTTGATATTTTGAAGGAGTTTGCCGAAAACTGCCTTACCGTCTGCCATTTTGCCTTTGACCTCTCAGCTTCAAACTTGGCCACCTCCTTACGGTCGTGGACAGACACCAGCACCTTCCACACACCCAGCAGGATCAGGCCAATACACACGACTGAAAGGGAGACCCCCAGAATAATCATGGGGATGTTGGGAGGCTCTGGACAACCTGAGACAGGACAGAGGATATGATGAATATAACAACTGAAACTCCATTTTTAAAACCTGATTTTACTTGTTGGAAATCTTACCATATATCTGGAGGCTGTAGGCAGTGATCCCAGTCTCACCTGCTACCACATTAAACGAAATCCAGCACTCATTCTCCGTCATTAGCGTGCATTGCATAGAAGCACTCTTGTCGTATTCTGCAGACAATGCGGACAAAAATATCCATAAGTACGGCACAAATCTATCATATATCGCCTTCCCTTTCTGCATTGTGCGGGAATGTAAAAGGATATACTTGCTTCTGTTGTGCTGTCAGTGTGATTTCCATATCAAAGACTACAATCTAGTGTGCGTGTGTGTGTGCATGTGTGTGTGTGGACCACGCCATTGTATTTCACATCTGAAGCCTGAAAAATCCTCTGCGATAATCAGATATACCTCTCAGCTTGCACAAGTATAGCAGGTTTGAAATAATCTGCTCTATAAAGGAAGACAGGGTCCTTTGGCTATTCACAGACACCACAATAGCTCTGCCTGTACGACAAGGTAAATAATATGTTCCCCATTGTCCATGCTGGACATGGACATGGATGGTGTTGTGTTAGAGAAAGAGGGGGTATACGGGCTTCAGAGAGACACCCGAGTCGATGCAGGTCAGCATTCCTCCAAATCTCTGACCCATGGGGAAACTTAGCATGGCCCAGTGTTGATACCACGATCACAAACAGAGCGGACTCTAGCAACAACAAGCAAATCAAATACGAGTCTGCAAAGAGGATGGTGTACATGGACTCATGGTTTATTTGGATAACACCACGGATGGTTGTAGAGCATTATAAAACTATCTCATATAAAACACTGCTGCTCATGTTCCTTAAAATCATGAGCCGTTTAATTTCAGGTATCGATTTCATGCCACGGTACTGCTAGATACAAATCAGCTTGTATTGACTTGAAACATGCCAGAGGTTGTTGAGATATGATTTACAATTTTTTTCCTATCTCTTCCAAGGAAATGATTCCATCAAGGTTTGGTTGCCAAAAAGCCATGAAGACCTGACAGTATGTTATTGAAAAAGCTACACCTGGTTGACAAGCGATGATACCATTTATGTTTCTCAAGTTTCAGGTTTTGAAGCTTCCCACCAGCTTCAAAGCACCAAACACACAAGAATACCCAGAACGGCCTCCACCCAAAATGGCGTTAGATGTTAATTGGAGATGTAGGGAACAAAATATTCCCTGTGATACATTAATTATCCGACGCAAGTTTCAAGTATCAGCCAGATATTTATACGCTGTACCGACGTGACCTGATGTTTGCAATGAAGCGTATGCTTTGGAAATAGGTCAGTTTATAAGTAAAACAAGCACAAACACTGGTTTGTATTTTATGATGCATAAACAACAGTGCTGAACTGGTTTATACTAACCCACTGTGATGTATTCATTTACTGTCAGAGCAGCACCAAGTAATAGATAGCTATATCTTCATGTCTGTTTATGGTAACTGTGGTGCATTTGTTTACCTCTCAAGTAAGTAGAATTTAAAAGGCTTTGTTACGCATCACTTTGTATCAAATGGCCAAAAATACATATGATTAAACATTCGACTTAGCAGGTGAAGTTACACAAATGTAATGGCTTCCTGGAGATATTGTGTGTCTTGAGGTAAAGGACAAAAAAATAACAGTGAGTTGTAGTCTGCATAAAAAAAGTATTTAGTTAGTCCACCTCCATGGTTTTTAATCCTTAATATCTTGAAGCACCTAACCTAACAACAGGGTTGTTCTAGGCAAGTTGCCTAATAGCCCAACGCTGCAAACACCAGTGATCTGGTATAGCACCAGGAGCTGGTTAGCTCGGCAGACCAAAGTGAGCCACTCAATTCAGACAGCCAAAGCTTGATTTTGTATTTTATATTACTGCCAGCTCCACAATCACTAAGACAGAAAGGAGCGAATGGACTGATCACAAGGTACATCGCTAAAGATGTGCCTCATCATGTTGTATCAACAACTGAGTTTCCAGAAAACTAATCATTAAATACCAGGGAGATGAGAGGTGCAGTGCGTTTTTACAAACAAAGAGGAGTAATGTTTAAGTTACTTTCCGAGGCATCTAACTGCTTTTATAATTCAGCACCCCAGTAAGTAATTCAGTGAGTTTTTGTTTCAGTAGCTAAAGACCATTTTCAGAAATGTGGTACCATGTCATCCCCAATAGATGTCCTTCCATAGCCACAAACAGAATAGACCAAGCATCCTAATTCATATCATGTTGTTACAGATAAAATGTGAGTTTGAGTTTTTTTACCTGCTGTTGAGTTGACTGAAACTTTTGGGGTGCTGCAATTTTGCTCACATGATTCAGCACCTTCCTTATCTTGCAGATGGCACTCTACGCAGGTCCTGGTGTTATCACAAGAGAAACACAAAAGTTAGGGATAGAACATACTCTTGGAAAAGTTTTAATGAGTCTTCCATCACTGACAAAATGAGCACAAAGAAATCCCAGTGTTGGTCACTTATCACAGTTTTCCCAAGGCTTCACTCCCTCTATCACCCTGTAACAGTGGTATCAGGTGGCACCACCCCTGACAGCTGCTTTACAAAGCAGAAAGGAAATCTCTTGGTGCTGTGTTGGGGACATTAGTTGTCTTTTGATGTCACATTGAAGGTGTAGACACATGTGAACAAGAGGGCAAAAACCTGATCTGTCTGTACTCCAAAGAACAGACGTCTCATGTGGCGCAAGGAGACAGCATCTTATGTCTTGCAGTTAGAGATACAACTCAAAAACCCTCCACCTTACATCCTTTTTCAAAGATGGCAGAGCTGTGTTCTCACCTTGCTGAGCTGCAGGCGTCTCCACATGTTGGACACTTCTCACACTTGTCCCCTGACGCTCCAGGTACAGTGCAGAGACACTGGTCACACTCGCATCTCCCTCGGCCACTGCAGACAACACCATCCTCTGACATGCATGCCTCAGTGCTGCTGCTGCAGTTACAGTACTTCCCTGTCCATCCGCTTTCACAGTGACACTCGCCGCAGTCACAGACGCCGTGGCCTAAGAACACACAGTCATTAACGAAGCAGTCTTAACCAAAAAACATTTTAATTACCTGTAATATTCAAGTTTATATACACACCTCCACAGAGCTCCCCACGGAATCGAGGGCATGAATAATCATCACACTCGCAGTAAGGTCCATAGATGCGTCCAAAGCTGGATGCCTCACACACACACTGTCCGCAGTAGCACTGCCCCTGACCGCTGCATATCGAGGACTCATTGTTGGCGAAGCAGTTACTCAACAAAGCGCTCTCCTCATTGCACTCACACTCTGCTCCCATGAACCCCGGCTGACACACACAGACGCCACAGTGGAAAGCCCCCTGGCCCTCAGTGCACTGACTGCTATTTGCTTCAGGAGGCTGCTGACAGTCACACGAGCAAAGGGACTCCAGCTCGACTTCAAGACTGTCCTGTAAGCCCACAGGTTTGAGGGAGAAGTGACGGACTCCTGACAAGCACCCAGGAAGCTCCACGGACACGTTGAATACTACCTGAGGAGCAAAGACAAACCACCTTGAATGACTTTCATCTGTTTACTCAATACTGATCTGATCTTACAAGTTTCATGATGTAACACCGATTATTCCTACTTGCTATAGAGCTGCAGAGTTTTCCAAAATACACATCAATGAGCCTCATTGTTGAACTGGGTGACAAATCCCCTGATTACCATAGACACGGACAGCACGGATCATTATGTATCAGTCCAACAAACACCATCCCGCTGCCAGATAAATGTACTCGCCAACAACTGTACTAGTCCGCCTCTGAAGGAAATCCCTGTTGTATCCACTATTTATCCAATACATAGCAACTACTGATGTTTTTATGGGTTTTACTGCCAGTAAGACAAATGCAGTCTGTCACAAGCGTTTTGTTTTATTACATTCAACTGTGCGTGAGGACATCTCCAAACGGAAGATGAATTACTTGACGCTAACTTATATTACAGAAAACTTGACTAAGAAGTCTGTACAGGTGCTGAGAAAAAAAAGGGAGTAAATATACCCTGAATTGTGTTATTTTTGATATCTTTGGTTTAACTGAACCTGGTTTCTTCTTGGTGGGTAGCATGAACTGTAGCTTTAGTGTCATTTTTCTCTCAAAGCCCAAATACGAGCAGGCTTGACCACCTCAATGCACTCTTCCTGTGTTTGGTCTACCCAAACAAGTCACTCATCGGACAGAATTGATTCAGTACTCCACAGGACAAGGACCAAAAGGAGACCACAATCAAACTTATTTTTATCACTTCCCTACACATTTCTGCATTCATTTTCAAATTATTGTTCTTGTCCATGATCAGAAAACTTTAAAGCTGTGTGAGTACTGATATCTCCTTGGCCTGTATCTTTTGACGGGACCTTCTTACTGGATCTCTGCCTGGACTACCATGCAAGTTTTTCTCTTTTTACTGTCAACATATCTATAAACTTGTGTACCTCACAGTTACATTATAGTCCTATTATTTATACTACTGTCAGACCTTTTATTATTCTCTACTCTGAAAACATACATTACTGCTTCTTTACCTGTAATCCTATAAAAGAATATTTGCAAACAAATAAAAATTAATAGTTATCTAAGAAAAGCAACTGACCGTCTCTCCAGGTTTGATGTTGGAGCAGCGTTTCATATCAGAGTAGATACTCCCATTTGGGCAAAGGGCTGTAAACGACATCTGGAGCTCTTCAGTGTCTCCGAGGACCTCCAGTTCGATCTCTGACCGCAGCTCCTGGAAGACAGTTTATATACGTTTCAGCACCTTGCATGGAAATGCAATTGACAGAACAGGCAGAATATTTTCCCTACCACAAAAGTAGAAAAATCACTAAGCACAAACTCAAAAACGCAGGATAGTGACTCCTACTGTAAAGAGGTGGGATTTCCAGGGCGTTAAGTGGAACTACACTTTCACCTTGCCCTGACCTGTGGCGTGCTGAGTACGTTTGAAACCACCTCTCTACTTCTCTCTTTTTGTGTGAGTCATTATCCCAGGTGTGCTGTGCTGCATAAAGCACCTGAGGAAAAGAGTGACAGCTGACCTCAGCGGGAGGAAAGACTGTGTTTGACTGACTAATGACCTCTGTGACGGTCTGTCTGGGTGCCATCAGAGGGTAGATTGCGTGTTTCCTATAGGCCTGTAATTGTGCTCAGTGCGTCTCTACGGTTACCAAAGAGAAGAAAACTGAAAGGTGTTCATTATACACACAAAACTGATGATGGATCACAGAAAAGAGAGCATGAAAGAATCAAAAGACTCTGTTATTTTTAGTAAATATATTGAAGCGTATTTAGATCAACAATACTAGAGTCTTTCTACAGACCAAAAGAAGGCTGGTGTTTATATATATATACCTTTTTGTTTTGTTATTTTCTTTACCAATGACCAGCATTTCGAGTCTGTAAAAAAACCCCTCTCCTTTGTGGTTGTCGTGACTGCGCCTTAAAGTGGGTGTAAGCGGCGAAACTGATGAAGTAATTAAAGGACTCGCCACCCGTCACCGCCGCCAGAAGGGATTACCAGAGGACACAAACGTGCAAGAGGTAGACACAGAGGAAGACAGAGTGAGAGAGAGGGAGAGAGAGAGAGAGAGAGAGAGAGAAAGAAAGAGAGAGAGTGAGTGAGAGAGAGAGAGAGAGAGAGAGAGAGAGTAAGTCAAAGTCAGAGGGGCGAGGAGATCAAACAGCTGGAGCAAGCAGAGACTTGCTGTCAAACATGCTGATGCAAAGTACCGGGTGTTCGAGGGAAAAACCGTCACAGGAGAAAGAATGAAAGAAGAAAAGCAGAAAATGGAGAGAACAGGAAGACTGTGTGATGGCTGAGATGAGAAAAATAAAATATACAGATGGTTTAATCATGCCTGCATATGATTGTGTTTGATGCTACATTCAAAGCCTCACATTATAGGGCCAAACCTGAACTGAGCTCAGTTTTGATGCCTTTTTAATAGTAAGTGACTCCAGTGGTATTTCTCATGACCAGGGTTGACCTGCACATCAATATCACCAACACTGTATATTTACTTTGTATGCTGTCACAATGAGCTCCAGGACATTCCGCGAATCCATCGCCAGGACCCCGACTGTGGCGCCAGGTATGACATTTGCATAGTTCTGCAGAAAAACAACAGATAAACAGAAAAGTCAGTGCTGTAAATGTGGGTAGACTTGGCTCAAACTTGTCCGCTAAACATGGAAGAAGAGAGGGCTAGTTCCAACAGGTTGAATGAGAAAGCAGCTCCATGAATAAATATGTAAAACCTCAGTAAACACCGAGCTCGCACATTCTTGCATTCTTCTGCTTTTCAGTTTTGACACATTTTACCGCAAAAAAAATAACACATTCATGCAAAGAAGCCATTACCTTATAGTTGCTCTCCTGTTTTTCTGTCACAGCAAATATGAGTAGGATATTGTTCTCCACCACCTTATCACTCAGCTGACCAAGAGTAGGATACTCCTGGGGAAGAAAAATGGGGAAATGTCAACAGTGAATGTGCTGTAAGGCAGAGATGATTCATTGCAGCTGGCTGTAAAATGCCTCACAAAAGAGAAGTCATTGAACTCAGTTCATGCAATGGATTTAAATCAAAGAAATTGAACATTTTAAGTGAGAAATTAAAGGAAATCAAAAGTACATGATTAAATACAACAAACCTGCTCTGCAGACATGGAGTATTCATTTTTGACATTCAAATGACACTGCCCATCGTTGGGAATCACAATGCCAGCCATCTTGCTGTCCATCCCAAAGTGTGAGTCAGCATCACTGACAAACACCAGCAAACGCATGGAGTCATTCCTCCAGCCTATCTTGTCCTATCAGGAGACACAGCATGCTGCTTATGCTTCTTAGCTGAATGTAAGTCAAGTGAATGTAACATTGCTCTCTATGACATGATCCTGCACTTAAACTGTAGTTGAAATCGAGTCCACAACCACTATTCAACATACATAAATACCTAAAATACCCAATATATATGTACTGATGTGTAAATAGATTATATAAATCACAGTTTACTCTTCTTTCAGCAACTTTTGCTATAAACCGCATTCATAAAACTGAAGCCTAAGTACAATTTTAAATAACTTATTTTTTTCTTTTCTAAATGGAGTGGGCTCAAATTGACTCTGAACGGGATCAATATAAATACAGCAACTCTTTTTTCCAAGCCAGCAGGTGTAACATTTTGTCATACTAAATTTATGAAATATATTTTTGGGTGAACATGAATAACCACTTTTTAAAAAAATAGCATAACCAAATTTAAAAAACTAAAATCTAAATTAATTTTCATAAAAATAAAGTCTTACCCCACATACAGCTGCCTGCATGATAGCGTCAAAGCCTCCCTCTGGCACATCATTATTCGCTGAAACATGCTGCTCTCTGATGATCTTGTTGAACTCGTCTGTTCTACTTGTCAGAGACAAGACATGTTTGTATCCGAAGGTCGGCTGGCAAGTTATGCCTGCAACGCTGCAACACAACAGAAGTCAAAAGTCAAACTAAAATCATTTTTACAGGCAGATGTTTTTGCTGAAGATTTAGAACATATTTTAATATTTAACACATACGTGCAGGGGTTAGCAAGTTCTTCCTCTGTTATCTTGATGAAAGGCAGGACAGGTTTCTCCACAAAAGAGCCAAACCCCATCCTGAATTTACTGGTCAGGTTTGCCATCTCTTTTGACAGAGATGAGCCAAGGTCTTTGATCATCTTCAAGTCATCGATCATAGATGCTGACAGGTCCATCAGGTAGTAGATGTCCACAGGATAGTCTTCAGTGTGTTGTATCTTCACCTGGAAAGTTACCTGACTGCCTGTACAATAAACAAAATAAATACTTTATATCTGCCTGGAAAGGAGGAGAGACTTCCCGAAATAAAGCATGTTTGGGCTTCCTACCAGGTCGAAGCTTGAGTGACATTTTCTGAGGGGAGATCTGGGTGGTGTTGACATTGCCATTTTTCTTCCCAAGTGGATGGTCCAGCAGAACTTGGCTTTTGGAAACAGGGAACTCCAGCTGATCCTGAGCACATCCTTTTTCTAACAGACTGTCTAGACTGTCACATCTTTTGCTGACTGAAACCCAGTCTGTAAAATTCTGAAATATGGAGGACAAAATATAATCACACATTGCGCTGTCAAAGCATGAGGTATTGAAACAGTTTTGTATGATGCAGAAAAGTTTTGTGACTTTAAAACGAGCAAGGCCATTTTGCTGACCACACACAATTTGTGATGCCTTATGAGCATTTACTCAAAATTTACCATGGTACTACCCGCTGAGCAATAGATGGCTATTAAATGTCCAGTTTTTTTTTAGACCTAATTTCAACCATTTAGATTCTGTATATTTTTAGACAGAATTTAGACATTGCACTCTAACCCATTATTCGATAACTTTTTATTTCATAAAGCAACTATGAGTTGCATAACTGATCTCCAAGTACTTAACCAAAATAATTATGATCGCAGTTGAGCAATATACAGTGTAATATAGATTTAGATTTAGTCTAAACTTGGTCTAAATTTAGATGCCTAAAAAAACTTTATTTTTAGACCTGTGTTAGCCTGATTTTAGACCAGTCGTCTAGGATACATTTAGACATCTATTAGACCTCTTTTAGACAAAAAAATGCTCAGCGGGTAAGTATAGTCCTGGCTGCTTACCTCCTGCTTGCACCAGGCACAGTGAGAATTTAGCTGCAGACACTGGTCACAAGTCACAGCACTGCCAGCTGAACATGATCCTGTATTACACATGAACACACATACAGTCAGCATGTAAACACCAAACAGAGTTCCCTACAAAAATCAAGGCCTCTCTGTGAAAACAAATACAGATTCAACAGCAACTTCCCTTTTTCATGAAATTGAGGATGTGACACAGTCATTAACCAGATCACTCTTTACTCTTGTGTTAATATGGAGGTGAAAACACAATCTCAATGAGGCTTCTCACAGTAAAACATGTTAACTGGTCATAAATACCAACACAGTTTTTATGGTCTGCTCCTGAGAGCTTGTTACTCTTAGTTTTGTTCATTATAAACATGTTGCTCTTGATTTTTGAAGTCCTGCTTACCCTCCACGGTGTGGATCCAGTACCGCAGAATCAGGCTCAGCAGTATAAGCCCCATTAGTCCGAGAGGTTACTGGTAATAAGGGAACAGAAGAAGATTTCAAGGTGTCTCATATTTACTCAAGTGAAACGTGTCCAGCGTCATGCCTGCTCTTGCTACTTTACCGACAATGAGCTACACAGGAGAGCGTTGCTACCTGTATAAGGGAGGAGGAGGAGGAGGAGGAGAAGAGTTGACTGACTGTACCTGTGCTGCCTTTTATGTTCACTTCCGTACAGGTGAGATACCATAGCGAGCAAAGGGGGAAACCGACCGTAGGCTAATTATCTGATAATAGACCAGGTTTTTCCCCCTAACAACCTTTAGCCATTTCCTACTTTTATGATGGAGGTATATATGTCACACTTATAAAAAGATGAAAAATTAATAGACCAAAAAGAAACAAAGTGTAGAAGTCAGGGTTAATGCTTGTAGTAGTGGAAAAGTAAGCTAGCTTAAATAAGCTAGGCCACCATTAGCCTACTCAGGTGTTTCTGTTTTATCACATTTCAGCTTCAAGAGATTTAATGGAAAAGTTTTGTTCTGATTATTTCACCATATTTATTCAATAAAACAGATTAAATTTTAAAAAAGTATTTCCATTTAAAGCTCCTTGTCTGTCATCAATAGGCTTTATATTTTATCATCCCATTTTCTTATAAATTCTTGCTAATTTTAACAAAGCCCCCATTTGCAGTTGATAGGCCTATTATTTGACCTCTTTTCCCAAGGTTATACTTAATCTGACTTGGCGCTGCTGCATAGTTTGTAGAGGTTTTCATTTAGGTATTTATTCAGTTTTATCAGGCTTTTGTTGTTGTATTTAATCATGTCCTTATCTTTTATTGTACCACTTTTAAATCATGTTTCATTGGCCTTTACTGTGTTTGTTTTGTATCTGGTGTTAGTCTATGTTTTTTCTGATGTCTCCATGCTGTTTGTTGTCTGTATGAGTCTTCTTGTCCTGGTGGTGAAATAGTTTCCTCCATGCGGGATCAAAAAAGTCCACCTTACATTACCTTAACTAAGTATTCTTAAGTTATTATAATACTATTTTGCTCATGCTAATCATTGATTTGTTTTTTCGTTTTACTACCTTACTTGTGAGCCAATATAGATAATAATAAAATGCAACAATTCTAAAATTTTGGCGTTACAAATCTAGGCTGGCTGAGATTTATCTTATTACTCCAATAATTTGTCGTTGCTCTTTTGATTTTGTTCTGTTTGACTGTGTTTTATCATTCCCCCTATGTCCCTGTATTTGTTTTATTTATTTGTTTGTTTGGAACCCCATTAGCTTCCACAAAGTGGTTGCTAGTCTTCCTGGGGTCCAAAAACTTAAAATCACAATACATTTCAACAATTGATTAATAATAAATACAATTACAGATTCAAATCATGACTCTTCACAACATTAAAACATGAAAATCTCTCCAAAATCTGTGCTTTTATGGTTCATTCATACATACAGTTTTGTTTTCAAGTCCTTTTAAAATGATACCTGCTGCTTATTTGCTGTGTGCTCCTAGGCAATTGATTCCTGTCCTGTAGTATTAGATATATTTTATTTGAAGCACCTTTTACCTGTGAGTGAAAAAAGAGTTGTAGAAGAAGATCCCTGTTAAATTTACAGGACTTTGTTTACACCATCACTTCATTGCAGCATCAGTCTTATAGGCTTCAACTAAGCTACCCTCTATGGTGATCATGTTACAATTGAACTATGGCCAATGAAGCATAATAAAATACAGACAGGCCTCACCATAAACAAACACAGCCTGTACACCCCCTATTACCCAGACACCGACAGGAGGTATGTTAATCTTTAACAACACAAGAACATGATTCATTGTCCTGGTCTCACCGGGATTTTTTCAGCATAACGATTACCTCAAAGACAAAACTAACCAAATAGTTCTATCCCTAGATATGAAAAATGACTGAGAATGTGTGCATGAGTGCGTGTATAATCAGAGAGGGAGGAGGGTGGGGCTGCGTAGGTGTTGAACCATTGACAGCTGCAGTACAAATACCCCTGCTTGTTCAAACTCACAGGAATCTCACTGATCATCACCACACCCCTCTGGATCTGAGTGAGTCCCATCTGTCACCCCAAACCAAACCCCATCTCCTATCATCTTATACTAATCCCTCTCACCCCTTTCTACTCTCCTCTCCTCTCTGATTTCTTCTTTTCTTGGCATCTACCTCTCTCCTTCAGCTCTTTGTATTGAGATCCACCTTACCTAGCCGCCTGCCTGAAGTGTCAGCCTGTCAATTTGGCATTTTAATATATGCCTCCTCCAGCTTAATTCCTCTCATTTCCTGCATGCCAATCTACCTTTGATTTACTCCCCTCTTCTCCTTCCTCAGTTCATCTTGCGCTTTATTATTTTCTGAATTTTTCTAGAAATTTTCCTAGAATGATGCAACCACACAATATTTCATGACTTTCATTTCCTGTATGTAAGCAAGATGCTTAAGGTGAAGTAAGGTTTCACAGTTGCACCATACTGTTACACTTTATTCTTGCTTTTAAACCTGCTGCCTTTCAGTCAGAACTCAGGGAAAAGAGTGTTTTTTTCAAATTATATCTGACAACAGAGATGAAGCACATCATGGCCTGCTTTTATAGGAGTATTAGTCTCACCAAATTCAGCAATCCATAAATTATCTCCAGCATATCTCTCTGTCAGCACTACACTTTTACTATGCGCAGAAATGGAGGTGTACATTAACCCTGCAGTGAGCCGACTCACCTTCCGGGGCGTCCTCTGATAACATGCTGTCCCGTCTCAGTCAGTCTTCCTTGTCATCAAGTGAAAAATGGAGAGGAGTGGAGAAGCATCAGGCCAGCACATTCAGTCCTATTGTATCCCAGCAGCCGTCAGAGTAACAGTAAACCTATTGTAACGGCGCCCTTTATGAAGCATGGCGCTAGGGTGACCCTGCTGCCCATGCTCCTTGGCTCATGTGTGCCTTTGTGAATGTGTGTGTGTGTGTCTGAATGTGGGTGAGTGTGTGTGCATGCATACTGGGGTCATGTGTGGGTGTTTGTACAGGCTCCAACTTGCCCGTATGTGTGTATGAGTGTGTGTGCAGGGGGAAGGCTGTGATGATAATGAATGACAGCAACAACTGCAGACTGTGAGACCTCTGCAGGACCGACTTTCTTTATTAAGAGACGACCTGACTGATGTGCGAGTGTTGCGCTCTAGAGGCTAAAGCCGGTGTCAACTGCAGCACAACACTCCTGACTCAAAGGAATAGTCTTTGTGATTGGTTAGACTATGTGTGTGCATGCGTGTGTATGTGTGTGCACATGTTTGTTCAAGTTTAATTACTTCCTGCACTGAGGAGGAGAAGGAGTAGGAAGCTGAGTGAAGGAGTACTGGTGCTGTAATACAGCCTCCTTCTCACTGTGGTATGGCTGGAATGCAGGTGTACACACACACATTTGTGAGTGGAACAACATAATAGAGCAAAAGCGAGCGCTATAAAAGATTTGCCCCAATGTCAGGTTTTGTCTTTCATTTCTTTAACAGCTTTTGTCCCTTGTAAGCCGTGTAAAACAATTTTTCTCTAGATAAAACAATACTATGAACCTGCAGCTTTGCAAATAACTCTGTGAAGCTGAACTTGGATTGAAGGCCTTTATCACAACGGCAACACACTGATGGCAATACCACCATATCGATGCCTAACAGGTGTCATTTGTACTATTTTCACTCTTTGCTGATCCTTTGCAAAGAAACTAAAATACATTCCAGACCAGGAGAAATTTCACATATTTTGGAAAACCCAAAATATTTGATAAAAGGGAGGACAAGGCAAACGGTTCTTAAAGGGATGGTTTGATTTGTTGAAGCAGGGTTGTACTTGTCGATAACAAATGTATTACCTCTAGAGACTGTCTGACCTTTTGTTAAGAGACTGGCTGGAGAATTGGTAAGGATGCTAAGTACTGCAGATGGGGTCGGTTTTCAGGCTGAGTTTTAGTTTGAAGACAGTCTAAGAAAAACACTCATCTTGGCATAAATATATAAATATAATCTTCAATCTTTGCTGTCAGAAAGCCTATTTGATTTAGTACCTTTTGCTGGACACTACCTTTGTGCATATGAGTCCCTTCACCCTTTAAAAAGATGAACAGAGTAAAAAAATATTTAATGACAAGTGAAACAACCTTTACAATTACAACTCACATATGAATCCTTGGACCTTTTTCAGGTAATCAAATAAATAAAATTAAGACTCATGGCCTCACAAAGATGTGCACCAAAATCAAACCAACAAAGCATATTGTTGATGAACTACTTCAAACTGAACTAGCTTGGGGGTATTTTGAAAGAAAACTTAATCTTACCACATTTGCAGATACATGTTTTATTAATTACCGTACAACAAAGCTAAAGCTATGGCAGTTAGATTAAATAAAACATTTATGAGGCATGATTAAATTAATAAAAAGATAGAAATCTTTCTTTGCGACATCAGTGGTTCTGCTTTTATCTCCAGTAATGTAAAGCAGTCAGTAGTCATTTTAAAGCCAAAGATCGCATATTAGCTGATAATTAGCCTTGGGGTGTTTTCTTTAAATTGTGCACTAGTCTCTGGAAAAGCTTTAATGTTACATCTTCTGATAGCATCATTGAGTTAACATTTAAAGTACAGTTTCACATCCTATATCTTGACATTTATCTCACTACATGAATGACACTGGATACAGGAGCAGGCCTCTCCTCCCAGCGTTTGTGCCCCGAGTCTGACCTTGGGCTTTCCTCAGGGGATCAGTGCCATGTGTCCCCTCAGCTGTGGAGAATTAAAAGTGAGACACAGAGCGGATGAGAGGAAAAAGAGAGAGACTCTACCCAGCTTATATCTGGTGTTCAAAGAGCTGATGCCCATATGTACAATGGGCACTTGATTGACGTGTGTGTGTGTGCATTTGCTACATCGGATGTGTGAGTATATAAATATTCCTTGAGTCAGGGGGGGATGTATGGAGTGTGTGTGTTATAGTGGGGGTTGACAGCGGGTGTGATGGCTAATCTTGCACCCCGGTGGTTTTGATCCCTCTGACTAGTAAGAGAGGAGGGCATGGTGCCTTCATGTCTCTCGAATCAGCTGTGCTAAGTCTGAGCTTAAGGAGGGAGATCCGGTGTAAGAGTGAATCTACAAAGGCTGTGTGCCTGAAATAGAGCAGGAAATGACTGCGACATGAGTGCACATGTTGCTGTTGTTACTCATCTGATCCAACATAAGTTTTATACATTATAGGAGACATGATCATATTCAAAAAAGATATCCCAGCTTGAAATGTGTTCATGTATGGGGGACAGTTTTGATCCGCAGCGCCCTCTGCTGCAGCCAGTCAGTATGGCCCAGTCATAATACAACTTGACAATACACTAAAAGTTTAACCTTATGATTAGTATGAATTATTCAATTTAAAGGTCCTGTTAGAGGATTTTTAATAGTTTCGATATTGGTTTTAGTTCCTCTTTCAAAGCTACAAAACCAAACAAGACTATCAACGACATGACTCATAGCCTCTATATTGTAATTTGTAACACCTACTTATTTCAGATATATTTGACAAATGCAGATTAATTATTTTGGGTTAATTTTTTGTCTGGGGGTTTCATTTATAACCCAAAAAAGGAATATGCATGAGATTAAAGCTATGAAATAAGTCATTTCTAACATTATATAGTTATTTTTAATGTGTTGCTTAAAATACTATATTTAGTCTCTGTGCCACTGACAGAAAAATGAAACTAAGTGTTAGAACTGAAACTTAAATTGAGTTTTTGTTCTTGCTTGAGATCCGATTTATTAAAGCTGCATTGTGTACGTTACTAAACCCCCACACCTCCTCTTAAAAATACAAGCCTGATAATGTTATGGACTAAAGCATTAATGGATTCATTGTGCAGGTAACTAGCAAACTAGTAACTATTGATCAAAAATGAAATCATTCTTAGTTACACACCTGTGTTGCTGTTCTGGTTGGGTACTATTTTTACGATTCTTGAACAATAAGCAAATGCAGATAAACTTGCGAATTATCCCTTTAACTCATAAATACAACAGCTGAGAAAGACAAACTGGGAGGCAAAAGAGGCAATTAAAGTGACAGGAGTCGTATATGAGAAAAAGAAGAGCCTTTTTATTCAGCACTGTTTTTATTCCAATGTTTTTAAAGGAGAGAGAGAGAGAGTGAAGAGAAGATTGTTTCAGAATCAAGTTGAAGGTGAAGGGAGAGCAATGAGGATAACATGTACAAGATTTTTTCTAGTTTTTCTTTTTTTTTTGTTATTTTCTATTTTTCCAGCAGAAAATGTTCAAAATGGGACTGTACTAGCAGTTAAGCCCGGTTACAGCTTGTATTTTTCCCTTACTGAGTATTTACAGTTACAGTACTGTTAATCAGGGAAGCACTGCAACCATACAGCTTATACCATTATCAGTTCTTACATCCGGAATCATCAAATTAATGACAAAATTGCAAATCAAACAATAAAACTCACGTATTTTTCACTTTTGGCCCTAAATTTCTATAATTTACAAATCTTATTCTGAACAGCGAGACATCGAAGCCTGTGCTGTCAGCCATAAGCTTCAGCTTCCTTCCAACTTTGATGAAATACTACAGACTTTGAAGTACTTCATAGATGATTGTTGCATTAATATTGCATGACTTAAGATTTGAAACTTGGTTTATTTCATCTGATCCCAACATAAAGCCACTGTACAACCAAATTCTTGCACTATTTGTGGAGAGCTTTACAGAAGCAGTAACCCACCATAGTGACTTTTAGTCTGAGGGCAAAAAAAGAAAGAGGAAGGAAAAGTGTTGAGTCATCTAAGATTTGTCTAGAATGGCAAAGGCAGAAGAATGCACCAAATAAACACATGTAGCCTGCATTCATTTGTTTCAAACACATTATAAACCAACTATTTCAAGGAGAAGCTAAACGTTTGAATTTCTAAAGTTGAGCCTAACAACTGAACAACACTCATCGTGTGGAGGAAAATAAACACCAGAACAGAAGCAATAACAGATAAAGGTAAAGCAGAGTACAATGTTTCTTTGCAGATCAGAAAGAGAAACGCTGCATGTAGGAGACAAATGGCAGAAGTCCTATTTGGCCAGCTCCTGAGCGTGGCTTTTTTTTTGTCCTGCTTCGTCCACTGTGGTGAAAAGGGGCTTTACCTGCAAACCCCACAACAAACACCAGCAGACTTTAGCAGAACCATGAGGTAGATCACTGGTCAAACCGACCACAAGAGAAAAAAAAAACTCCTAAAAGATGTCCATTAGGTGTAAAACTTGTATTTCATAAAAGTACGGCTCTTTTTTTTCCAACATCACACTTGAAGTTTTAAAAAAAAGGAAAAAAGGTGAAAATAAGGAATTACCTTGCTTTGAGTTTGTCACCGTTCATTTTTTTAGTATTGCCGTGGGACTCTCATTGTCTTTATTGCTAACAGAAGACTAAGATAGCGAAACACTTAATGGAAATCTCAGGATTTCACTCACACATTTGATCAACCAGTTAGAAATGTGACACCTGATCAAGTTCAATGAAAATATGTTGGAGAATGTTGGATGTGACAGAAGGAAGGCACCTTTTTCCATTGATAAATTCATTAATTCCTAATGAAATGGTCACGTGTGTCGTCTGTGTGAGTGCAGTTTAACATGAATTGATTTTTTCAAGCTATTTCTGTGGCAACTTTGAAAAACCAAAATGAAGCTAGTTTTGAAACTTGAAACTTCAGTGCAAACAAGGTTTTGCAAGGTTATCATACATCACAAATTAAGGAGCAATAAGTCAAAGAAACTGTGTGTGTGTGTGTTTGTGTGTGTGTGTGTGTGTGTGTGTGTGTGTGTGTGTGTAGGGAGGGGGTTCAATCTCATGCATTTTAATATCACATCATACTTGGGGGGGTGGGGGGAGGGTTTTGGTGGTGAAGACAGAGGTAGGGGGGTCCTTTCTGGCATTTGTTTGGGAATCCTTGAAAAAAAAAAAAGGAAAAAGAAAAGGGTGTGGTTTCTTATCAAAATAAATCTTGCTTTTCTTTTGTTTTTCTGTGATTAGCCAACTGCTTGAGTCCATTTACACTGTCCACATTTTCCACCACAAACGTCAGGGCTGTGCAAAAAAGTCAATGAATCTGGTCCGATCAGAGAAGGCGGTGATGTCGTCATGGCGATGTCATCAGCAGTTTCCCACCTACCCTCGGGCTCACAGGGCAGTAAAAGGCCTGACAAACAAAGACAGAGACAGCACAAATGATAAACCTTAGACACCACTTTAACACATGAAGAACAAGAGAAGTAAAGACTAGTTTGTCCACAGGGGGCGCCAAAATTGAGACAATCTAGAAGTTCCTCACGGGAGCTTTAGAGTAAAGTCAATGAGAATTACAAACTGTACATCTGATTTTAACTTTAATATTCTTGGCAAACCGGATTAGCCAATCATTACGAAACAGTTCTCATTGCGTATTGCTTTCTTATGAATCTGTAGACGATAGTTAAAAGATCTCAGACGCCTGATAAATGATTTTAGTTCCCTTTTTTTGATAAATAACCTTCTGTCAAGGTTCAATGAATAAATCTAACTACTTAACATGTTCACAAACTAACAGCTTTTAACTGATCTAATAGTGACCCATTTATTAACCCACATAGAAGCAACGACTCAAACCACTCACAGATGACTTCTTTGGTACTTGAACCTTAATTACTGTGGCTGTTTTGTTGCTCAAATAAACAACTTTTGTCTTTACATCACATCACTGGTTTGAGAAACTGAAGCATACCTGTGACTACTTGCTGAGCTGACTGTAAGGAGACGAGTTGTTGGAAGAATCCACTTGCTGCGGCGTGCCATTTTCCTGGAAAGCAAAATCACATCTCTCATTTAGAGCGTTGTAATGACTACGTTCACTGTGTTTACACTGCAGAGATAATTATCGTTTTTCAAGAACAAACACTTTAGAAAGCACTCCAAGCTTAAAGAGGATTGGACTGTCACAGTCTGTTATCATTTTCCAGAGCAATTATTGTTTTAAGATACATCAGTGTTTCATGGACATTAGGCGAAAGGTAAATGTGATCGAGTTACAAGAAACTTACAGCTGCTGCTTGCATGGGAGGATACTGAGGCATGTACGCTCCTTGGACACCAGGGTTAGCTGAAATATACTGCAATAAAAGAAACAAAACATTAAACTTCTAACCATCCCTACAACGTGCTGCCTCACTTTATGTGGCCCTGTAAACTCAACACTACTAACACCCCCAAAGTAAATGTAATTAATTTGACCAAAACATGAAAGTAGACAATATGTAGTATGAGGGGAGGGGGTTGTCATAGTTTTTGGGCATCCGACATGGAAAATTTTGTCAACATTGCATTAAAATGTGAACCTTGAAATCATTGGCTCGGGTAATTTGCCACAGGAGCATCAAGAAGTGGCTCCAGAATTAGGTCGTGTGCATATCAGTGCCCAGCACACCTGAGACATTTTGCACTTCTTTGCAAACAAAGATGCTTATCTGCTTGACAAAGACCCGAAAAATGTAACCTCTTATATTATAAATCATTTCAAAGAATAATAATCATTTGAAGAGTACTAAATCGTGAAAATGGCCTTCTTTTTCCGAGTAGACCAGTGAATCTGCTCCTTTTTAAAGGTAACAGCAATTTTGTGACCAAGAGACCAAAGAGATTTGGTTTTTAGCTGAGCTCTGCTTCACATTGAATTTCAAAATGCAATTTTTATTGCAAAAATATACACTTCAGCTATCCTTTATCAGCAACAATTTGTGCATAGCAAAACCATTTTTTGTCCCTATAATCTATATTAATGTTTATGTTAATCCAGGGATATTGAGAATAAGTCCTGTAATAGCTCTTCTGATCACATGTCCGCCCATTGTCAAACTACATTCATGACACTTGTGAGTGTAATTGATTTAATAATACTGCACAGGTTTAATTTGAACATTTATGTCAAGTGTGATGCATGATTTCCCAGAATTCCTCTCACCGCTCCACTGTTTCCCAGAGACAGCTGACCCATCTGCTGAGTAATCATGGCTGTGGGGTGCAGTGACATGGAGGGATCCACAGAGGGAGACATTACAGCAGCCTGTAGTAGAAGGTAGATGAGTCTGTTTTACTTCACATCACATGATTCTAGACGCAAAAATAGGCAGTACACGAAACTCAAAAGGCTCAATGAAGTTGCAGGATGGGTTATTGTTAGAGTATGTGTGAGTCATTATATGGAAGTTGGACAGACTTGGCAGGTTAGTTGAGAAAGAGGGGATATTTAGTGGCTGTGAGGTTTGACAAGTTTACACTAGCATATTTACAGCCTTAATTCTGAGACAATTCATTACTTTGTGGTAAACATAAAGTAATCTTTGCCTGTGAGTAACACTGAGTGATCGAAATATGTTGCCAGCTTTAGTCAGTTTTCAGATGGGGCATATTCCTTTAAACATGATGCCCTCAGGGAATAGACCATTTCCTAGTAAAAAGTGGGGGAGGGGGCAGATCAGCAGAGACACTTGTTCCACTGGAAACCATCTGTTGGAAGAGTCAAAGAGTCACAAGACTGTCTCTGCTTCAGGCATTTCCTGCTGGATCCACACAGAGAGAGGGGGGGGCGGTGACTGAAAGTCTTTTTAGTTGTTCCATTTCTCTTTCAAACAACTCGAGCGCACATGCGCACACTTACAAGATCTAAATACACAGAGGCCTTTTCCCAGAAGTCGCCTCAGCACTGTGCGTCCCTGACATTTGGGGAAGTTCTGTTGGTTTGATTGTGTCAGCAGAGCACAACACTCAGAGTTCCTGTGAGCTCAGAGCTTTAGAGACGCCACACACCCATTTCCTGTGCCAGGAGGTGGTGAATGAGAGGATGAAAAAAAAAGAAAAAAAGAAAACACTGTAGCTCTCTTACCGGGTGTTGCATGATATATGGTTGATGTGCCACCCAAGAGTGACTCTGGACCTAAAAACAGATCAGACAAAACAAGAGAAATTTGAAAAGACAAAGTTTGTGATGTGTCATGTATGAAAGATTTATACCACAAACTAACTTTCCTGGTACAAAATGTTGTAAATGAGGAATTCTGGGATTTTATTGGTCTAGATTATTCATTATATTTGAGCTGTGAACACTCAAGTCTTTTTGAAACTTATCCTTATTAAAGATCCGGGTAAGCCATGAAAGCCAAAAAATATTCAAGCTTTTTGGGGACCTTCTCTCTTTCCACAGCACTAAGAAATCTGGGAGTAGAGAGTGGAAGGAGATATGCAGCAAAGGACCTTGGCAGAATATTTAACCAGCGACCGCTCTGTTAAGGACTAAAGTCTCTCCATGTAGGACTGCTAAGCTGTCGTTGCCCTGTATGTTGTATTTTTTCTCATTCTTTTAAGAGTCAAAGGTTTTGGTCTGACTTTATCACCCGTGCCAATCAGTCCTCCCAACCCTCTCTCTTTCAGGTCCTAAAACTCCCCTCTGTAGCGTTTTCTATCACCACACTTTGCCAACCTTTTAACCACGACTTTGTAGACACTTCCATCGAACACTCACAGCAAAATTGGCCAACTTTACACTTTAAAGCGAAGGCCTTGGGAAGGGATCGATGCAGCTGACAGTCACCGCAACATTTTAATGAGTAAAATAAGCTGAAGCATAACTTTTGTTGTGGTCCTTGGGTAAGCTTCACAAACTCCAACAAAGACAGTAAATCCTATGCTGTAAGAGTTCACAGCACTATAAAGTCCTGAAGTTAAACTTAGACCACGCAGGCCTGAAAATCCAACATGTTGCAGATTCATTTGAAGCATGTCTGGCATTAAAGGATTCCAAACCTCACTTGTGTGTCACATCAAGACTTCCCTGATTCATCCCCCCGTGTTCAAATTAATCTCATGTGATGGATCTTATCAGTGGTTGGAAGTACTCAGAGATCATTAATTCATTTTAGTAGAGTAATGAGTTCTACTGTATGAGTAAACAATAAGGCAGGGAACAAAAACTCAGTTCAGAGGAAGTATTACTCAGAGAGGATGACTGCATTTGCTGAGAAGAGGAGGGATATTCGCCCTACTTGGCTCATTGGATCCACTAAGTTTAGAGTGGTATTGTGCGGTTTCAAACTGACCAAACCCCATAAACACTGAGATTAAAAAACATCCGCAGTCGCATGAAGATGCTGAAGTGTGAGATGACTACAGGCAACTTCAATAACTTTTCCTAAAGCTGTAGCACTTGTAGCACCCACACACATAAAGAAACACACCTATAACCTCAAATGCAACACTGAAGGAGGGGCTGATATGATTCAGTTCAGGCTCTTGGATGTGGTTTGCATTCAGGATGTTTTGCAGTACCTGGTAAGCAGAGACTGGAGACATGTAAGGAGACATGGCAGGCTGCACAGTCATTATCCTGTTGCTCACTGGATACGGGGAAGGGTAGTACCTAGGAAATAGCCAAGGTTTTAAACAAAGCGTAAGAGTCATGACTCAAGTTCAGAGATATACAAACTGAAAGTAAACTTACCCATTCTGTAAAGCAGCTGTGGAGGGGTCATAGGTTAGAGTCATTGCACCCTAAAAAGAAAATAACATGGAAAAGCATCTTAGTGCTGTTTCTAACTGATCCAGAAATATTCAGCAAATAAAAATAAAACAGTTCAAATCAGTTTATTACTCCAGTCTTTGATTGAGAATCTTTTTTAATTTTTCTACGCTGAATCCAGTCGCTGGCTAACTTAGCATTGCATCAGTTCTTGTAACAGAGGGATACAAAGGGTATTAAATCATAAGTTACATCACTAAAAGGACTATTGTTTGGCTGGGGCAGTGCCTTTATAGACTCTTGAGCATAAAATGTTGAACTATCCCCTCAAAGTACAGACTGGTATGTATGTATAACTGGCAGAACACGCCTATTGTGCAAACCTTTTCACTATTTTCTGAATCGTACTTTTCCACTTATGGGATTTAAACACCTGCGTTAAAACCTCTGATTCTGTATGTATTTATAATGTCTTGCAAGGACATAGCAACACATGGTGAAAAAACATCATCATATAACACAGAGGGGCCAAATCATTACAACATAAAACACCAGGCAGATACATACTAGTCTGAGATCTCCTGTCTGTCCGTTTGGAACAAATCCACTATGAGCATGTTTCTTCCTCTGACTGTCTGCAAACTTACACAGCAAGGGCTGAGAGGGAGCTGGGGGCAAAACACACATAAAAAACATTTAAGAGTCACTCAACAATCAATCACTGGAGGGAAAGTGTACAGAGAGGTCAATTCCTTTCCTACCCAGAGTTCCAGATGCTATCTTAATAAATTTCCCGTTGAAGTGGGAGATGACGGCATTACACTGCTCTGTTGTGTCCATCCTGAGAGAGAGACAAAGAGAAAAACACAGTAGACTCATTATCAAATAGCACAGACATTTTTGTACATGTGATACTGTGAGAGGTGGCACAAACTTTGTCAACTCTTTACGCCCATCTCTGAAGAGTTTCACATCAACATTTTAATTCACTCTTTTAATTTCACTCTCTACAACGACATCCAAAGTGGGTTCCAGCAGAGAAACATTAGGCAATATACCCTGTAGTTCCCACTGTAAAGACTCGAGCATGGGTGTGATCCAAGCTGCTCTAAACTTCATTAGAACTCAACCTACAGTGATTTATTGCGCAATATTATTACGTAACGCTCATTAAACTAAGTACAGTCAACACTTTTTGCCAAAGATTGTACTTGAAAGTAGCTATAAAGTGTCTTTGTCCCATAAATGATTAATTATTACCTACAGTCAGAGCTGTACAATTATTTATCCACCCCTGAAAAGGTGATTTTGCAGAGGACAAACTAAGTGTTCTTTTTCATAGATCAAAAGTGACCGACCTGGCAAAGCCCACTCCTCGGCTGTTTCCGCTGTAGTCTCTGAGGATCCGTGTGGAGACGACCTGACCGAAGGGCTGCAGCATGTTCTCGAGCTCCTTCTCATCCACAGAGAGAGGAAGGTTGGAGATGTACAGATTTGTGGGGTCCTGCTCCTGTTGCTATTTGCACATGAGGATGATATAAAGAAGTTTGATTTGGGTGATATGTTAGATTGCATGCTTTATATAATACTCTTGAAAGAGCGTTATGACAAAAAATGATCTTTTCTCCTAAATCAGGCAAAACACTTAAGTCAGTCAAACGTCTCATGCTTAATTTTTAGATTAACACATTACTCTTTAAAATATGAACATTTGCTTCACATGTCTAGTTTTTTTAAACAGCTCCCTTCATTTTCAATTTTAAGCTATGTGTTTTATGAGATCCCATATTAAAAGCTTGACAGAGACATGAACGTTTTATTCATGCTACAAAGTCATGATCTTTTTCTGTTTCCCTTTTCCGATTGTTTTCTTTATATAAACCACAATAAAAGAACTGCTTCCTTGCATTAGAAATTACATAACAGCAACCATATGATAACCATATACAAATACCTGAAATTTAACAGACAAAATAAGCAAAAAGTGAATAAATGAAGAATAAAAATTATCCCTAAATTTGCACCAAACCAAAGATGAATGCAGCGCAGCCCTTTTTCTTAAGTTAAAATATTCATTTCAGACTGAAACTGTTTTTCTTGTGAGGATCAGGATTTAAAGCATCTTCTTAAGTATGTTTAGGGGTCAGAGGAAAGCATTTGGTGAAACAAACATTAATAAGCTCTCCCACATACACACTCACTCACTCACTCACTCACTGAGACACACTTGATCTGTGCTGTGCAGCAGCTCAGCGCCTCCACGGTCTTCCCTAGAAACAGCAGGAGAGCAGCGTAGCCTAGCTACCGCAACACACAAACTGTTTGTTCCAAACAGAGCAGCTACATGCAGGTCTCAGGAGAGCAGCGCTTCATCACTGAACTCTCACCCATGAATTTAAAGGCAGAAACACGGGCCGGTTAGAGGAAAAGGAGGGGACTGCAGTGAATTAAATGATCCAGACAATTTCCTCTGCCCACTGCGAGACAAATCACAGACATAATGCCGTGTTTGTCATCTAAAAATATTTCTGAAAAATGAAAAACGGGTGTGCTTCAGTTTGAATTAGTCACAGAGGATCAAGACTGGCTCAAAGCAGTGGTTCAGTCGCTGTAGTGCTTCAGTGCAGTTAGGCTTACATCAGTATGCATGAACGGTAATTGTTAATACTCAGTGACATAGTAATAATTCTGCTAAAAATCTGCTCTGTCGACACAGTACAACCTCAACAGGATGGTGTGGTAGTGTGTGGGCTGGTGGTCCTGTGTGTAGCGCGTCACTCTGACTGACAGGTTATTTGGCAGACAGAGACGTGACATCTGGTTTCTACAGTGAAAGTAAATGGGGTCATGCACGGGAAGAACAGCTTGTCAGCTCAGGTCATGTGACCAGTCTAATGTCATTCTCCAACACACACCAGGCACAAGCCCACAGACATGATCACAAGACACAACTACACACACACATACACACAGACAGACAGACACATGCGCACACGTCTGCATCAAACTCACCTTGGCCATCTGGGCCTGTATGCCGCTGGTTTTCAGAGCATGCACTGCCTTTAAAGCAGCCGCCGGGCTGTCAAAATCCACAAAGCCGTAACCTGAAGTATAAACATTGTTATTTCATCAGATAAGCAGCTTTTTTTTAATGTTATATCATCACTCTTACTTATAGTTTGTTGTCTAAGGCATCATTTTTATACCTTTACACTTATAAAATAAATATCCTTTATACTCAATAATGACACACCATTGAGGTCTAAAAGCCTGCAAAACAATATTGAGAGTCAGATGATTATTGCAAGAACTTATGCTGTGTTTTTGGAAATTTACTCATCACAAGAGTTAAATTTGAAGACTGATACAAACCCCATGACCGTGAAATCAATATCTAGCTGAATCGAGTAGCTAGCTTGCTTAGTATAACATTAGTTCTTGAAACAGAGAGGAAAAAAAAGGTACAAATCGTATTGTCAGGGTCAGTGACCTCATAGCCTCTTTAGCTTAAATGTTGAACTATCCCTTTAACAGCGAGACTGGCGGTTATGCACAACTGGCATAACACACATACTGTGCATACCTTTTCACCATTTTCCCAAACAAACCCCACTTTCTGTGATTTTTTAATGTTTTCCTTTCTTCCAATCCCTCACTCGTGTCTGTTTGTTTGTAGAAACTATAAATCTGCCCGAGTTGTGCAATCTATCATATTCTGGTTTTGTTTTTGTCAAAGTTTTGTTATCGTTGCATTGTGATGCAGCCCAGACTTGGCAAGCAGACAGCAATGCTGTTTCATGTTCAACGTGACGGATTACCAAAGCCAAGCAAGCATCAAGTTGCATCAAATTGATTTTCATGCATTTTGAAATGAAAACCAGGAGCTGGCTGAAAGGTATGGAAATTCATTCAGAAATCTAAAAGACATGCTATGATCTCATATCTTACAACTTAAACACGCTAAGTCTCATAAGAAAGCTCAAAACACTTTGTGGTCAGCTTTATGATCATCCTCTGACAACAACAGTCACATACTTAATACATCGTGCAAAGAAGACACGCTCCAGTACTGACCTTTACATTTGTTGGTCGTCTTATCCAGGATTGCCTTTGCCGACTGAATCTTTCCATACCTGAGCAAAAAACAACATGTAAAGTGCTGCTGAATAACTTTCAAAAGTGGCATACACAAATATTATAAATCTCAATTTCCAGTATCTCTGTTTCCTGATAGTTTATTATACATTCACAAGGACTATCAACGCAAAAAGGGACAATGAAGCCTGGTGATACCTCGTGATTTCAGGGGCTCATACTGTACATTATCGCTCTTCAAACAATTTTAGTACAATTTTAGTGTTTCAGGTTTTGTTTTAAAGCTGACTTTAAGTTGAACTGTGGCAAAAGCTGCCATCTGAGAGCACACACTAAACCGACTGAATGCCTAGCTTACATCTCCATTCAGACCTTGTTGCTATGAAAAGCGCTTTCATTTCTGCTTTGTGCTGGCAAACACCATTGGGAACATGAACAAAACACAAGCAAACAGGACACAAACAGCTGCTGCTGCTGCTTACATGGGTGAATGCCTCTCTCCATATGCTCGTGATTCAGAGGGAAAGAGAGGAGACAAAACTCCACTAATTATGGTATCCACCACCAACCACTCGGACCTGAGCCATGGTATCAAGTATCCTACATGTTCACTTGGCTGGTTCACATGACTGTTATTTTTTCTTCTTAGAAAACAATCACTTTTACCAGCCTGCTACATATACCACAGTTGAGCTATGGCTTTACCATGTGTGTCTGTTTATAGAAGAATGATGATTGGAGCTTTTATGCGTTGGTGTACAGTTTGGATAAACCATTTCTTTTAATGCCAGTAATGATGTTTTCTCCAGAAAACTGCAGACTGTCAGCTCTATTGAGTCAGATTTTTCTAAATTTCTGAAGTCAAGTGGGAAGTACTTCCTTTTGTTGTGTACATTTTTGATATATCAGGAGAAAACCTTCATGAAACAGGCTTTCATTGAGAAACCGCACCCAGTTAAAATCTCATTTTAGCATGTCAAATCATAAATAACAATCATGGAAATACCCTTTTTGTCTTGTTACTAAGGGATAGATGAGAGGATTGATACCATTCCACAGCCTCTGAATATGAAGCTAGTGGTTAGCTTAGCTTAGCGCAAAGATTGGGAACAGAGGGAGCTGCTAGCACGGCTTTGTCTTGAGGTAACGTTATAGGCCAAGCACTTTCAATACTATCAATGGACATGACAAAAAAAAAAAGATGTTAAAAAAGACATATGGGGGTTTTATAGAGGTGAGACCTTCCCTGTCCCTGGTCTTTATGCCTAGCAAAGCTAAGCTAAGCTAGGGGTTCACAGAGGAACATTGTTTGATTGCAACTTTTTGGGGTGGGGTGGGGGGATGATTTCACTACAACTTTACAGACTTAGAGGATGTGTTTATCAGATCAAGACTGATATGATAATGGTGCGCAATATCTTAAGCATTTACCTCAGTTTTTTTTAGGACATAAGCAAAGTGGTTGCAAAATACTGGTTTGCACACATTTGCATTCGTTCAAATGTTTGCATACTCACTGGTGACAGAGTTTGACCAGGTCCAGGTCTGTAGTAGCAGGAGGCAGGCCGCGAATGTACAGGTTGGTTTTGCTGAGCTGCTCCAGGCCTGTGCTGCTGCTGTTGCTGCTGCTGCTGGGACTGGACGGAGTCATGGGGTATGACTGCACACAGGAAAGCCACTGTTAGGAAGTTTATGGGAGCTGGATAATCTAATTTAAACCCAGGTCAACAGAGATCACAAGAGTCTCCTACATGTGAAACCAAAACTCAAAAACACAGTTTGGCTCTTCTATTCTATGTACATGCTATACTAAATGTAATTAGTGCTCTTCCTAAGATTATAAGCTTGACGATGCACAAAGATGTCTGAACAGGCAAGGACTGAGACGGCACAGAGCTCCAGTGATGAAAGTACCTTTACTTAAATAATCTATTTAAACTCAGTTTGAAGCATTTTAAGGGGCAAGTACAGTTTTGAGCATCTTCATGTCGAAGTATTTTACTTCCCTCGCATCTGTAGGTTGAAATTTTACATAAAAACCATATGTTAAATAACAGATCCACTCATCGCTGAGAGGTCGCATCTGACACCTGGGTTTATTTAATAAACCGAATGCCTCACAGTGGGAAAGAAACAGAGATAATTTTTAAGAGAAAAGGCAAAATCAGGATTATGTGGTCATTTCTTAGTCTTGTGAATTAAATGTCACAGAAAAGTATGACAAGAAGACACTCAAGCTCCCTCTATGCGGGCGTGGTAGCTCACTCCTCCTATCTTTTAGCATAATGGCAGCCCAGTGCAATGTTGACACACATGTCATAGTATGTGCAGGTAGACATGATCAGACAACAATTGAGTTACATCAGATCAGAGGTATATCAGCTATTGGAAACAAATCTGCATTACTATCATTGAGTTGCATCACTCTGGGCTTTGATATTGAATTACTCAGGAGCATGCCTCAATAGTACCTGTCATCTAAATCAACAATTCGGCATCCCAATAAGAATTTCTGCATTAAAGAAATTGTACTTTGAATCATTTGTTAGTAATACTCCTATTACACTTAATTTTTATTACATTGTCATATTTCAGGTGTAGTCTCTGGCTCTAATGTCATGTAGGTTGGACATTTGAGCACCTGAATATTATAAACACGATGTTTGTTTCCTCCAATGTATAACCCCATCATTAAAACATATATTTATTCTCACATATGGGTCTATAAATCTATGTACTACATCCTGCCGAAGTGTTTATCAGAAACTGTTTCCTCCATACTTGTGAGCCAAACCACCCCGCATTACTGCCCTGCAAAGCATTTCCTTCCCCTTACTCATTCATTAAAATAGCTTCCAGCCACCCCAAACCCTCTTTAGATCAGATCAAAGACAAAGCATGGCAGAATCACACCATCTGTCCATAACCAAAGGACAATCCACTCCATCAGAGCCAGAGCCTTGCATGCAGCCATGCCAAAGAGAATCAATGAGATATACATCAACTCTTGGTTGGTTTAATGCTCACAGCAGCTATTTTACTCTTACATTTGATCACTGTGGCAGGAACAGGAACATCTGGTAGGCCTGTTCAAGTAGAGGCCTTACATTTTTGTAGGTATGCAATTACCGTGCAGACTTTGAGACCACCAAGGGTTCACATAAGGCCTCTGAGATTTCACGCCTACTCCATTAGAGGGCAGCTATAGGTTGGTACATTTCACAGAGGCATCATCACACCTTTGAGCAGACTAAAGCTGTATTACACCCACACTGAAAGCTCATTCACGGCCTCCCTATGTGGCTGATTTCATATCTCTCTCCCAAGATTTAATATACAGTCGATTATGATTAAAATATACGGCGTTATCAAATATCTGGTGCTGCAATCTCAAAAGTGAATGCACAATCCTCTCCACTTGACACAGGGCAGAGATTCCCATTACCAGAGGTTATCATATCAGCTGCCTCTCACCTCTGTACCTGCTTTCCATTCTCATCTTCCACCCAAATCAAAAGGTGTGATGGAAAAGCAAAGGGCCACGGCCTCCAATTACCTTTTTGTTCACCTGAGAGGTCAAAATGAAGGATGCAGGAAGGCATGCACAGTTCAATCCAGCACACTGACACACATTACATTACTCTGAACCCTCCTCTCTTGCTTTAATCTATAAAATGGACTACAATAACCAGCATGCATATTGACCAGAATGGGCGAGTGACTGGGCAAACAAGGTTATATGGACGGAATAATTAAAGTCTCGGTGGTGGAGCGACAGATCAGGTCAGCTGCTGGTTTTATCTCTCCATCAGCTTCCTCTTAGATAAGTCGACCAAGAGGACCAAAATGTATTTTCAACAGGATAGAGCTGGTTTTGCGGTTAAAACGATGTGATCTGTATTTATACCAGCAAGAAAGGGCTTCCCAATGTCATTTGTAGCTGCTAATATCCAAGCCTGTTTATTCAAATGTAGCAGAATGAAAAGTAGGCAGAAATAATAACATAATACACCATTTTATATGAGTTTTTCTCGCCTACCTGTTTACGATTGACTGTTTTCAGCGGGTTGCCTGTGTTTGCAAAGATCATCCTGGAGGTTACAGATATTTTATTTCCCCCTCCAAATAAATCGCAGCGATGAGCCAGTTTAAAGAGACGGAATCCGAGCGCTGTGAGGAGTCTAGGAACCAGCCAGACGCTTTAAAACATCCGCATAATGAACAGCCTTGTTATTAACAGTATCAAAGCCTCGGTCCTGCATAGGTATACTGACACATCTATACAGTCAGATGCACACCAAGCGATGGACCAACCCTCCGGTCCGGTTCATTGATCTACGACGTCCTGCTGCAGACCGCTCAACAGTCCCACCTACTACAGACCAAACCATCTCCGCCTCTGCAGGGTGGTTCACATCAAATAAACTGCGTGGCCACGGCGTAAAAACTCGCATTAGTGTTTTATTTCTTATCGCGAAAGCGCGTCGAAACGTCTGGTAAGATGGGTTTAATTTAAAGTGCGACACAAAGAGACATGGAGTTTGATTTGCACGCGCATAATCAATTTGGCTGAACACTCGCCGCCTTTCATGTTGTTGTCGTCCGCACATACCAAGCATTCTTCACCCCCACCTCCACCAACCACACACACACACACACACACCCTCTTCCTCTTCCTACCCTTCCCCCCATCCAACACACTACATGTCAGAGAATCAGGATGCAATGAAATATAAGCAGAGCTTGGCCTGGGCTGGAGGTCACAGGCTCCCTATAAACTCAACCAAGAGAAGAAGTAAATCCAAAGAGGGTAAAAAAAAAATCATTTATATTTAAACTTAATAAAATACATCTTATGATATATTGTTTACAGAAAAGCTGCTCTGTCTTATTGACTCTTTAAATAAAGTACTGTATGTTGATCCTGTCATACTAAAGACAGATCCTGAACCATATATTGACTCCCTCGTGAGCATATAAATCAAAATGACCATTCATATTTTCACTTTTCGGCTCCTTCGTTGGGTTGCCTCACTTACATGCAGCTGGTAAAGAAATGTAAGCTAAGTGTTTCTACATATGGCACACCAATAACTTACACCATGGAGAAGGGGAACTGTAGCGTTTCCTTCTTTAAAGTGTTTAGATACTGGACGTCTGCTGATACTTTTAAGCCTGGCTCTTGCTTCATCTCTGATCTCCTGCATTTGACCTCTGAGACCTTTTAGGTTCATCAGACAAGGGCTTAAATAAAGCTTTAAGATGTGTCCAGACTGAGGAACTGCCCCCCTCATTACAACACATTCAGACCCTCAATGGTGTCAATCAAAAGGTATTTAAAACCAGCACTATTCTTCATCCAGCGACTGCAGGCAAGTTTGTGTTTTCTAGATTCTGCTGGCTGGTACTTTGAGAAAATGTTGAGCTGTGGCATCAAATAAGGACATCTGCATTTGAAACTTAAAAGCCTAAAGATTACATGACACATGAAAAAAAGACTGATAGATAATCTGTCAAAAACAACTTCTCTGAGTTACACGTATCTGATAAATGTTTATATTGCGCAAAATATCTGAAGCCTCAAAATTATGCACCAAAACCACTTTTCAAATCGTCTTTTTATCCACTCAAAAGCCTGATTTTTGATGCATTTGGGACAGCAGTCAGACATCAGAATCCCAAACACATAGATGTTATTTTTAAATTTAACTCAAATGTCAAAGGTCCTGTGAGGAACTTGTGTTATGTGTGAATTTTGGTCCTCTCTGTGGGCAAAGTAATCTTGCTTATCTTGTTCTCGACGTGCTTGAATAGTGTCTTCAGACAAAAAAAAAATCTGTCTGTAAAAAGAGGAGAGGAGAGAAGAGTAGTGAGGGTTTGTGTATGACCAAAAGAAACCACAGATTTTGTATCACAGAAAATGAAATATATCAAACCTACATACATGACTTATTAATGTAGAGAGCATCTGTGGTCAGATTGGCAGATTCAGCCCCTAAACTTTCATCTTGATACACAGGAGCATATGAGGCCTCAGAGGGGCCAGACATTCAGACACATTCGCCTTTCACCTTTATAGAAACATTCTCAATTCCTCTTCACACACCAACACAAAGCAGGTCTTTTCACAAGCACCCATCCTGCTGTAGGTCCTACTGGTGATTCATAAAGTAAAGCCAAATCCAAATCCCATCAGGGTGCAAGGAAGCTCTTAAAGCATCAAATTTCCCTCCCTTATTTCCTCTGCTGGTAGGATTAAGGTTTCATGCCGGTGTCATGTTGCAAGCTTCTTCTGACGTTCCTTGGAAAGTCCAATCACTGCTATCTGAATGATCAGCTGCAGCAGTGTTTGTATAGGTCTGTTATTGATCTGCAGCGGGCTGTAAAATGCCCTTTTAGTGTCAGATGAGATTTTGCAAAAGATTTTAAGTGTAAATTGCCTCATTTTAGCAAATTAAGGCTCTCAGCGTCGCACATGTTTGAATCGGACTATTCACCTGCTCTGTTTTCAAGTAATCAGATATCCAATAGGTCAATTGATCTGCTGCTTTTGTCTTATTTATCCATTGTTTGCCTGGGTAATTTATCAAAAAGCTTCACCCTCAATGTTTGGAACAACAGCATGAATAGATTTTAGATTGAACCAGCAGAAAACTGTCGGCCAATCACACGCAGAGCTAAATTCAATGAGCCAACCCTGTCAGCAATAATGACTCAGAAAACAATAAACATGGTACACACTGAAGGAAAAGTAAAGACGATTTCTTTGTTACTGATTCTGATCAAGTTAGTGCTTACAGCTGATCATTATTGTATGCATGCCAAAGTGGTGGACTATTTTCAAACTTTAGTGGCAAAGATCCAACAGATATTAGATGAAAACTGAAGCCAATGAGTTGAGGATGAATAGATAAAGAACCGAGCCTGTTTAAAAATAATAATTTTCCATCTGGATATTGGTAGATAAAAGCAGCTTCAATAAACATTGTAAAAGGAAAAAAAAGAGAATTTCGGTATGTCATTAATTCCCACAACTGGAGGTAAACTCTAAAATGTTCAGGCCATTCAGCCTCTCCTAAGGACACACATCCTGGTTCAGACTCCTGAGTATCTAGATTTGTGTCGAGGTAGTGAGAGGTCCTGTGGGTGTGGAGAGGGAGGGACTGAGGAATGTGGATGATTATCTGTGTCCTCCTCATCCTCTGGAGAATCAAGGAATTTGGAAATTCCTGTTGAAAACCTCAGCATGCCAGCTGACCTGTCTGCAGGGCAGAGAGGCAGTATCTCTACTGGGTGAGAGTGTAACAGCATGATCTGTTGGACCGGAAACAAGAACACACAAGAAAGTGAACAGGGAACTTTTCACACAAACCCAGTGATGGTGTGGTTTGGCTCCGAGTTTGTGGCTCCTCAGGGAATAATGAAATGCTTGCAAGCTGAAATATGAGAGCCACTCACATTACAGCCATTTTCATTCATTTAAGTCAAAAGAGAGGCCTTGTAGCCTATATGATCACAGGGTTTTTTCTTTTTCTTTTTCTTTTTCTTGTATTCATCAAGATGCTAAAAATCAACTAGTTATCGCTCAATACTGAAAGCATGTTGTTTTAATTAATGAATGCCACCATATGTGGTGGTTTGCATGTTTTGACTTTGTTTGTGAACAGCAGAAAACAAAGATTAGACATGTTTGACAAGCTATCACAAACAAACCTAACACAAACCTAACACAAACAGCAATGACCTTTACAAGAGAAACTCATCTCAGCATTTTATGTAAACAAAACTTATTGTTGCCTGTTTGTTTGACACTTCTTGTAAGATTTAGAAAAATCTGTAAATTGCAGGAAAAAATGTAGTGTCAGTAATGGTTGTAGTTTGTGATTGTACGGGATGTCACAATAGCAGCTAAACGCACCTTTAATAACGCAGTGTGGCGCCCCCCTGCGTCCTGTCAGGACTGGTACAAGCAATACTTGCACCCATAGATATATATAAATAAACGCTAGATGCTCACCTACTCATAACATTACAGTCTACGGCGCATGTAGCATTTAAATAACCATAGATTGCTTAATTTTAAACCGATTTTCAAACGGTTTGGTTTGTAACAACCCTCAGAGTTTTAGTTATGTCCCTCTATACTCGAGAATAACTTTAACCATGGATTTTCATAAATAAACATTAATTAGATAGATAGAGCAATAGCTATAGGGCTTCACACACAAGGCAGTTAAATAAATAGTTTATATAAAAAACATTTAATCACTCACATGTATGTTATATTAGTGATATTTTTTATTACAGGGATAACTATAATAACATATAACAATAACATTCTGGAATGTACCATTATTTTTTTTAGGGTTTTTTTAGTTAGGGTAACAGGGTTGACATAAAACCAGGGGACGCTGATAACTTGGTAAATATTTATTATAACTGATATATATTATTACCAAAAATACTGTTTAACAATAGGATCATACTTAAAACAATATGTAAATGTGAAAATTTTAATATTTTGCCAACATTTTACAAATTTGAAGTCCTGTGTACAAACAACAAAAGTAGTGAGGGACAGGCCAAAAACCTCACCCTCATCAGCCTAAAAGTATTTTTAATTATTTTAAATGATATCTAATTGACTTAAATTTGATGTCATATTAAGGAGAGAAGACATGGTGATGTTATATTTTTAAACTACATATTAATTTGTTGTTATCATAATTTTATGACTGATTACTTCTTGGGGACGCAAAACACACGATTTAATGGAATGACCCCCAAGCATCCCAAATCATAGCCACGTTATTAAGGTCTTTAATAGACAGAACCGTTTGTAAATCTGACAAGATATCAGCGAGTTAAGAGTATTTTTGATCTTGCAAATTACTCATCTTCTGTCAGCTACCATGCAATGTACTAGAATGGTACACTGAAGTAAGATGGCCGCCGTGTCCGGACGCCGGTGAGTCCTCCGCATTGATTCATCTAGCCTTTCCTCTATATGTCTATGAAAGCAATACTTGCACCAATATACGTCATCAGTGCGACGGAAGTAGCTTGCACGTCAGAAAAAAAGAACGACGATTCTGGCTGATTCATTGTAGCCACCGGGTTTGTCTTGACTTTACACCAAAACACAGACTTTTCTAGTCATTTATCGGAACATACCACAGGTAAGACAAGTAAAATCTTTAATATAGTTAAACGCTTTGATTAAACTCTCTAAACTGGATTTTAAAGTTGATTGTTTGTGTCTGTTTCACGGTAAGTTGACAGCATTAGCATGAGTAAGCTAACAGTTAGCTAACGCTGTTCACAGTTTTTGTCTCGAGAAGAGGGGATTTTGTTTTATTCACTTTAATTGAATGAGATGTTCAATGATAGGTTAACCACAGCAGGAGTGTTGGGAATAAAGATGAGTGATTTTGTCTGGGATTTTCTGCTGTGTGAATACGTGACTCTGCAGATAAGTGAGCTCACTGAAGCTAACCAGCAATGAGATCTTGCTGCTACTTTAAAACAGAAATAACTGAATCAAACCACACTCTTTTGTCTTATTATCATCAAATAAGCATCTTATGTCTGCAACTTCAGCAATTAATGTGAAAGACAGTTTTTACCTGTCTGATTACCTGTCGTGAGTCACAGACCCAGAGATCCTCGATTTAGACTTTTTAGTATCTGATCTGACCATTTATCCAGTTGTAAAATCCTGGAGAACTGAAGTAAAATATTAACATAAATAAGGACATTTTGTTGAATTAGTTAGTTTTCCATTTCTGTGAACAATTATGTGAACATGTTGTTGTTGTGAATTTATAGAGATGTTTATAGGCTGTGTCTGCAGCCCAGACTTTAATAAGAAGAAGTTTTCGTGGACCTGTAATTTTCTCAGAGTTTGTGTTAGGAGTGTACCTTAAAAAAAAAAAAGCCTATCAATCTTGAAAGTTCATATGCAGCACACTAACTTTGCTCCATAACAAAGTCATGTCTCATTTGAAGGCTCAGTTTGAAGATAAATGATGACGTGAACTCCTCCAAGCCTGCTTACAACTGTACTCTAAAATCTTTGCTGTGAATATCAAGGCTCTTTGGGTTCCTAGTAAAATATTAAATGTATCTCAGGTCAGGTGTACAGTCAAGAAGTAAGATGATTATTTAATCATGTCTGTCTTAACAGATTCCGGTATGGATCGGCTGCTGAGGCTCGGTGGGGGAATGCCAGGACTTGGCCAGGTATTACTCCTTTTTTTATGTTTATTAATAAAGATCTTATACAATGTTTTTCTTATCAACATTAAGATTAAAACATCCCCCACTCTTCCTACTTTTAAATCACGTTTTATAATATCTTATCTTATATCTTATATCTTGGTTTTTATCTCAGCATGAGAGTTGTGTGATCTCTGTCCTTTAATGTCTTTTATGGTCCCTGTATCACTCGTATTTCTTTTATGCTTTTGTGTTTTTATTGCATTTGTTTTATTTCATTTTAAATGTTTTTTACCTGCTTTTATTTATTTATTTTATCTTGATGTTTTCTGCAGTGTCTTTTCTTTTAATTTTATTGTGCAGCACTTTGGTAAACATGGAAAACATGAATGTTTTGTAAAATGTGCTAAAATAAAGCAGATTGGATTATCAGAATCCTGTTAACGCAGACACTTTTAGCCCTAAAAACATTTAAAACTTTGACCTGAAAGAATCTCATATTGAGTCTGTGTTCTTTTTTTTTTTTTTTTTAGACACCACAGTTATAAAGGATTAAAACTTAAAAAAGCATTGTACATTAAAATACATGACATTTAAGATTGTTAGTGCTGTAGAAAATAACTGGAGCAAGTGCTGTCTTTGAAAAACTTGAACTGATGGAGACACTCTGCTTTGACACCTCAGGGCCCCCCAACAGATGCACCAGCTGTGGACACAGCTGAGCAGGTCTACATATCCTCTCTGGCTCTGCTCAAGGTAACCACACACTTCCAAACAAAAAACATCCCTCTAACCTTAAATGCTAATTTTGTACATCTAGAACAAAAACATTTTTGTGCAGGTGTTTTATAAAAAGATTAAATTGCCTCTATTAGTTTGGTTAGTTCTATATCTAGAACATAATTTCTAAAATCTGCCATCATGTTTTGTCATACAGCTTTCTTTAGTAAGTTTGTTTCTGACTGGATGCCAGGACATGTCAAAGACACTGTTTTTAATTATGGTTTACATATTGAACTAGAGTTTAATAGAATGTTTTGTCCTTTTTCCTAAATATGAGTATCTTTGTTCTTTTTCAGACTTTTGTCAAGATTAGCTCATATTCTCCTAGCACTGTCTTTTTTTTAAATCTTATTACTAGTCCTGTGGAGCTCTTCTGTGGCAAAACCTTCAATATTTCGTACTTCTTGTGAAACTCTGTGACCTCTAACTCGCATCTTCTCTTTGTCAGATGTTGAAACACGGCCGTGCCGGTGTACCAATGGAAGTCATGGGACTGATGCTGGGAGAATTTGTCGACGACTACACAGTGCGAGTGATTGATGTGTTTGCCATGCCCCAGTCTGGAACAGTATGTATTTTCCCAAAATCCAAAATGATTCACATTATAAATGATCTGAACTCAAAGCCTTCTTACGTACCTGCTGAATTAATTAACTACTAATTAATTAACTCTATGCTTTTGTGATAAATGGCTTGTTTTGCTCTGACTTTTATTGTTTGGACAAAATACACATCATCATTACTAAAATCCACTTTTGTGCCTCACAGGGTGTGAGTGTTGAAGCAGTCGACCCAGTGTTCCAGGCTAAGATGTTGGACATGTTGAAGCAGACTGGCAGGTAAAATGATAACACACATCAACAGACATTAAATAACCTCACAACTTGTTTCTCTATCATTTTAACATTTGCTGTGTCTGCCCTTCGTATCACTCATCAGACCAGAAATGGTGGTGGGATGGTACCACAGTCACCCTGGTTTTGGCTGCTGGCTGTCAGGCGTGGACATAAACACACAGCAGAGCTTTGAAGCCCTGTCAGAGCGAGCCGTCGCTGTGGTGGTTGATCCCATTCAGAGCGTCAAAGGAAAGGTAACCTTGTCCTTCAGCTCTGGAAGAATCTGGTGTTGATTCAAACAAGATCTGATTGTAATTCTGAAGTTAAAGTGCATCAGAAAGACCTTCAATAAACCTGTGCTTTGTGTTTTTTAGGTTGTTATTGATGCCTTCAGGTTGATCAATGCCAACATGATGGTATTGGGTCATGAACCGAGGCAAACCACATCCAACTTGGGCCATTTGAACAAGCCCTCTATCCAGGTAACATGTTCTACACGATACCATCGCCATTTAAGTCAGTGTTTGTCAACTGGTGGGTCCCGACCCAAAAATAAGTTGCGGACACGTTCTGCATGGGTCATGAACAGCTGGTCAAAAAAGTAAACACTTGATGCGAGATTTGATATTTTCTGTATATGCAACTTTAGTAGTTGTTATTCTCATGTTGTCCCCTTCATGTGCTCTGAAATGCACTTTACTCTATAAAACATTTGGATTTATGTTAAAGATTAGAGTCTTTTTAAAGGTTTTGTTTTAATATAAAATAAATTTGCTTGGTTTAATTCTATAAAAGTGGGTCACGACTTTAGGACCATGGGAAAATGTGGGTCCCAGAGTGAGACCAGATGAGAACCACTGATTTAAGTGACATTTTTTTAAAAGCAATGGAATAACTGTTCCCTGCATCTTGAGTTTCTGTGTTCTGACATTATGTTTGTAACTTTTCCTGTTTCAGGCTCTCATTCATGGACTGAACAGACACTACTACTCCATCACCATCAATTACAGGAAAAATGAGCTGGAGCAGAAGGTGAGAAAATACCCTAGTACAAAGTCATTTCATTTGGATGCTTATGTTTTTATCAAATATAACAAAACCAACCCTTTTGTTCTCCAGATGCTGTTGAACCTGCACAAGAAGAGCTGGATGGAGGGTCTGACCCTGCAGGATTACAGTGAGCACTGCAAGCTCAATGAGACGATTGTTAAAGAGATGTTGGAGCTGGCCAAGAACTACAACAAGGTACAAATTAAAGAACAACAACTGCCTAAAATGTCCTGAAAAGCACTTTTAATTCTGCTCTTCAAAGGACTGAGGTGACTTTAAAACAGCACCAAAAGGGGAACACTGGTTCCAGTATGTTTTCATTTTTATGGTGCCTGTTCTTAAAAAGTTTGAAAAGATTACTGAAATCTTAATTTATAATAAAATGGTAAAAAAATGTTCATGAGGACAAAAAAAAAAAAAAATTAAACCCTCAAATAATTCAGTTAATATACCTTGCAATGGGTAATATTAAATACTAGCACGCATGACTAATACTGGCTCTGTGATAGAGCATGCATGCAGTGTTTGGCTTTTACAACATATTTACTGTCGTGAATGGCCAGGATATTTTCTAACTTTATTTCCCAGAGAAAGTGTTATATGCACATCAAAATGCTCTCAGAACATATACTCTTGGCATGCCTTCTCAATCAATCAATTAAACTTTAATTATAAAGCACTTTTCCTACAAAGAATGTAACGCAAAGTGCTTTACATTAAATTTAAAACAAAAACTATTCCCAGGTGACAACCCCCCACCCCACACACACACGACCTTACCCCACCCAACAATACAATCTCATCTAAAGCCACACACACACACACACACACACACACACACACACACACACACACACACACACACACACACACACACACACACACACACTAAGATGGTGGACATGAGCACTAAGACCCCTTTTTCCACCTCAGGCTGTTGAAGAGGAGGACAAAATGACCCCGGAGCAGCTCGCAATCAAGAACGTTGGAAAACAGGTAACAATGAAATTTCACGCCTCTTTTATACAAACAGTTTTATGACTAAATCACTCTTAAATTTGTTGAATTACTCCGTGGTTAGGGCCCAGTGCATGAATTACAATAAAAGCAAACATGCATATCTGTCTGAGGAGAGAATTGATACAAACATGCATAGAGCAGATTACCTTTTTATTAGAATTTGTTAGGACACAGTTTTGTTAGTGTTAAAACATAATCATAAATCAAACCTCATGGTTGGTGTTTTTGTCCACGAAATAATTTTACTTTTCGCCTTGCAGGATCCCAAGAGGCACTTGGAGGAGCATGTTGATGTTTTAATGACATCCAACATCGTTCAGTGCTTAGCTGCCATGCTCGACACTGTAGTTTTCCAGTGAACGCCCCGTGTGTATATATTGCAACCCTGTTTCTTTTATATAAAATAAATGTATGTATGAAATGAAAACACTGGCGTGGTTGCTTACTAATTTATACAACACAACAAGCTGCAGCACAAGTGAGACCTCGTTTGATGTTGATGTAATACCCGCCCCAACCACTGGATGGTGCTGAAGTACAGTTACATTGATGAAGTTTTGATCTCTTTTCAAATAGGCTTGGTTGCTTCAGTTGGAAGTGGCGTCACTTCAAGGCTTTTGTGCAAATTTTCATCATTTTTGCAGAGTTGTGGGGATTAATGGAGAGTTTTTGGTTTATTGAATAAGTTTGATGTAACAGATGGAAGGACAGACTTCAGAAGGAAACTGCAGTTTTCTTTTCCAAAACAACAAACTCAAGAACCGAGTATGTGTGCACCATAAACTCAGCCTGCCACACTTTGAACTTCTGCCTGGTGACCCTATGAACCCTGCTTCTTCCATCAGCTCAGTCTGAGAGTTCAAGAAATGATGCTTCTCTTTAAACATTGGCTTTATGTCCCTGAAAAGCAGAAGGATGATGGGTGATGAAAGCCTCATAACCTAGCTGACCCTTTGTCATCTCAGTTTTGCTTAAGTTTGCGTCTATGATGTACAGTAGACGCACGTCAAAATGTGACGTGAGTATTCCGCTGTGAGGACATGAAAAGAGGAATCAGGTCCTACATCTTTCCACTGAATTGCAGATTTTGCAATTTCATTTTTTTCTGTCAAAAAGAGAAAAAAATCAGGATTGTGTAGACATTAACCTGATAGAAAATATGATCAAAATTAGGCGTTAATCCAAATGTAAAATCATCCAAGATATTAACTTTGAGTGGAAACAAGTTAAATACGTCCTGCGTCTGAATTAAAATTATAGTCTGAGTTGATTTGATCGGGTTTTTCTTGCAAGAGTAAAAGTGCTTTCACATTGGGAGCCAAGCCAAACAGCTGATATTCCTTTAAGAAGCTTGATAATGTAGTTTACAGGATGTCAGCCAGAGATGCAGCTCGTATTGCAATAAAAGCAAAGAACACTGAGCATAAGGTCTTTTTCCAGATGCAGAGTATACATGAACTCTGACAGATGTGGGCCCCACCAGAAAGATCCGCTTAAAAGATGTTCAAATTACGTCATTTAGTTAACTCCTGAAAGACATCTGTGCAACTGTTCGAGACAGAAATTGGCTCCCTCATTCAGCACATTCTGAAAAAATGAGAAAATGCGAAACTGTGAAATGAAACACCTTTCCTCAGGCCTTTTGGGGAAAGACAAAGTTGGCCGTAAATGGTGAATTAATAACCCGGCAGTTGAGAAATCCCCAGCTGTACTGGATCCATGTTGGAGCTGGCCAGATTGAATGCTTAAGCTACAAAATCCAAACTTATTTGAAATGGAGGTTCACAAAAAGCTCAGAGATGAGTCTCTTCATTGTTCGCTGTTTTGGAAAAAAAAAAAAAGAGCAAAAGTGACCATCTGGGATACCCTCATTGTAGATATCTCTATTCTTTGCTACCCTTAAAGTAAATGTTCTCTGCTAAATAAAACTGCAGACTAAACATGAGGATGAGCTTTCAGATGTCCTGATTTGCAAGAAAAGAGGTTAAGTGCTCTCTCAGTGACAACAACTTCATACTGAGCAGATATGGGCCGCCTTGCATGCACAAGAGGAGTCTCCTCAGTGGTAAATTGGTGATTATTTTACAGCACATATAGACACATTACAATAACATGAATCTTTACCACGATAAGAAACAGTTTCCTTAGCATCACAATTTTTTGTGTTAGTGCCCTATCCTGCTACTAATGCTCCCTTTTTATTGCATAGCCTAAACAGTCCCAGTCCAGCACTGACAGCATGTTAGTTTTAATCATTTTGTAAAGCCGAGTTCATGGGGAGCTGGTCTGCGCAGTCACGAGTTTGTGCACACTCATTTGTTCACTCCATTTTAGGGTCTGAATTATCAAACCGGGTTTTCATTCTGGCCAGCTGAAATCACAGAGACGCGGTCCATTCTGTTGTAAATGTTATAGATGTCTCACCGAGATTACAGACCTAAAAGACCAGCATGCAGCCTGAACAGAAGCCATATGAGTCAGGCAGTAACAACAAAACAATGTTATCTCACTCAGGATGTGATAAGAGACTTCCCCTGAAGAAAAAATGCAGTGCAGCACAAGTCTGAACCAAGTCTTTGGTGCTCTAAAGAAAAGTCTGCTTTGCTTTCATCTCTCTCTATGAGTCTGAGTAACATAAATATAATTTCAGACGTAATGTATTGAGTTTAGATCCAGCTGAACTTTTTTCTTTATCGAAAAAAGAGAAAAACAAAAAACCACAGATTTGTTTTTCTCTCTTTATGCATGGACACCCAAAAAAGAACCATGTCATGCACGTGCTCTTCTCCAAACTGATGTTATGCCTCCTGCTTTCCACGGGTTATGACAAACCACTTCCAAGCAGGGGAGTTAAAGGTGGAGGCTGTAAACAACAGGGACTTTAATAAACCCTGATGCTATTTGGTGTGGTTTAGGAGGACAGATCACTCCCCCCAGACCACAGCCAAGAACCCAGACCCGGCCCCGCCTCAGTAGATGGGAGCCAAAGGATGACAGAGCGAAGGATTTTTGAGAGAGATTTATTTGAGGAGAGAATTACATAATGTGAAAATTCATGCAAGAAAGACGAAGAAAAGCTCAGTTTTATGGTTTGTTCTTGACATCTATTGATAAAAGAGTCGATTTATTAGCTGAATTTTTTAATGATGTCATTTGACGATGATTCTGGATGTTGATATAATATGTTTGTCCAGATTGAATATCATGACAGCTATTGGACACATGGCATGGAAAATCATTACTTCATTGGATAAATTGGTAACCCTTAATTATAGCCAATAACATCTCAAAGGGTTTAATTATCCTGTGTAATGTGTTTGGTGGATTGGCACAAAGTTGCGTCATTCATAGTTTCCAGATGACAAAGCTGATTGTTTTTTTGTTTTTAAATGAAACAGCACGGCGATTGTGGGAGCTATTATTGTCAAATATGGTTAACATGGACATACTTTCCTCAAGTTGAACTTTTAACACCTTATTCAACCACAAGAAACACTTTCAAAAGCTTAGTTGGTGGAGAGGGCACCAGGGCAGTCTAGCCAGGGTTCAGTTCAAACCTACAGAGCCTCTGTTAAATTTCATCCCTTTACTGTTTCCTACATTTCCTGCTCTTGTTTAGTTCTTATCAAAGTCAAAGTCTGGACTTAGTGATGGCCAGCAGAATACAATCCCAGAATCTCAGACTCTGTCCTCACTCAAAAGCAAACAAAAGCTCATGTTTTTTGATATTCGAAGGCCTTGGATTGACTTTTGATTCAGACTGATTTATATGAGTTGAAGTAGTTGAGGGGCAAGAAAGTTATGCATATGTAGTTATAATTCTAAGTTAATAGAAACACGATTTGACATCCTCATTTACCTGCTTCTAGAAAGAAAAACTCCTAACTGAAGATAATACCACAGCTTTTGGTTACAGCATCCATATGATTTGACAGTTTTCCTACCTTTGATTTGGTTAGTTTTCTTCAGCTGACGTATAAATAAGAAAGAAAATTGGACCTAGGACTCAGCCCTGGGGGACCCCATGGGAAACATTTGATTGATGGCAGTAAACCAGTATATATGGAAGTATCACATGCAATATGACAGAACCTTAAGAATTTGTATTGACTTCTCTTTTTGTTCTACACATCAAATTGGTTTGGGGAGAATGTGCATACTTTGCAGCATATATTATGTGAGAAACTGAATATGTTTCTGCTTAATCATCATTACACACGTGTGTGAATTTCTGCACATCTGGAGGGGCATCCCTTCAGGGCTGTAAACACTCACACAACAACCCAGACCTGCTTTAAAACACCCCACATGAAATTCTTTCTCCATTTCCATTGTATTTTACCTTCTCTCCTCTTCCCGTTAAGTGTGAGCAGTCAAAGTTAAAGAGGACCTTTTGGGCATTTAAGTGTAATATAATCTGTCAGACAGCTGTGTTATGTCAGCTTCCTGGCAGACTCTCCGCTCCATCAGTCAAAGTGCCCCAAACCTGCACACATCAGTCTTTAACACACCAATTCAGCCAATAAATAAACAGATCTGCTCCCTCTGCTCAGTCTAGTTCAGGGCGGCAGTGTTTTCTGGCAAACGCTAATGTATACTACAACATGTGAAAAATGGTGCTTGCTACTGGGAGAGGGGGCATGACATTTGGGTTCGGTGGAATGTGGACTGTGTTTATACTTAGCACTAAATCAAACGCAGAACCAGACAGGAGGCTTTGGATCATAGTAATTGTCTGCAAAGCTGGCCAGCCATGTACAATCAAACTCAGAGAAAAGTATGAATGAATAACAGAGATGGCAAGGCAGTCATGCGGTATCTATCGCCACAGTTGAAATTCCAGGTTAGGAATACATACGGCGTGACTAAGGTTTTCTCTGTAAAAGAGAAATGAAAGGAAAAGGATTTACGGGAAGAAAAAGGTAAAACTGTCTCTAAAACTTGTATGCCTTTCAAGCCTTTAAATAAAATTCAGAAAAACAAGAAAGAAATTTAAGTTATGATAATATAAAAGAGACAACCAAACATCACAATGTGAAAGTCTGCATTGACCGAAGGAGATGAAAAAGTTCTCTTTCGGGTTTCTTTGACTTTGATCTGTACTGTTGAAAACAGCAGAGAACAGGAACAATGGACCCTTTCCTGAGGGTGTAAAAGTCATGTACAGGGTGTGTGTGTGTGTGGGTGGCTGAGTGTGTGTGGATTGTGGTCTTACAAAACAGTGACCATCTCTAGCCTGAACTCATTTGTACATCTAGTCAGTTCTTCAGGACTCAAAGTTGATGCTGAGGTTGTCGTGATAATGACAGAGAATCTTTTGCCAAAACGCAAATGTTTAAACAGTCCACAGTTATCTTTGTTATGTACACATATTATGTATACAGGACTGTTATGCCTCCTGTTATTTGAGTCACACTGTAGAAACAGACAAGCT